TTTATATGTAAAGCTGTAGCCAGAATTTAAAAATAACTCAACTCAACAATAGCTACAGTTGGCCTATTGATATAAACATGGGCTTCTAGTTGAAAGTCCATGATATAAATAAACAATGTCTTTTATTGCTAACTTACAATTTATTGAGAGTACATTTCTATGTCGACTCACAACTGAACTGAATACTGTGTTACTGAAAACGATCACCAGAAACAATATCAATTATCATAAAAAAAAGTAATTTCAAATTCCACGCAACCAATTTGTTTCATATGGTAAACCAACATGAAGATACCATTCTTTGATTTTCTCGCCAATTTTGCAATTTTTCTTTCTAAAACATACACATTCTGTATCTCAAAGTATATTTGTATAATATGGATACAAATTGTCAATATTTGTTGAAATTCTGTGACCTAACTATATCTGTCACACATGGTTTGTGTGAAAAAGCTCCCCCCCCTGGAAAAAAGCTCCCCCTCCTGGTAAAAGCTGGCTACGGGCACGAATGATGACATCCACGTTTTTTTTGACAGTAACATCTTCATGAGATCAAAGAGTCACATTCAAAACATCAATGCAAGCCAATCAGCAAAGATATTTTTCTCTTCCCAGAAATGAAGTTTAACATTGAAGATGTAGGTAATATACATGTAGCTTGATTTTCCCTACCCTAAACAAAAATTATGATTAAGACATACATGTATATGTATTTGTTTTATGTACTGCCGCACTGGAATTTTCCACTGTGCCACTGATTAAAAAGTGTTTGGCAAATAAATAAAAAAAATAAAAAAAAATAAAAATGTACATTCATGTTTTGGAGTGATCCTTAATTTAACTCAAAACTAAAACTTTGATAATCTTTTACTGTTAAAAGTATAGTGATATATCATGTCTGTATGTACTGTTCATTTATATATTGGTATATACAATGTATGTATAAGTCACAATCATCACAACCAAGAAGTGATGGCACTTTTTGGTTGTGATTGGTTGGATTGTATTTGCCACCATTTTGTTAATATTCTGCAGTCAGTAAGTTGTTTGCTTTTGTAAAAAATGTTACATTTGGCTTACCAGGCAGAGTTGACGTTTTGTCATGTTATTGTTAATGTCTTGTTATTTATGCCATGAAAATGTTTGTTAATAATATATACTTATAAAAAATGGTATATCATGTTATGTTCTTGAGTAGGTATTGGTCACTTCCCAGGCAAATCACAGAATCAGGATTTAGGTTCAAACTGCAATGTGAGTACAGCGGGCCACCAATAGCATTTTTAGCATGGTAAGCAGGGACCGATCTTAAAACTAACAAAGGGTGCCCATATTTCAAATCTGAAAAAAATGTTTTCTGGGAAAAAATTTGGCCCCCTTTAAAGAAAAAATTGGGCAGAAATTTGGCCTAAAATTAGAAAATAAGCCCCTTGAAAATTTTGGGCCAAATATTTTTTGTGCCCATCCTCAGATCCACCAGTGATAAGAAGTGTCCCTTAACCATTTAGCGATTAAAACATTAAGTTTCAAACAATTTTTACTCTCATGATACCATATCACACCTATTTTCCAAAAGGTCCAAAATTTCTGGCTTTATTTCAACTTAATTCTTTGACTTTTTCAGGTTGTCTTAATGAATTTGGACTTTTGAGCATCTTAAATCTCAATTACTTAATATTTGATCAGAAATCTCAATTCTTTATTCAAAAAATAAAATTAGCATTGTAAGGAAAACTTGAGTATGATTTTGAATAGAATCAGTGCACTCCCAAAAGTTTACACTCTTTAGTCTCTTACATGTCTTATAATGTCTTCTAATTCAGTTAAAGAATGCTGTAGAGCTTATGAAATTGTTAAGTAATCTGTCATCTGATACAAGGTTCTAAAGTAATTGATTGATACTTGAAACATTGATGTAAGTAACACTGAAAGTCACTTAGGTAGTGATTTCAATTGTTCTTTTTGTTGAATTATTTATGAATTGTTATCATGTTCATTAGGATAATTGAGCCTGTAACTTTTGTGTCAAACAAGTCCCCGGTGTAATTCTGACTCTTTGAGTAGAGTAAATATCACTAAATAATTCATTAATTGGATTTCATTCTCCATAATAGTCATGGTAATCATTTTTGGTACATTGGAGATTAATCAACGCTCTTGTTGATATGGAGATTAATCAACGCTCTTGTTGATATCGCGATTTTTAGACTTTCATCACTGATTTTAATGTTCAAATATGATTGTCCGGGCATAGTATAGGGTAGGGTTGGTATTGATGGTATTTCACATTCCTTTTATTCAGTTATCCAATAGACTAGATGCGAGTAGAAATGATCTTGATTTACGTCATTAAATATTCAAAATTCAGTCAAAGTGATGTCATATTTGAAATCTTCATGTAAAAATACATCTAAAAATAGGGTTTCGAAAATTGTTCATCAACTTTGAAAATTTAATATTTTTTGAAAATGTGACTTCTAGTTCGGGTTGATTCCCCATAGACCCCATATTACAAAATCACAAAAAGTGAAATATCTTTTCTTGTATTGGACATATAACATTTTCTTTTCCTGGACATACTTTAATTTGCATAACTATTCGACACATTAGGGCATTGTGAAAATTGAACCACTAAAACAGATGTAATTTAAGTTAAAGGGAACTTTTTACTATACCCGCCATGCTATCTGACCCGAGCGAGCCACCTGGTGGTGAAACTGGTAACTACCTACTCGCATTTGCGTAATTGTCATTCATTTGAATTTTAGTTTTTGGAATCCTTAATTTGGAATTCAATTTTTCATACTTCTTAAAACATTAAAATTTAACATTGGTGCGATGTCATTATATCAGTGCATTACTACACATAATTGTATTAATTCCATATTTAGTGACTTTGACAATTCTTGGGAAAAAGGCAGTAAACCAGCTCTTTAGTATGAAATATCAATACATCTTGGATCAATTCGTTATTCAAACATAAGCAATTGTAGATAGTTCTCAGTATTTTTATTTTCTTCATTGAGCAATATCTTAAAATGTACATGTTAATTTTAACTATTTTTATTTTCTTCACTGAGCAATATCTTAAAATGTACATGTTAATTTTACATGAATAGCTCATTGATAAAACATTTCAATAAAAATAATACATATCAATACATGTTAACAAAGAAACCATATATTTGGGATCATATAAAAACATGTTAAAAACATCAAGTTACACTCAACCATATTTTATTTGAGTTCTGGAGGTAGTGGGTATAACAGACTACCATATTCTCTAATCAGTGCCCAGGGCATTCAGAAAATTCAAAATACCTCCTTCAGACCATTCTAATAAGCCCCCATATATGAAATTTTTTTATGTTTGGCAATTTTTCTTGTAAAGAATGCCATATAGGAGGTAAATTGTTATTGGGGGTAAAAATAAAATGAAAATAACTTTGTAGTTCAGCGTATATTGATGTTTTGATATTATCTTCAAAAAAGTGTTCCACTTATAAATGTTTATTTAACATCATGTCAGCTGGTCTTGGAACTCTAAAAAGTGTTCCACTTTGGAGGTGTTCCACTTATAAATGTTTATTTAACAATAAGCCATTTGGTCTTGGAACTCTGAAAAGTGTTCCACTTTGGAGGTGTTCCACTTATAAATGTTTATTTAACAATAAGCCATTTGGTCTTGGAACTCTGAAAAGTGTTCCACTAACAGAGGTGTTCCACTTCTAGAGATGTTCCACTTAACAGGTTTCACTTTATTAAATTAACAAAGGTGGAAACAATATACTCTGGTTGTTTGCACTAAACATTATTTTTATAAAAAAAATAAATAAACATATAAGTCAACATAATAAATAGTTTGTGTACTACTATTTACTTCAGATAGATAAAAGTATATTGTTGTTATTGTTGGCATTTTCTGTACTGTCATCTGGCAAAATATGTGTATCAATATAATTTCTATTACTTTATATTGGATATACTTTACTGAAAGGGTGAGGGGGCTGTTGGGATATCATATGAGACATCCTTACAATATTGTATCATATTAACACCCCCCCCCCCCCACAATAGCTGTCTCATCAATCACTAATCTTATACAGTTAGTGCAGGTTCTTAGCCAGCTTTTGCTAAAGTGCTCTAAATGGTGAAAAAAGACATGCCCCCCCCCCCTTGGTACAGGCCTGCATGTGTGTCACTAGCAACTGACATATTCAAGGCATGATAATACTTATCTTGCATTGTTGTCCACTTCACAATAACAATGGTAACAACTAATGATGTTAACAGATTAAGTGACAAGAAAACAACTTAAATAAACATGTACATGTATAGAGTAACAAGTCAACTGCTTTAAAATGCAATTATAGTTAGAACTGTGCTTGGTCAATGCAATGGCCTATTAATGATAACAACCTTATATTTAGCTCATATTTTTCCTTTCACAATGGTAGGAGCAGGCCTATCATCTGTATCATTTCCCCTTTTCCCCAGAGCATAATCTTTACCAGAGTACTAGTGGTAAAGAGTACTAGTATAGTATAATTTTCTCAAATCAAAGCCAAGTTTTGTTCTTAATCAACAGTTACCTTAATAAGAGCTTTGCAGGAACTGAATGGCTCAAAATTTTGAGTATGAATCAAACAGGGCTCGAAATGTTTTGGTATAAGCCATTTTAGGTGCAGGACCTCCATGTTTCAGGCCTAAAATATTCTACTCTGAAAAGGTTTCTAAGGAACTAATGGCTGAATGGTCTGCCCCTTTAAAGCCTTCACTCCACTGATTGTATAAAAGAAAAATAATGTCAACCTGAGTGACAATGAGCATTTGTCATATCACATGATACAGTAAAACCTGTTTAAGTGGAACACCTTTGGTAGGTACCTCTAGTGTTCCACGTGGGAGATGTTCCACATACAGAGGTTCACTTAAACATGAAGCCAGTTGGGACTCTGAAAAGTGTTCCACTAACAGAGGTGTTCCACTTCTAGGGGTATTCCACTGTACAGGTTTCACTGTGCACAGATATTCATTTTCTCTTGACTTTAACATGAACTATACCCTGACAATCTACAGTAATCTGTGATTTACCGTGGTTACCTCGAGTCTCTTTCCTGATATTTGCGGCAGGAGAGCCTCGGATAAATTTTCTTTGGCGAGAATTGGTTCTGTAGCATTGCCCCTGCTTCCCCCAATCGGAACTGGCTGGAACTGGTTGTTGTGAATCGGCTTGGAGCCGGATGCCAGCAGCGCTGATTGTTCTATTTGTTTTGACACCCTCCTTACAGGGCTCACACATAATGCATTATTGAGTGATTCCTTTGAGGTGTGCACGTCAATGGGGTGGCCTTGTGACCCTCGCACATTCTCCATATCTATGATATTCTCTAAAACTGAAGTTGGAACATTTAACGATGCATCTTCATTTGTAAAAGTCGGTATTGTAATCATTTGGCCTGATGCTGTAGTGTATTTTATATGTGACATAGCTATGTTATTCTCCTGTAGCTGTCTCTGCTTGGGGGTTAATTTACGAAGCGGCTGCAGCACAGGGCCTGGGTTTTGCGAGGAAATTTGCTTGACTGAAAACATATCCGCCGAATTATTCTCACTGTATGATATCCTTGGATGAATGCTTGTGTCTGATTTAGTATCCCGTCGATTAACTGATCTTTGGTCAGACCGACCTCTAGCGTAAGGGTTTGTATCATCAGAACTCTTTTTAAATAAATGTGAATCTCTTTTTATCTCATCTTCCAAAGCTGATATTTTACTTGAGAAAGTTTCAATGAGTTTTTCACTAAGTGATTTGCCATTCACCCTGGGTCCACCAACTTTAGAAATGGATTCAGATTTCAATTCTAGTCGGCCAATTAGTTCTTCTTGTTGGATCTTTTCCTTTTTTGAAGAGTTCATTGATTCCAAACCCTCACTTATGTCTCGTTTTTGTGCATCTTTCGAGAACAGAGTGTCTTCATAAAATTTTTTTGGACTGAGTTTAGTTTGGGCTAGCTCCGGTTTGGTAATTGGATGTTGAACATGATGCTCAATGTTCTGTGGTAAATCACTAGGAATTCCCCGTTCACCTTTTGCTAGCGGTGTTGTAATGTCTCGGTTCTGCCTCATAAGTGCATAGATCTGCCAGTTTTCTTTGGCAGCATGACTATCAAGTTTTATATTGGGTGGTACAGGTCCTGATGGAATACTATGTGAATGTTCTGTTGCTTTTTTCATTTCTGATTTTTTATGCTCAGGAGTATTTTCCAATTCTCTTTTCAAATCACGCTGGATTTCTTTTTGAAATTGTCTCTGATCAGGAGTCAGTTTTTCACCACGTTGTTTGGATGCCAATCTCTGAGCTTCTAAACGCTCCTTATTAGCTTTGGAAGCCCTATACGTGCCATTGTTTGTTATATATCTGTAGGTTTCTGATTCAACATTTGCTTTCCAGATCGGTAATTCATGCTGAGGCCATTCTCTCGTACCATCAACATGATATTTGTCCTTGACTTCTGACTGACTGTTCTCATTGTAATTAACATGAAAATCATCTTGACTTTTTTGTCCTTTGCGTTTTTTAATTTGCGTGTGTGCAACAGGGGGATGGGCCTCATATTTTGGATCAGCGATTGCATATTGCCAGCCAATTACAGCTTCTGACCACCCCTCGTAATAAACAACATTTCGAGATTCTTCCGCTTCAATAATGGCTCTATCACTAAACTCTAGTAAATTATCCATAATTGTACTGTCATTTCTCATATGAGATATCTTGTATGTCTTATCCCCAGAGCTCATTAATACATCCCCACCAGGTAATGAGCTTGTACCCTGGATCATACTATTGCTTAAATCTATTTCAAATATTTTCTTTTCTTAAATCCATCACATCATTATTCTGTTTTTTATATCACAAATGTCCATAATTGTTCAGCATTTGTTGAAGACAGATAAACTTTTGATATACATATTTACTGAAGTGCAACCCATATCGACAGTTCTAAGGGATTAAAATATACTTCTTTGGATCTGTTGTTCCTGAAAGAAAAATAATATTATAGTATCTTTCTTGAAAGACTAAGTACATTTGGTTTAATTTTTTGGAAAAAACATTGTCAGAGAAACATCAGAATAAAAATACAAAACCATACATTTGTCAACAAATTCACAACCAATTCAAAATATACAAATGTTTTGCATCGAAAATATTGATGTGTTTTTCAATTGTACTCTGGGACTTTTAATATTGCTTATTACATGTACTTCGGTTTGATTGACCCATGTGTAAGCAGTAACGTGTAGCCTAGACCTAACCTTTCAGTATTTGTAGATCCAGAGACATATAAAACATGCTTTATATGTCTCTGGTAGCCTTAACCAAACCCGTCTGGCCCAGTAATCTACTCCCGATTCTGAATTGTCCTAGATCTAGGGCCAGACAAGGTCCAATGCAGAAAAGGGGGTATTTACTCCGGAAAAAACACACTGCTGAATCATCACTTATTATTCATTCCCTATTAGCCATCCAATCAAAACATCGGGTACCATGTAAACCCAAGTATTTATTTGAAATAAAGAGAACATAACTTACGCGTAAATGTGGTGTTTTGTTTGTTATATTGATGTTGAAATGGGCACAACATTTCGTCAATATTTCGTCAGTTCTCCGCACCGAATAAAGTCACGTGATGTGACGTAACACGAGTGTGACGCGATAATTTTTAAACTTTCATGGAACGAAAATACATTTCCCGGGAATCAATACATTCCAAATATTACGATTTGTTCAGCAGATTTGTTATCAAAACGTAGATTACTTTATAAAACAGACGTATCTGTGTTGTATTTAAACTGGAAAGAAATATGGTGGACATTAAATACGATTTTTCAATTTGTTGAACTGACGGAATGTAGTACTGAACGAAATAAGAAGCCGAGACTTCTCGATATTCTACGAGATCACGAACAGATTGCAGAAGAATTTTTCTTTTTGCTGCGTTTAGACAAAGTTTGATACAAGGAACAAACACGTAAGTGATTTTTATGATGTTTATTCATTTATCAGCACATTATACATTGAAAAACCAGTGTGTTTTTTCCAGAGTAAATACCCCATTTTTGCATTGGATCGAGTCTGGCCCAGATCTACGAGGTCGGGAGTAGATAACTGGGCCAGACGGGTTTGGTTATGGTAGACTAAGTTAGATCTAAGAGTTTAGCCTAATCATCAAACTTACTCGAGTCTCTAGCTTACAGCTAGACGAAACTTCATTGATTTCGTATGTACTGTGCTACACGCACCTACACGCACCTAGAACTCATTTTTAATAAATTTTATAAATATTTTTAAGAATATTAATCATATTTAGGATGAAGCGTTGCTTGTCTGGATTTAGATATTTCAAAATTTCATTTCGGAGTTTGACACATGGTGAAATTTTCTCGCTGTAGCTAAAAATGGCTTCCGGTTCTGGACGTGAATAACATTTGAAATTATTCTCGCTTAAAGAAATCAAATATAACAATAGATTCGGACGGGGATGTGAGCTGATGTTCTTTAAATCTATACATAAAGGTATATTTCATATTATTATGCCATATTTACTGTGCGTGTGACACAATGATTTACAATATTTATAATACTAAGGCAGCTCAATCTTCCTCCTCAAAGCCGGAATATATAGAAGGCTTTGGACCGAAGTAACATCAAACCAGCATGTTTGTCACAAAATTACACATTTTCTTGAGAAATCTAACCAATTTTGTTCATTCCGGAACTAAAATCAATTGATCAATCAGATTACATCCAATTTATCTAAACATAATATTGATTACCATGATAAAGTCAAAACAGCGTTATTTTCAAGATCAAGGAATTCTTCAAAAACCCAAAGAAATTTATCAAAAATTCTGATTTTCACTTCAACTTTACACCATAAATTGAATTCACAAACCTGCCATCTTGTTTCGTTCATAATCCTGAATAGCAATTGTACTTAGCTAATGGGCTTATAGTTCTATTGTATTGTGCTTTGTATAGAAATCCGATAAAATCAATACAGCTAACTGAGTCAAAATTCTTGCAAATAGCTTCCTTTTACCTGGCAACTTGTTTGACCTCTCGTGACCTTAGAGAAAACTCGAGATTTGGTAACACTTGCTTAGTCCTGACATCTTTCAATAAGGTAGTGATAAATTTACTAAAACCTTTCGAATACAGAAAGATGTCACCTCAGTATAATAACACTTTTATGCCATTTTGTGTATACAGTATTGTAGATAGAAAGTTATTAACTGAAACTATATTTTATTTATCTGTTCCCATGGCTATGAGCATGAGTCATATTATAACCATCTAATCTTACATTTCTAGTGACAAGAATTGCAAATTACAGTAGAACCTGCTAAGTGGAACACCTCTGTAAGTGGAACACCTTGCAAGTGGAACGCTTTTTCAAAGTCCCGTTTTAAAAACCCATTGACTCAATGTTAATTGAACCTCTGTAAGTGGAACACCTCCAAACTTGAACAGTGAACACCCCATATTGAAAAATTAACCTGCTAAGTGAAACAGTCAATTTTCCATAAATTTCAATATTGATACTTATGTAAACAGAATTAACCTCCTACGGTGATTAATGGGTATGAAAACAGGTAATAATGTGATAATTGGCAAATTAGGTTTTTTAATGGATTACCATTCAGCAAATTGGATTAATCTCCTGTAGAGGTCAACACATGATGCAACCACTAATTAATTTGATAATCAGCAAATTAGGATTTCATAAGATTATCATTCAGAAAATTGGATTAACCTCCCGTAGAGATGGACATGTGATGCTAACACTATTTATACCCCTTGCTGTTTGTTTCAAACTTGATAAGTAAGATTAAGAATGTCAGTTGAAAAACAATTGAATTATTAGCAGTAGGAACAAGTCTTTAAAACTTAATTGCCAAACCGTTGTACCTGAGACTGGCAGAATGAGGAGGATTAAGAATGTCAGAAAACATTTTTGGCAGAATGAGGAGGATTAAGAATGCACGGAAAAAACTTTTTGGCTCCTAAAAGCAAAACGTGAGCACAAAGTTTAAAAATTTAAAGCGTGAGGTTGCGTGACAACCGAATATATGCAAAACCCTAACCATATCAATGAATAGTATTGAATTTTTGCATGACTGAATATGAAAATGAAGTTCCAGATTTTTGTATCAATTTTCCGGCTTTACAATTTAACCAGGACTTTTAGAAAACTTACAATCTGAATATTTTAGCACCAGCGGATCTAGACGGGGGTGTGGGGGGTGTACGCCCTCGCCCCTTAAAGTCGGAAAATTCGTGTTTTGCCTCATAGACTCTTCGCTCACAGTTATTGCCACACGCCCCCCCCCCCCCTAACACAAAATCCTAGATCTGCCCCTGTTTAGCATATACGTTATACCATAGTACGTCAAACTTTCCATGAACAAAGTTGTATATTAAATAATAGATACATTTATTACTATATCACACAGCAGGATAGTAGCAAAACATACAAATTACAGTATAGTGTAGTAGGTACAGTCAAGAATGCCATTGCTTATACACATAAGATTGGCAAATCAGGAATGAAGTTATCTCAATACTTTCTGGAGAAAAATGACAGCTTTTTAGTTTGTGGGCACATACAAATAAGATGAAAATTTTACAAATGAACAAAAATTAATTTGAATAATAAATTAATCAAATTAAATCAAATACTGCATGAGATTGTAAAGCTTAAATCACAAGTCCTATTTTTCTCAATAAAAGGTCAAAATTCTACCAAGTTATTTCAAATTGTCTAAAAATCATGTAATCAATTTTTAAAGACGACTACAATTTATCTTTAGAAATTAGAATAGACTTGTGTTTTAGTTTTCTACAGCCCCATCCCTGCAAATTTACTCTTAAAAGTCTGAAAACTGATTTGTTTAGCCAGTTTGAATTCAACAAATAGGTTGAAAGGTTAAGAATACTAGAAGTTCATTAATAGAAGTAATTTTTTAGTAAATCCAGATTTAAAACAGCATTGGTAGTCTTAATGTCCACATCTGTAGGCTAGGGGACTAGGTAGTCTTGAGTTAATATAACATTTTCCTCTCTCACCATTAACTTTTCTATAATTAAATTGTATCCAATAATCAGCATCATAATCACATCCCAATCTGATATTGCATTTGTGTGCATCTTTGACATCACTGTGATTTTTTTAATAAAAGTGGCTCAAAATATTCCAAAATATCCTACATTCGTTCCATAATGGTGCAGTCTATATACACAAGTTCCTAGCAGTCTCATCATACACTGTATCAATGCCCACCTCTGAGGGCCAATACTAAATGTAAAACAGAACCTCCAGTCACTTTATAATCTGCTGCAGTCTTTTCATCATTCCTGGAATAAAAAGAAGGGTTAAAGTTGTAATGAAATGACAGTCACAATCTCTTCGGGACGGGACAGGACATAACCAATAAAATAGTTATCACAGTCAAAAACTTACATTTTCCTTCTACTTCCGGTTTTGCTCGTGCATCGCAGATCTTTTGAATGTCACAAGAGAGCTGCGCATGTTGCGCAAAACTTGTAATCTGAGACTAATTTTAAGTTGTTCTTTTTCTCGCCAATAAAGTTCTGTTATTGTTTAAATTAAAGCATATTTCAGTTTTAGGATCATATACAGGAGAAATAGTATATCCTGGGGGTTGTCCCGTCCCGTCCAAAGACCAAAGTCTCGGGGGACGGGACAATATCGGGAAACCATGACATCCCTATAATTGAGTGAGTAAGTTCTCAAGTGTGTGATCCATCCACTTGTTTTTAAATGGAGGTTTATTTAATAAGAAAAGAGTGATCGCACCTAACTCGTATGTTGGACACTTACATTTGTTTTCCACTGAAGATGAGTCTTTGTTGTGGTGGGGGAATCCCCTCTTTCTCCTCAACTCGTTCCTTGATTCTCTCCACCTGTAATTTGAACACATTATTATTAAAACGGGGTACATTTACATCTTAAAACAACACTGAGGCAATCAAATCAAAATTTTCTCTCGCAAATAAGCTGACAAATAATATCAAATCTTAATCAATCAGGAATTTTAATATGGAAATGCCTTTCTGCCTCAGTTTTGACCCTTTACTAGGTATAGATCAATATGGGGCTGAAATAGAGGGTCCACACCATGAAATACAAAGTACCAACTCAACAATGGAAAAAATCAAGGAGCGAATCACATTGAAATACATGTATCATTGATATTGTATGGAATTGAATGGCATTAATCATATTGTGGAATAAGTAGAACCAGTGATCTCCCAAGCATTAAAGCAAGTGGATGCAGCACCCACCTGAGATTTTTAAAAGGGTTGCACCCACCTGAAAATCCCTTTGTACCTACTTGAAAATAAGAAAAATCATGAAAATGGGCATATTTTACCAATTTTGACTGATTTGTGAAAATGAGAATTTTGAATCCACTTGAGAAAAAATCTTGTGGAGAACACCGAGAACTATAAAAAATAATTAGGCATTTTCTGATTGTTCATTGTTCAGTTTCTATTTAAAATATTTTGTTTATAAACTATAGATGATTTTGTAAGTTCTCTCGTTACTGTACTTTGCTTACCTTATCAGTGGGCTCAATGTCAATTTCAATCTGAAAAATAAAAACAGTAAAGTTACAAACAAAATGGAAATTCAACAATTTTAACGTTATTTTGCAAATTGTGTTGATGCAGAGCCTGGATGTACCAATAGATGAAGGAAATTGATGTTGAAATAAGTTAGATAACACAAAAATTACCTCGTTCTACCAAAAAACCTATATGATTAGGGATTCAACTACATAAAAAGAATCCTAAAACACTCAGGACTTTAATGAGGTAGGTCATTTACAGTGGCGGATACAGGGGGGTGCGCGCGGGACGCGCGCTCCCCCTAAAATCCGGCATGGATATTAGATAGACTAATATCAAAGAAAAATACATGCATTCAAGAAGAGACATTTGAAAATGAAAAAAACTGATAACATGTCAACAATAGAGCGTTGGAACTTTGAAGGTGTAAATTCAAAAACTGCTTCAATATTAAAATGCCTCTGATGCAAAATAATGCACTGCTTGGAAACGACATTGGTTTTCAAATAGAAAGCCCATGGAAACGTTGATCTTTGAAATCGCACAGTCTAATTTTCTGATGAAATATAATTGTTTTATTTCTCAGACGCTATAGATGACCAATTTCACTTTGGTAAAACAATTAAATTCACATTTCAATAGCTTTTTAATCAAAATTGGTGTCATGATTAAATTGTGTTATGTCTTTTTGAATCATGAAAATGGACACATGTAACATCGTCTGATATGTCACACGTTATCATTTGTATGTTTGGGATGTTCAATTTAATTAAGATTTCAGTTAAAACGATTTCAACCGAAGGTTGATGAAAATAATTTTACCAAAAACAATAATAGAATAGAATGTTGGCGTTATCTAAGAAAAATAAAACTTTTAATTAATTGCAGATCCAGTTTTTCAGTCCATTTGCAATAAACGTTTCAAGAACTTATCTTGATCAATACGCATTCTGCGTACACGTTCCTCCGACTTGTCTAGATAGTACATGTACCGGCAGTTATGTAAGCTTATCATCCGCAATTCTTTGGTACGGTACAATGATTTAAAAATATTAAAAAATGATCAGATTGCAGCAAATGGCATTCAAATTCTCGAAATTCCCGGGGACCTCGTGTTTGTCGGTCTCCAGCCTCCTTTGTTCATCCATCGACCTCGAATTCAAAAATCAAGGCGCACCCCCTAACCTGAAATCCTGGATCCGCCCCTGATTTAAGTGTGAAAGGGGTGGATATTTCTCCAATATTGTTAGCAAACAGACGACCTATACTATAATAGTATAGGTCGTCTGGTCTATAGTTCTCTATAGGCTATAAGCTATAGAGATGCTCTCAGGACTTAAATCATGGCACAGGATAACAAATGTCCAAATGCAGGACTAGTCTAATGCTATACCAAATGTCCAAATCCAAGCTAGGCCATATCTCAGGAAAAAGGCTCATATTCAAAATTTGCAGAAACAATCCAAAACAACCTCAAATTAAGGACATGTGTAACGACAGACCAATGCCATACCACAAGTTTGAGGTACATGTATTGTAACTTTCACGACCATTCTCATACCAGAAAGTGGCAAAATACAAACATTGCCATACCTCAAAAATGATAAATTTGGGGGAATTCTCTTACCAGATCCTAAAATTTGGGTCCATTGCCATACCAAATGTTGAAAAAGATCCCCCGCCCTGGGGCCTTCCCATGTGAGGCGAAGGTCACATCGCAAGAAACAGCCAATGAAAGTAAAGATCGTGAAGCCTAACAAACCATTGTTATTGTTTCCACAAGATTTTAAAGATACGTCATAGGGTTTGCCAGTAATCTCTGATGTGACATCATCCGGAGTGGCGTCACATTCTCAGAAAAGGCATTTGACTTCAGGAATAAACATTTGAACAATGGAAATAGCCATAGCACTTTATTAAATATATGCTCGCTTATTTTATGCTTTTATCAACAGACACTTTCTTGAATGTGTGGTTTTAGTGATTGGAGATGAAGCTAACAACAGTACGCATCGTTTGAGGTATGACATGTGATATTTATTGATAAACTGACTCCAAAATCAAAGAAATATAAATTTTCCGAAGACTTTGTGACTTGTCCTTGAGTACATTTATTGAGCCTAGACACCAAGAAAATGTAATCTGGCATTATCTCGTTCCAAGACTATCTCTACGTTCTAGTCTTGCGAACGTCTTATTCTTTTGTCTGTTCGATTACAACATGGGAGAATTTTCTACGCTTCTTACACTTAAGATACCTATTTCAATAGATTCCTTGGTATTTTAGCATTCTTTTCGTGTAGTTGAATCCACAATTGTGTGGGTTTATCGGCAGAACGAAGAGGTTTTCATTTTTGATAGCAATATTTGCGTGTAATATTTAACTTATTTCAACTGTCAAATTTCTCCATTCAGTTCCCGGCATGCACCAGTCATAGGGAAATCCCTGGGGAATTCCCCTTCCGACATTTTGAAAATTGCTGATATATTTCCGATGTAAAAACTACAATCTCTTCGTTCTGCCGATTAACCCATACAATTGGCGATCTAACAATATAAAAAGAATTCTAAAATACTAAGGAATGTATCGAGGTAGGTCATTTAGGTGTGCAATGCGTAGTATTTTCTCCAACTTTGTAAAAACATTGACTGACCAATTATACACGCGTACGACCACAATCTAAAGGGGTCGTAGGATGCGATAAATCTGGCAGAGGTCCGTGGATTGATGATGATCATTTTTGGAGAAAAGAAAAAAGAAAAACTAACCTCCTTTCCGGTGAGCGTCTGCGAGTTCACCAATCATGGAAAAGAAAGAAAAATATTTCAATGGTTAGATGTGATATTCAGGAATGTGCCTGCTAAAAATTTATTCTATTGAATGTTTAGTTGTTTAGAAATAAAGAAAGATATACCTTCACTTTGATCAACATGATTTCCTTTTTCTTCTGCTTGTCAAGTCTCTTACCGGCTTTGTCAACTCAAATCTGATTGGTTGTTGATCAACAGGTGCTCTTTGTACTAATATTTAATTTTATTGATTTACTAGATCAATAGACAAAATGTAGATATATGAACTCACTCATCATTAATTGTTACATGGACATATTTCATTTTTAGTCAGCAAAAATGTTAAAATTGGCCCTAAAAATGACTAATATGAAACTAGGTCAAATATAATAGACCAATCAAATCTTCTGTTGTATGCCCGAAAACCCGAACATCAGTTGAATTCTGGGTATTTCGGCCATGTTTACCTATAGCGGGTAAGTTAAAATCTTGCTTATTTCAAATTCATTTTTCGGTGCTTTTCAGAGGGTCTTCAATTGAATAATGCTGTTGTAACATAAGTACATACATTCTGGTCTATAAAAACGTTGATTTTATAACGATCGCGCCAAAAATACCTAAGATATTGATAATAGTATGAACATATCTCACCTGTAAAATGCAAAAATACAGGTGCGTTTTTGGCCTATCACAATCAAGTATTCAGGTGACCTCATAACTCTGAATCGTTATCAGGTATATGCAATGGCGGCTATGCAGTAAAAGTAAGTTACTTAAAACTTTAAAAAGAGTTCCTATGATGGTTCATTTCAGTTTTTGAATGTACAAATTGACAAATATTCATACCAGTTATTTATTGTTCAATTTGAACTCCTTGGTGTTTTTATATGATCATATAACATGCGTATTTATGAATGAGTCATTTCAAGTTCCTCCATTTTATCTTATCCTTATATATATAAATGTCCAGTAAATATTTGACCAAATTGCTTTGTATAGATCGCCATAAATTTATGAATTGGAAGAACAATATTGTCACGTAACCCACTGGTACGAAAAATCTCCTTGATTGAAGTTATAGACCACACAGGGCAAAGAAACCTTTCGTGAAAAAACTAGGAAGTAACTTTTGTTTACTTGTTTACAAATTCAGTATCGGTCAAACCTGCCCAAATAGCCATCACAAATTTTCAATAACTGAACAAATTGATATGATTTGCCAATAGTTCAATTAATTTGATAAATTGAAACATTTACTGTCCCACTTTGTTGTCAAAGTCATCATTTAAATTCTCTATAATATATGTCCTTGAACTTTCAAAATCATAATTGAAGTAAGCCGAAGCAGCAAGTTACAAAGAGTAAAACAAATTATTTTCTACAGCATGTTGTACTATCCAGATAAAAGGATAAAAGATAGAAAAGTTTTTGGAAATAAAGTTGCGAAACAGCCTAGCAAAGATATTTCATTTCCCTTTTAGATTTTATGTTACTATGAGTAAAGAGAACCAAAATAGTGATTTAACTTGGGGCTTCTCAATGAAAGCAGTCCTTCATGATAAGTGTTTAATGTCACCACCAGAAGTGGTGACATATTACCAAAATGCTAGGAATTGAAAATCTGGTTAAAAATGTGCCGGAATCTGGATATCTTCCATCAAAAAGAGCATGGAGACCGCAAATTATGAATGCTGTAAGATCCGTCAACAGACAATTTTTCTTACAATGCTCATGTTAAAGCAAATTTTTATACCTACGTGACTATGTCACAGATAAAACCTTGCATATGGTGGTTGATATGTCAGAAATATCCCAAATATCAAAGCTAGTGTAAACCTATGATGCATTTGCTATGTACCTCCCATGCATTAAGCACGAACATCTTCAATGGTTCAAAAAGATGCATATTGTGTAACCTTTGTGAAACTGAAACAATTGAACACTTTATATTAAGATGCCCTATGTATGAGCCATATCTTAAAGCCCTTGACTGTATGAATGCTAGCAGCCTATCACAAAGAAATTTTTATGTCTTTCAGACATTTCATGTGACACATTAATTGTGTCATCATTTATACACAAAATGTTCAAGCACAGGGCCGAACTGTTGACTCTGCTTGACACATAATTTCTTTATCACTTTATGTATTTGTAAAACAACAACTTTATATCACATAATTTAATCTTATCCTTGTATATTATATTTTATATGTAAACTATATTATACTAAAATGTATTCTTTCATATAAATGAGGAAATAGTTATACAATACGATACAATAAGTGTTTAATGTCACCAGTAGAAGTGGTAACATATTGTTATAGTCTCCAACCTTTTGTTAATGACATTCTACGTCTGTAACAAAAGTTACAAATACTAAAGCCTTATTGATATTTCGTCATTTTTGTTATTTCAGATAGTAAATAAATCAAGTTAAAAATGAAGCCGCACATATTTTTCCCTGCACTTGCCCTTATAGCTGCATTATTTATAACACTATGGACAACTACAGACAGTCAAGGCGTTGTTATTGGTCCAGAATTAGGCACATCAGGGTATAAACTTCAACCTGAACCGTAAGTTAATATTCAAGGGGCCGTGAACGAAAACTTCATAAAATTAACAATTCTTCAAGTCAATTTTCCTCTTGCCATGATGTCATTTATCAATGGAAACAGTTTATTTTAGAATTTTTAACAAAGTTTCTGTAAATGGCCCATTTGAAATATCTGTAGTATCATTTTATTATCCCACCGAACGAAGTTCGAGGGGGATATAGAAAAGCCGTCCATCCGTTCGTGTGTCCGGGCAATAACTCAAATACCGGTTGACGGATTTCATTCAAATTTTATAGGCTTATTGGTGTAGAACCTCTGCTCGAGAAGGAATTTTCAATATGGCTGCTAAATTAAAAATGGCGGCCATTTTTCAAATACTCAAATACTAGTGGATGGATTTGGTTCAAATTTTATATGCTGTTGCCCGGGTCCAAAGGAGCCTTGCTGAAGAAGACATTTTCAAGATGGCCACCATATTTCAAAATGGCGGCCATTTTTCGTAAAAAAACGTTATCCTTGATAACTCAAATACCATTGAATGGATTTGGATCAAATTTTATATGCTGTTGCCTGGATGGACGAGAGTAAATCCCATATGGCATATGGTATATTATTGATGTTTGACCAATCACAAAATACTTCTCTGACAAGGGCTGAACTAAATGCTGAAATCTGATTGGCCAAACATCAATAATATACCATATCCCGCATGGGATTTACTCTTGTCCTTACCTGGATACAAAGAAGCCTTGCTCATGAAGACATTTTCAAGATGGCCACCATATTTCAAAATGGCGGACATTTTTCATAAAAAAACATTATCTTTGATAACTCAAATACCATTGAATGGATTGAATAATGTAACCTTTGATAACCCTAATACCAGTTGATGGATTTGGTTCAAATTTTATATGCTGATGCATAGAGACAAAGAAGTTCTGCTCAAGGAGACATTTTCAAGATGGCCACTGAATTTCAAAATCGCCGCCATTTTTCGTAAAAAAAACATAATCATTGATAAGTCAAATACCAGTGGATGGATTTGGTTCCAATTTTATATCCTAATGTTTAGGGAAATAGGAGATCTGCTTCAGAAGAAATTTCAAAGGCATTCTGAATTTCAAAATGGCTGCCATTTTTCATAAAAAAGGTAATCTTTGATAACTCAAATATCATTGGACGGATTTACTTCAAATTTATATACTGATGCCTAGAGATAAAGGAGCTCTGCTTGAGAAGAAATTTTCAAGGTGGCTGCTATTTATCGAAATCCCCACAATTTTTCATTAAACATGTAATCCTTAATAACTCAAGTACCAGTTGACAGATTTGGATTAAATTGTATATTTTTATTTTATTTATTTTTTTATTCTCAAATATAATACATAAATACATATACAATAACAATACAATAAATTGTGTATAAGCAGGATTCACAAAAATTGTTTTACATTAAATTGTATATGCTGATGCCTCGGGACATAGGAGCTCTGCTAAAGAAGAAATCTAAAGATGAATTTCAAAATGGCAACCATGTATCATAAAAACACAATCTTTGATAATTCAAATTCCAGTGGATGGATTTGGCTCAAATTTTATATGGCCGCTATTTACCAAAACATGTTTTGTTCGGTGGGATTTGCTACTCCGTGGAGTTGCTGTTTTTCTAGTTTGAATATTTCTACCATAGAAATAGTTTAGCTCTTCTTTTATGTAGGTGGTAAAAATATTTCGGTTGTAAAAGTGATCTTAAACTTCTTTCAACTTCTGTCTGTATGTGAAGAAATTACCTAGTTAATAAAATTTTATAGGTCATATATGATAATAGCCCCACGAAGGATCTACCCATATGAAGTTGTCCAAGTCTCTGTGTCCATCTTAGATCTGAGGTACAAACAGATCTATGTACGATGTTCCATACGTAAAGATCGGGTGGAGTATGCAGGAATCACACAGAGATTTGATAGAGTCTCAACACAAATGATCCAGATGCTGGTAAGTGTTACAGTTAGGATTGGAATTTAAAACTTATTTATTTTGTAATATTTATCATGTGAATTTGTCTTGCCAAAATTGTGTTGATTGTCAACAGGTGAGGTGTCTTAATAATAAGCTTACCTGTGCTGAATTGGGTTAAAGTGTCTTCACAATTAAATTGATCGATGAAAAGTGAACTTGATATAACATAGACTGTTCTTATACTTCAACCTCAAGTTGACACAGCGTTATAAATCAAATATCCTCGCAAATTTTTCTTTGTCCCAGAAGATTTGGCATGTGAGGATATCAATTTTTTGATTCAATGAAATTAATAAATTCCAAATTCAAGACTAAAAAATTTTAAGTCTCATATATATTATTATTCATTATTTTTAGATGCCCGAGAATGCTAGGCCTGGCAACTACACTCTGAGGATAGAGGGCACTCAGTACGGCAACGAGGGGGGTATGCTCTTCGTGAATGAAACCGCAGTGTTATTTGATGTAAAGCAAGCATCTGTGTTCATCCAAACTAACAAGCCTGTTTACAGACAGGGCCAAGATGGTAAGTAACCACAGAGGTTAATCAGGGATATCGGGAATAAGGCATACTCTGAGCACAGGGCTACAGAACTTGTTCCTCCTCCAGAAAAAGGTGATATTCAGGATCTTGGAACAGAGTGGTGGAGGATGATAAAGGGAGGAGGCCTTAAATTAGCTTTTGTTATTAGCTACTGTTATAGTCTCAAACTTTTTTTGTGGATGGTGTTCACCAGTTGGTATCTGACAATTGGTATCTGTCACAATTTGAAATGCAAAGTGGTAGTTCGATGTTTGTAGTCCATAAGTCATGATTGGCTAAGAATTGTCAAGAACATGCGGAAATCCTACTTTTACGTTAATGATTTTCTTAAATCTGTGCAAATGTTTTTCAATGAGATGCAGTGTGTTCTCAATTCGATACAGTTGGGCCATGTGATATAAAACTATTGTTCTGACAATGTTTCAGTGCTGTTCCGTGTTGTACCTGTTACGCCTAACCTGATGGCTCGTTCAGGCAGTCTTGATGTGTATGCTGTGGATCCTACTGGAACAGAAGTTAGGAGGTGGCTTGCCATGCAAACGAATGCTGGAGGTAGGTTTACATTACCATTTACCTCCCTCCCCCTGCCATTATCACCTTAGAAATGTCACAAATATGGACTAGATTGGCAATGTCCTAAGATAAGATCTACCACATAATAGTTCAATGGCTTGAATAATTATATGGTACAGTGCGGTGCTCATCTAAACAACTGAATAGTCTATGTTACCATTTACCCCCTTCCCCCGCCAATATCATCTAAGAAATGTCACAAATATGGATAAGAGTGTCCTAAAATAAGAATTGTTCACTGGTAGCTGTAATAGCTACATGGTACGGTGTGGTGCTCATCTAAACAATATAATGGACCAGCGTGAGAATATTTCGTGACGAGCATGGGTCAAGGTCCAGTTTTATTTTATTTTATATTATTTAGGTGTCCTTGAGATGGTTCTAAATCTGGCAGATCAACCCCCATATGGACACTGGAGTATCCGGGTAGATGCATTTGGTAGCTCTTACAAAAGGTCTTTCCTGGTAGAGGAATTCTGTAAGTAGAATCAGCAGTATTTAAATTGAAAATCGGAATGATTCTCAAGTGATATGTCCATATCCAATATGAAATTTGAAAAAAATAAGTTGTTTTAATAAAAAATATAAACAATTCAATACAGTACAAAACAAGAAAAAATGTGGAAATATCTTATGTGGCTCTGAACAGAAGTTAGTTGTATCACAGGTGTTTTTGACATGGAAATTTACATTATCACATGAAGATTGTTATATACAGTTTACCCTGTTGCTAGAAATTAACTTTCAAAATATTTCATTTCCAGATCTTCCCCGGTTCTATGTGAATGTTAGTATGCCTCCACATATCATGGAAGACAGCTTTGGCATAGGAGGTGTCATAACAGCCAAGTAAGTAGAAATATAGAGATTATCCTATATGACGCGTTCGGGATATGGGGATTATCCGCAGGTCAATATATATTAATAAAAAAAACTGTTTTATGTACCTCAAACACTTAAAACATCAAAGTATAGAATAGAAATGATATCTGCTTAAAACTCTCAGTTTGATGCACATATAAGGTGAACATTCTGCCAAATTCTCAACCACGCAAAAGTCACACAAAATCTCAAAAATAAACGTGATGAATTTGTTAAAGTTTACTATAATCCGAATCTAAGAATGTTTTGTTTCTAGTCACACAAGTGGCAGTGTGAAATTCTATTTTACTCTTTTCAATAATTTCCATATTTCTTATGGGTACACTCATACATACAGATCCTTTCCTTAGTTTACTGTAATCTGGATCTAATTTTTTGGTTTCTAGTCGCACAAGTGGCAGTTCAGTGCAGGGGAGATGTCACATCAAGGTTCAAGTCAGGGACCCCAACCTTAACTATGACCCCAGATATCCTCCAGTGTGGCCAACTACCTATTACTCCATACCTTACGTGAGTGTTTGAATAAAAGTAAAAAGTGGTCAGTTTCATAATTGAAAAGTTGGGAAGGTGGTGCAACAAGAATCAATCAGTTAGATCAATCAATGGATGTTATCAAAAATTGAAAATCGATCCCCGAATGAAGTTGCGCTTTATAACCTCTCAGAACCATCCGAATACTTATTTTTTACATTACACAAGGGATGGCTTCAGTGGTGGCTACAGAGCAATTTTAAGCATGTTGACTAATGTACAGTTTTATTCATTGAAGAAAATTATTTTCTCAGTTATAAAAAATACAATGTTGGCATTGAACTGGTTAATCTGAAAAACATAGGATCAAATCCTACGTTTAGGCTGATGTGAAAAAGTCACTCCACCTCAATGGGAATTGAACCCACAACCTCCTCATTACATGTTAGATGTTCTTCATTCAAGAAAATTATTTCCTCATTTAAATTAAAAATACATTGATAACATTTAACTGATAATACCTGAATGAAGTTCTAAACATTTTTTTACCAAATGTTATTTTTCTTGTAGTTTGAGGCTCGCAGTGATATCTTTTTCTCGATGGAGCAACTAAGACGGTTAGTGCCTGGTGGCAATATGGTGGCCAAGGAAGTCCATGTCAATGTGTCAATATACGACTTTGCAGTACAAGAAAATAAGACTGGTTGGGCTTCAACACTGATCTACGGCACAGGTTTAAAACTTAACTGGTTAGGGGACCATGTTAGAACATTTAAACCTGAAATGTTGTTCACTGTACATGTAAGTTGTTAATACATTGTTTATTTTTTGTAATATGCAAAAACTTATACTCGTACATGTAATATAAGCAGATAGTAATTTGTTTACTCACTAAAACCATATACTTTTGCAGGTAAAAGTTTCATTATCCTAAAATGTAATTTTGATTAGAAATTGTTCTTTCTTAGATTTTGATTAGTAACTGTTAGAGGAAATGGTTTTAGAATTGATATAAACTTTAGAAGGTTTGGAAATCATTCTTAAATTCAAATATTTTTAATTACAGATCGTAGCCAAAAAACATGACGGGTCCCCTGTGACGTTGGATAGATATCGCCTGATCACAATCTCACGACGTTTGAAGACACGGGGTGGAGGAGGCCGCACATTCCCAGAAATCAAACTCCCACTTCCTGACAGCAGTGTGCTAACATATGAATTCTTGCCTGAAAAAGAGGCTGAATCGTACACAATCAAGGTCAGTGTTTGTGAATTTTTATTTACGTTATTGTTGTAGTCATCTTAGCTGGCACCAGGAGGTGGCGGCATCTTTTCTTGTCTATGCATTTCCATACAAACTGCAAAAAAATGATTAATTTGAAATTTTCAGTAATATTTCAAATTTTCTGGGTTGGACGGGTTTCTTTTCTTGTCTATGCTTTTCCAGACAAAATTGCAAAAATTAGTTGATTTTAAATTTTTCATTATGTTTCTTGGTATGAAGATCAATCTATGAGATAAGTTTTTTGTGTTGTAAGATATATACATTTGGATGTGTTGTGTTGTAGGCCTGGTGGGAGAATGATCGCAGTACAGAGATTGAATTAACAGCTCATCGTCATTATTCACCAACAGATAACTACATCTCTATCATATCATCTACCTTGAAGCCCCAAGTTGATCGCTACATGATCTTCACTGTATTCACGACAACATATGTAGAGAAAGTCTATTACCTGGTAAGTTTGAGTAGAGCATGAGAAATAATGAAGCCAGATTTTTTAAAGGGGTTATTGTAGCATAAATAAAACTGAATACCTTAGACTAAATGAAATGTGTTTAAAAAATCTGTTAACTAAGAATGAAATGAACAGAAAACATGACCAGTTTTATGAAGAAATACTGCCCTAAGTACAATATCAAACCATTGAAATAACCCCAAAATATTCATTTCCAGTTAGCTAATGCTTCTTCACATCTAAATACTTCTGGCACACAAAGAAACATTGTTATAAGTTACAAATTTTACATTTTAGATATCATCAAAGGGTAACATTGTCCATGGTGATGTGCTTCATATGTCATCACGTCAGAAAACTTTCTCAGTGGCGCTCTCCAGGGACATGTCTCCACAGGCTCGCATCGTGGCTTATTACATCAAGTTTGGGGAAGTTGTTACTGACGGAATGAACTTCTTTGTTGATGGATCAAATCTGAACCCCGTAAGTTGGAGAAAAATGACCCATACCATTTTGATGAGAATTTATTTTTTAAATTACTGAAATTGACCCAAAACACAGATACAAAAATTATTACTAAGTTATTGCTTATGTATTTTTACGTGTGAATATTTGATAATCATGCAATATGCAATATTTGTGACTTGATAACTAAGTGTAGTCAATATGATGCAAATATTGATATATTATAAATTAAAGGTGTATTTCTAATGTCATGTTTGTTAGCTTAGCTAAATCCGAACCAGAATAATGTTATGATACATACAACTACCTTTTATGCATTACCTAGGTAACCGTGACATTCAACAAAGGGAAAGATTTCACATATGATACCATTGAGATCATTGGCAAGACTGACCCAGGATCTTACATTGGATTCTCTGGCTTGGATTATGATCTCTACAAACGTGGAGCTAGGACCTTCATCACTGAGAACGATGTAAGGAATATAACAGCCTTACACTTGTTTTGAGACTGTATCAAATAGAATATCAGTAGAATATAGGGATCTTTCTTTCTACAAGTATTTGTAATAAAGTTTGGACAAAATTTATGCTGGGAAAAAACAGAATTTAGGCTTCAGTATGGAATAGTTTGAACCCGAACAAAATTCATTTCAGTTGATAAAAAGTTCTGTAGATATGTTATCTTTTGGGCCATTATGGCTCACCACATGATGCTGTACAAGACTTCCATTGCACAAGACTTCCAATGCACAAGACTTCCAATGCACAAGACTTCCAATGCACACGACTTCCAATGCACACGGCTTCCAATGCAATTTGCTACACTTAAATGTTCAGTTTTCAGAAATCTTGTAAGTTATGGTATAATGCGGCCAATTGATATATTGTCAATATATTTGTAGATTATGGAAGAGCTGAGTACATATGATGACCATGTTAACTCAAGCTATAAGCACACTTGGAAGGGATGGGAGGATGAGGACAGACATGAGTTCTACCCTGCAGGAACATATGGCATTGATGCAAACACAACATTCTATGTAAGTCTTTTTCATGTGTTCAAAACATATGGCATTGATGCAAACACAACATTCTATGTAAGTCTTCTTCATGTGTATAACATATGGCATTGATGCTAACACAACATTCTATGTAAGTCTTCTTCATGTGTTCAAAACATATGGCATTGATGCTAACACAACATTCTATGTAAGTCTTCTTCATGTGTATAACATATGGCATTGATGCTAACACAACATTCTATGTAAGTCTTCTTCATGTGTATAACATATGGCATTGATGCTAACACAACATTCTATGTAAGTCTTCTTCATGTGTATAACATATGGCATTGATGCAAACACAACATTCTATGTAAGTCTTCTTCATGTGTATAACATATGGCATTGATGCAAACACAACATTCTATGTAAGTCTTTTTCATGTGTTCAAAACATATGGCATTGATGCAAACACAACATTCTATGTAAGTCTTCTTCATGTGTATAACATATGGCATTGATGCTAACACAACATTCTATGTAAGTCTTCTTCATGTGTTCAAAACATATGGCATTGATGCTAACACAACATTCTATGTAAGTCTTCTTCATGTGTATAACATATGGCATTGATGCTAACACAACATTCTATGTAAGTCTTCTTCATGTGTATAACATATGGCATTGATGCTAACACAACATTCTATGTAAGTCTTCTTCATGTGTATAACATATGGCATTGATGCAAACACAACATTCTATGTAAGTCTTCTTCATGTGTATAACATATGGCATTGATGCAAACACAACATTCTATGTAAGTCTATTTCATGTGTATAACATATGGCATTGATGCAAACACAACATTCTATGTAAGTCTATTTCATGTGTATAACATATGGCATTGATGCAAACACAACATTCTATGTAAGTCTATTTCATGTGTTCAAAACATATGGCATTGATGCAAACACAACATTCTATGTAAGTCTATTTCATGTGTTCAAAACATATGGCATTGATCCAAACACAACATTCTATGTAAGTCTATTTCATGTATTATTAGAGAGATTTCGCAACTCACTTATAGCATGTTTTAATTCCAGTGTAACTTATTATGCGTTTGATTGCGTCATCATTTATTGTGCTGGTCTATACACCCATAAGTATGATATTCTTACTATTATACTTATAGACCATTTATACTGTATTTGTAAAAAGACCCTTTAAATCAAGCCTTATGTAATCTGTGTGTAATTTCAGTATGCTGGGTTAGTGGTTTTCACAGATGCCAATGTGACCAGGTTGCCACATGAGTGTAATGAGACTATGGGTTGGTTGCCTTGCTACGACGGCACATGTTATCGTGTTGAGAAAAAATGTGACGAATATGCAGATTGTCTGGATAGAGCTGATGAAATGGGATGTAAGTCAGCTTTGAATTTATCATTTGCTTTGTTTCTGAATCGTATCTCTTTTTTCTGGAATTAACAAGAATCACTCGTATGTTTTTCCAGAGCTTTCCAGAATTTCTATTTAGAATGTCCCCATCTAGAGAGATTGTGAGTAAATATATATTTTTCAGTGTATAAACTTATGATTAATTACATCCATAAAATTTATTTAGGTACATACAACAGAACCACACCATACCCCCTAACAACACCATTTGAACGTATGAAGCGAATCACTCGTCACTACGAAGAAACGGGATCCTGGCTCTGGTTGGGGCATTTTGCCAAACCTAACGGCCAAGTTGAACTAAAGGTGGAGCTACCAAAAGAGCCAATGTCATGGGTAGTAGGTGCGTTCAGTATGAGTCGAGAGAAAGGTCTCGGGGTGATGCAGGAGCCAGCAAGGGTGAGGAATTTTTACATTTTTTCAAAGTCTACAAAGTTCTTTTTCAATAATTTGAAGATTTCATGCATAGAAATGTCATAATACTGTATGTCGTTTAGTATAGTTAAAGAAAAAAGCTGATGCTAGAAAATCCTTGTTATGGTTTTGTCTAGTATTACTCATTTTTACTAATATACAATATATAAATGTTACATTGTGATAAACAAATGATGATAAGAATCACACACATTCTGAATTTAGAGAGAATAGAGTAATTATATTAACATACAGTTACGCAGTGCAGTAATCTTCTTGCTTTTTTAGTTCCAAGCCACACGTCCATTCTATATCCAAGTTGAGATGCCAGAACTTGTAGTGAAAGGCGAGATGATTGGAATCAGAGTGGCTGTGTTCAACTACCATAACGAATACCTAGAGGTATGAATATGTAACTCATCTTTGTCACAATAGATATACATATAACATCTCACAGAAAGGGAGAATTTGATGAGGGATTCATCGGAACTTGAGAAAGTTTCTCTATCACTGAATTAGGAGCAATTTTAGTGTCTTATCCGTTTTTCTAAATGTCTAAACTGACTAGCTTAAAATATTCAAAATTATTTTTAGAAAAGTAGCTTCTCAAATGAATTGTGTTTATTTGGTATGATCCGTAAATTTTTATAAAAAACAACTGGCACAAACAGTTTAACTTTGAGGTTGAAAAACATTGAAGTATAGCACTTTTAAAAAAAGAATAATTTCATGTTTTCTTTGCAATTTTAGGCCCTGGTTACTCTGCATAGATCACCAGACTATAGATATGTGATCGTTGAAGAGTTTGGGATCGTCAGCTCTTACGCCCCTCGACTTGGAACTGGGGATCTACAGACTCTTGTCTATGTGAGTATTGTATTTTGAGATATTTGAACCATGAGAATAATTACACAGAGAACTCTGAGGCTCAGGAGACAGTTTTTGATGCTGGCAATACTTAACAATTACAAATGTAGCTGTGAAACTCAACTCGACTTGTGGCTTTGAGTCATATTCTATTATCACACTGATCAAAGTTTTGGGATCAATATATCAACCTACACATCCATATATGATTTTCAGGTGGAACCTGGAGAGTATGCATACGTCCATATGCCAGTGTTGCCCATCAAGGACAATTTTGTTGATGTTACGGTCAGCGCAACATCTTTCATTGGTGGAGATTCAGTGACTAAAAGGATGCATATCATCGTGAGTAAACTTATTTTCAATCCTTGACAAGATTGACAGTTTTGCAGATTTTCTTAAATATGTTTCGAATGGTTTGCCTCAGAAGAGACATTTTCAATAATTATCAGGAAAATTGATGCATGAATTAACATCGTAATTATATACATGTTTTATATTGAGTTATGTGTTTGTCTTAGAAACTTTCTGAATCATTCTCTGTAATACAGATATGTACTATAGTTTGATTTTAATACCATGTTTATTCCTATATTCCAGTATGATGGCGTCACCAACTACTACAACACGCCATATCTCATTGATCTCATATCCCAGGGTTCCCTCATTATTCCCGATCTTGAGATTCCCGTCCCTGAGCAGTTTGTCGTCCCTGAGCAAAGAGAGCATCGCTATGTTCCTGGCTCACCAAGAGCATTTGTCAACATTGTCGGTAAGTCCTGAAAAGTTAGCGTTGAAAATATTTAGTGACGATATAATGTCAAAGCTGTGACTGGTATTTGGCATCCGTGTCAATTTCTCTAATGATTGTTACAATTTTGTTATCGCAACCAGGAAATAACGTCTGACCTTACAAAACATTAATTTTTCCAGTGCAACACATTTACATTGTGTCAGCATTTTTAATTTACAGTAAATGAAAATATATATCACTGTGTTTTGTAAAAGTTTCCTCATTGTTCATAGATGTCTCAATTTACATCAATTTGATTACAGATAATTTCAACATTATCAGTCTTTGTCTCATGAAATCCCCCTATAAATATATTTTGTTTTCAACAGGTGATGTTGTGGGACCTGGTCTGTTCAAAGACTACATTAATGCAGAGGATATGTTAAGGAGACCATTTGGATGTGGGGAACAATCTGCCTTCAACTTTGCTGCTAACTTATACTACCTGAAGTTCCTCAAGGCAACAAACCAACTTGAACCTAATGTAACAACCAAGGCCCTAACATACATGAACATAGGTATGTGGGTTCTTAATTCTGACAATATTTTAGTGAATACATGCAGACTATAATGTGTGCAGAAAAAGGTTTTACCTAACAGATGGCAATATTAATAGAGATGATGGAACTAGGTCACTGTAGCCTTATTAAAATATTTTTAAAAAAATGCAAAATATTTAGATACAGTCTTCGATAAATAGCATGTGGCATTGAATTAGATTCAGTGATTGGGTCACTTTAGCCTACTTACACTTAATTGTAGGTCATAAAATGACTAATTTTGACACAAATGTTATTCCTTTATAGCATACCAGCGTATTATGAGCTACATGAACGTAACTGACAACTCATTCCATGTTTTCCGTGACGTGAGTAACTCGAGTCTCTGGGTCACATCCTTTATTGCTGAGGTTCTCAACAAGGCCAGGATCGCAGACTGGGAAAATGACCTATATCCCAGTTGACCTACTGAATAGATTGCTGGTGTATGTTTGTGACCAGCAGAACACAACAAGTGGAGCTTTTGAGGCAGTGGGACCATTGTATGATAGGAAAATGGTGGTATGTATTGTATATTTCTGAAAAATCTCGGTTGAATAAGATAATGAAACCAAGAGTGGAATCAGCAAGGAATAGCATTAACAGGAATATGATCTTCATTATGTAGATGGGAGATTAGAAAGATGCAGTTATCATAAGATTGTAGTATACAGTGTTCATTTCCGAAAGGATTTACTCTTAGTCCTTATATTTATGAAATGTCAAATCATGACAAAGGTGGAAATAGCATGGAATAAGATGAACTGAGATGAAGTCTGTGGTCTGAATCAGTAGACACTCCTGAATATTTTACTCAACTAAAAGTTGTCTGATTTCAGTGAAAAAATGTCTTTGATAATATCACAGCAAAATACCATATGTACATTATTTTGTTCTTTTCATTCAAATCATATGATTGAACCATAGTGTCTGAACATTTCGCTAAAAATTACCATATTTCCATTGTAGCTTAAAAGTTTGTTTATTCTATTTCAGTCAAACCGAACTATGACTGGACCTGATATGGATATACCTACGTATAAGAATATATCTCTAACAGCTTATGTGCTGATATCTCTGATAGAAAATAGTGGAGTTACAGGAGTATGTATTTTTTTCGTTATACATGTATAAGAAATTGATAAATCCCAAGAAGCCAGGTTCTTCAGATTTTTAAATGGCTAATGAATATTTTGAGGGGCTTAATTGTTTTTTGTTACGAGTTCATGTGGTGGGATTTATCCAGCATGCACCAGGATTTTAAGAAACATTTCATTTGGATAAACCCCAGGTTTAACAAAGAAACTATGACTTTGAATTGGTTAAATAACATTTTTATTTTGCAACTAACCAATTTGGGAAGAATTTTTGAACCGTAGTTGATTTTGAATAGGGAAAGATTTGTGCTTTATAGCAAATCATCATTGCTGCATACTTCCTTACTTTTGAAATGTTTGTACTTTCTGTAAAAGTTGCTCGATTTTTGTTATAGATTGCAAGAAGTCGTGTTGAATCAGCTAAGACATTGGCAGTAAAATACCTAAATGATTTTGTGCAAGATATCAGTGACCCCCTTCAGATGGCACTTGTCACTTATGCATTGGACGTAGCAAACAGCGTAAAGAGAAACGATGCCTTCAAACGCCTCGAGGCTATGAAAATTGAAAGTAAGTTGTGATATTGTTATAGCCTCCAACTTATTTGTGGCCGGTGTTCTGTGATAAGCGTTCATAACAGCGTTCCACAGTCGGCATCTGTAACTAATGGCAAATTGCATGTTAATGTCTTGTATATTTATGCAACAGTGATCTTCTAGGATTGAGGCAAGTTGGTGTGGCATTCACTTGTGATTTTAAAAATAGGTTTGTACCTACTTGAAAACCCAATTTGCCCTCTTTTAATTGAGAAAGAAATGAGGAGATATCCACTTACATTGAAAATACAGGCAAACAGTCTATTACCCAAGTAATATGTAAATAAATATTGAGAAACAAACTTATGTACATAAATACTAGACCCCCACACATTTCATATGGACTTAACATTTCAGATGAGTTTGCCTATTGGGCTAGTGTAGAAATCCCAATGAATCCGACAAAGATTATCAACACGGTACCGTTCCATCTACCTCGTAAAGAATATGCAAATGAGGCACATGCTGTTGCTGCTACGTCATATGCTTTGCTGGTGTATATGAGAAATAATCGAATGCGCGAGGCGACACCCATCGTAAAGTGGTTACAGACAATGAGGAATTCTATTGGTGGATTTGCTGCTACTCAAGTGAGGGGAAATGCATAGCATTATTCTAATATTGATTAAATCATTGTACACTTTAAAGCAGATATGAAATGGTATTTTTGACCTAAAGGAATCAATAGAATTTTTTGATAAATGTATTTGGACATGTTTTCTCATCAGTATTGTGAAAATTATTTCACTCTAATGATCATTGTAGCTGCTTAATAAGCAATATTCAAATAGTTTGTGACGTTATTGGCCCTCACATGATCTCTCACTGGCCCCAATGTGGCCCGTTTTGATGTTACTTATAAAAATACAGCAAAGCAAATGGAACAAAGCTTGTAATGATACTACTCAATCACTTTCTCTGTGAGTTGGTTATTGCCAAAAATTTAGAACATATAACCAAATATCATAATATAAATGTACAAAATCAGTGATGTGCTGTTCGATTTCCAGGATTCAATCATTGCTCTAGAAGCACTGACAAAATATGGAGAGGCAGATACAAACAGAGATCTCTATAACATGGAGATTAATCTCGAATCCACAGCTTCACCCGATTGGAAACGTACTGTGCGGCTAAATAAGGATAACTTTGCCAAGCTGCAGCGTTTAGAGCTCCCCCAAGATAAAATCTATGGAAGTGTCAAAGCTGTGGCACAGGGAACTGGCATGGCTCTCATGCAGGTAAGGAGGATTTAATGTTTTCATATTGGAGCCTCAGATCAAATTTAGACGTATTTCCTTTGTGTGGAGGGATAAAATAAAGCCAATTTAGGAATTAATTGAAAAATGAATCCGATTTATTTACAAATCTGTCATTTCTGTGAAAATAAGCTTGATCATGTATTTATCTTGTATAACCTCACCTTCAAAACTAACACACTGCATATTCTTTTTCAGCTGGAGACACATGTGAATGTGGAGTATGATAATTTGCTGAAACAGGCAGAATTAGATGCACCAGCATTTGACATCATCATCGATGACCTTAAGTTCAGTGGCAGAAATTTCTCCATTATGGAAATGAGACCATGTGCCCGGTGAGTGTTCATTAAAGTATCTTGGAAATCAAAATTGTTTAGTTAGCTGAATCAAACAGAATATAAATAGTTGAATACTGGCTTCATTAAAACCGTATGTATCTAAACCTCAAAAATATATTGATAATTTTTGCCAAATTTTAGGTACAAAACATAATTACAAAATAAGGAATTGCCCAGCCTGATTACACACAAATTAGTGATTTTTAGCTCACATGGTGAGCTATTGCAATCGCTCACTTGTCCGTCTGTCTGTCCGTCCATCCGTCTGTCCGTCCGTCCGTCCGTCCGTCAACAATAGTGGCACGTTTTAAAACCTCTGTCGATAGGATTCCTGTTTTAAGTTATTTCTGTTCAACATCAATACAGAAAACCCCCCTATGACTCCTGGTTCAAAAGCTCGCCTATTTTCAAAATGGCCGCCATTTTTGTCTCGCGAAATTCACTTTTGGCTCATTTCCTAGCTTTACAAATAATTTCAGGTGTCCTACATTGTAAAAATCCATGTCAATGTAAAGATATATGAAATAATTTTGTTACAAAAAATCAGCGAAAAATTGTATCCATTTTTTTATTTTCAGCCATTTTAGTTAACATTGATTTGTCTATCTGACTCGCGAAATCCACTTTCTGTCAATAACAGTGGCACGTTTTAAAACCTCTGTCGATAGGATTCCTGTTTTAAGTTATTTCTGTTCAACATGAATTCAGTCACTTTTGTCTCACGAAATTCACTTTTAGCCCATTTCCTAGCTAACCTCTGTCGATAGGATTCCTGTTTTAAGTTATTTCTGTTCAACATCAATACAGAAAACCCCCCTATTACTCCTGGTTCAAAAGCTCGCCTATTTTCAAAATGGCCGTCACTTTTGTCTCGCGAAATTCACTTTTGGCTCATTTCCTAGCTTTACAAATAATTTCAGGTGTCCTACATTGTAAAAATCCATGTCAATGTAAAGATATATGAAATAATTTTGTTACAAAAAATCAGCGAAAAATTGTATCCATTTTTTTATTTTCAGCCATTTTAGTTAACATTGATTTGTCTATCTGACTCGCAAAATCCACTTTCTGTCAATAACAGTGGCACGTTTTAAAACCTCTGTCGATAGGATTCCTGTTTTAAGTTATTTCTGTTCAACATGAATTCAGAAAACTCCCCTATGACTCCTGGTTCAAAAGCTCGCCTATTTTCAAAATGGCCGCCATTTTTGTCTCGCGAAATTCACTTTTGACCCATTTCCTAGCCTTACAAATAATTTCAAGTGTCCTACATTGTAAAAGTCCATTGCAAAGTAAAGAGTAGATGTATGAAATAATTTTGTTATGAAAAATCAGCGAAAAATTATATCCATTTATTTATTTTCAGCCATTTTAGTTAACATTGATTTGTCCATCTGTCTCGCAAAATTCACTTTTGGACCATTTACCTTTAACCCTCTGTCGATAGGAATCCCATTTTAAGTTATTTTTGTTCAACATCAATACAAAAAACTCTCCTATGACTCTTGGTTCAAAAGCTCGGCTATTTTCAAAATGGCCGTCACTTTTGTCTCGCGAAATTCACTTTTGACCCATTTCCTAGCTTTACAAATAATTTCAGGTGTCCTACATTGTAAAAATCCATGTCAATGTAAAGGGTAGATATATGAAATAATTTTGTTACAAAAAATCAGCGAAAAATTGTATCCATTTTTTTATTTTCAGCCATTTTAGTTAACATTGATTTGTCTATCTGACTCGCGAAATCCACTTTCTGTGGCACGTTTTAAAACCTCTGTCGATAGGATTCCTGTTTTAAGTTATTTCTGTTCAACATCAATTCAGAAAACTAACCTATGACTCCTGGTTTAAAAGCTGGCCTATTTTCAAAATGGCCGCCATTTTTGTCTCGCGAAATTCACTTTTGACCCATTTTCTAGCTTTACAAATAATTTCAAGTGTCCTACATTGTAAAAATCCATGTCAATGTAAAGAGTAGATGTATGAAATAATTTTGTTACGAAAAATCAGCGAAAAATTATATCCATTTATTTATTTTCAGCCATTTTAGTTAACATTGATTTGTCCATCTGTCTCGCAAAATCCACTTTTGGACCATTTACCTTAAACCCTCTGTCGATAGGATTCCCATTTTAAGATACTTTTGTTCAACATCATTACAAAAAACTCTCCTATGACTCTTGGTTCAAAAGCTCGCCTATTTTCAAAATGGTTGCCATTCTTGTTTCGCATAATTCACTTTTTGCCCATTTCCTAGCTTTACAAATAATTTCAGCTGTCCTGCATTGTAAAAAGCCATGTCACTGTAAAAGGTAGTTGTATGAAATAATTTTGTTACAAATAATCAGCAAAATATTATATCCGTTTTTTTATTTTCAGCCATTTTAGTTAACATTGATTTGTCCATCTGTCTCGGGAAATCCTCTTTTGGACCATTTGCTTAAAACCTCTGTCAATAGGATTCCAGTTTCAAGTTATTTTTGTTCAACATCAATACAAAAAACTCCCCTATGACTCCTGGTTCAAAAACTTGCCTGATTTCAAAATGGTCGCCATTTTTGTCTCGCGAAATTCAATTTTGGCCCATTTCCTAGCTTTACAAATAATTTTAGGTGTCTTGCATTGCAAAAAGCCATGTCACTGTAAAGAGTAGTTGTATGAAATAATTTTGTTACAAATTATTGGCAAAAAATTGTATCCGTTTTTTTTCAGCCATTTTAATTGACTGAGAGACAGATGGCTTGAAATAATTTTGTAACAAAAAATCAGCAAAAAATGTGACCATGTGAGCCCAGTACCCATGGTACTAATTTTTATTTTTTGAATGAATTGTTTAATAATCTTGACATTTTCTCGTGTTTTCTCAAAGGGAACATTTGTAGGACAATATTATAACTAAATTCAGTAAAAACAAAGATATACATGTAGTAACAGAAAGGTGTTGAAAATTGATGAACGTCTTTATTAACATAATTTTGATCTGCTCATTCATTTCAGATGGAAGAGAATGGACATTGCCAACCAGAGTGGAATGGCTGTCATGGAGATTCACATCCCTACAGGTTACGTTGTAATGAATGATGACCTCAGAGCTTACGTCCAATCAAAAAATGTATCTCTACTTAAGAGGGCTGAATATTACGCAAGAAAAGTAGTCTTCTATTTTGACTCGGTAAGTGAATTTTTATGTCACCCCCACAAGTTGTGACATATTGATATGGCCTCCAACTCTTTTGTCGACAGTTTTCGTCTGTGGCGGTTGCAATGTGTAACAAATAGCAAGTGGTGATTTTTTGCAAGTAATATTTTTTCATCTTGAGGTTGTTTTAGATTTCAATTTAAGATTAAAAGCAGGTGTAGCCAGGATCTAAAATTTGCAAGAAAAAACTTGATAGCCTCTGCATTACCTTATCTACAGATCCAACATAAAACATATCTTTCTTTAAGATCTTGGCAAGACATTTGTCTCCCCTGCCTCATTGCCATCTACACCTATAATCAGTGCATTGTGTATTTTTCTGAAATAAAATGAACACATTTTCAGTTGTATGTGTCAAAAAGCATGATATGTGGGGAAAAACTGATCCTATATTTTGGTTTTCAATTTCAGCTGAACAGCACATACACCTGTGTTGACTTCAGAGCTGACAGATGGTTCCCTGTTGCTAACGTCACCATCCAGAATATGATGAGAGTCTACGATTATTATGAAACAGGTAAGATACAGATAAGTGAAACATCTCTTGAAGTGAAACACCTCCCAAGTGGAACCCTTTGACTTAATGTAAAATGAACACCTCCTATAACACCTTTTAAGTGGAACAATATTTGAGGTACAAAATGTGTTCCACTTAGACAGGTTTTTAGTTTTATTCAGTGGAGATCCCTTATATGACTTAAAACAAACAGGCCCAAAATCTCACCCTATGTTTCAATGTATTTTCAGGTTTACACAATACTACGCTATACACCACCTACAATCTGTTCAACCTACACATGTGCCAAGTCTGTGGAAGCTTCCAGTGTCCTTATTGTCCTGGATACAACACAGCTGGCATGCTCTCCTTCAGTCTAGTGTTTAGTATTCTATCTGTACTTCTCGGGTATTTAACACAGCGCCATCTTTTGAACTCTTGATGAGGTTAAACTTTCAAGGACTTTTATTTGGTTAATTTGGCACTCGTTTAAACTTAGCAATAAGGAGCATGAAAAAATTCAAGGAAAATTGAGCTTTTTATTTAAGGCTTTTCATTAAAAAATAGTTAAACTTTTTTTGTTATGAAAGCAGCTGAAATCTGACATTAATTCATAACATTGGCATTCTAGATTTCCATTTTCATTGTATATCCAAATATGGAAGTATGGTACTCGTAGAGGTTTTGTTGTTAAATTCTCTTGAATGGCCACTTGCCGAGACAACAAAAAGATGAGACTATTGATTTTTGAAGAGCGATAATTCAGCATTTTGAAAAGATGTGCTATTGTCCAAGTTGAAACCAAAGTTGACATTTCAGAATTGTCAACAAAATGATTTTGCTTCAAATTTTTGGAATATATTGAACTCATTTTTGGTTTCAATTTTGAACTGTTCAACTGGGTTAGAGAATGAACTGCAGTGTGCCATAAGACATGCCTGATAGAAATCAAAGTAATACATTAGTACTACAACGAAACATTTCCAAACCTGATAGAAACTGCATTTTAGGGTTTATTTACATATATTTGTCTATCTGTACATAGGCTGTACTGGGAAGTACTTGTATTTTAGACTTTTTTATAATTCATGTATATCTATATTTAATATTCAAACCCCAAATTGATAGACTTAACTTTAATGATATATGTTGCAATCTTGTACAGTATATATACATGTAGATTATTCCATAAGAGTGACTGGATATGGATTTTATTCCTAGAAATATTTTTGGAGGGAAATTTCATTTATGTAAACATTCCAAATGTAATTTTCAGATATTTTGAAAAATACACAAAAAATTCCAGGGTGGTGAATACCTCTATTATAAGATAAAATAAATATTAATTATTATTAATTAATATTAATAAAATTAAATGTTTTGATGAATCATTGATTGAGTTTTCATATGTAAATGCTCTAACTAGTACTAGAAAACCATGTTCATGGAAATACTTAAGATTACAGATATGCCGTGATTTATTCAAAGTTAAAGCAACTTCATGTTAATTATACCTCATTGGGGAACCGAAGATAGCAATTTCAACATTGTATTGTTTAAAATTATCTTTGTGGTATATTGTAGACCCCAATTGACCAAAGATAGAATCCAGTAGAGTAGGTGCAAGATAAGCTTTGGTTAATATACACGTAGTCAGATTATATCAGTCAAATATTTCCCAACTCTGATAGATAAATTGTAAACTTCAATGTACATATTTTTTATATTTTATAGTATTTTTAGTGATTGTGTAAACCTTATATGAAGTACTTTACATTTATCATTCCACCACCCATACTGATAGACTTGTGGTATGAGGTTCCATATCCATCCGCCAAAAGGTATGACCCCTATATAGTCCATTTAAAAACTTGTGGTTTTGTTCTAAATAACGCCATAGTTGGCTTCTAGGGTACCTAGTATGCCACTATTTGGTATCAAAATAAAGAGGATGAGTTCAACTTTCATTTGAATTACGAAAATAGCGATGTAGGTCAAAAATAGTTCCGACGTGAGCATGTTTATTACGCGTTTGCCCATCATATCAGAATTGAGGAAGTGGTAGCAAACGCGAGTCACAATAAATGGACGCTGATATCTCAAAAAGTAACCTGACTCCCTATAATTTGATGTAGATCAATCGAACCCCTATATGAACAGGTACATTTTGATATATAACACTATGGGGGGTAAGCGTTTTATTGTTGGTCACGAACGCCATATGTGCAAAGTATTGTTATGAATTTTCGAATTTGGTGTTGGATTACGGTACTCATACCTTAATATGAGGCCTAAAATTGTCTGCTAGTTGGCCAGAGACCAATATTCTAGCAGATTTTGAGAACAGAATCGATTTTTTCGTTCTGCGTAGGGCAAACAATGATTTGAAATCACTTTCAACCATTCTGTGAGTATAAGAATGGTCATAAGAGGCCCGTGGAGGGTCTGGAATGAAAGAAAGCCCTCTGAAATTCCGTCAAAATTGCAGGTTATTTCTTCATTTTTTGCTAAAATTACATGATTTTCAGGGCCCATATCTCAGTGAAATTGCTACAATGTAGCGATTTTTCATTTTTACAGGCTAGATACACGTGTCAGGTCGACAGAAACAGTAAGCATGTGTGATTTTCAAATTGCTACATTGTAGCAATATTTATTTCAAAATACAGGTGTGAGGGAAACTGCAATTTAGTTAGATTTGGGCGAAAATGGCCAAATTTCAGTCAAAATCCTCGGGACACAGGCCCTTTGTCTTAGATTTAGTCAATGATGCAACTCTTAGTAGAAGGTGTGCCATATAGGGAATGAAAGCTGTTTGTCAGACGTATCATTTTCTTCAATAAACTCAGAGATAGTCAGGTTAGATTTGTGACGTCACAGTGGCAAAGTTAGACCAGCATATTTAGACGTATTTGGGGTAGGGCAAATTAACCCTTTCTAGCCTAAATGGATAAATTTTTCACATATTCAGCCAGTTCCGACGTTTTTATGTATTTTTGAACTAGAAATGATATTTTCTGCCAAAAAAAGTTGCAGAGACAAAAATCAGTGTGATGTCATAACACATTAAGGTATGAGGTTCCATATCCATCCGCCAAAAGGTATGACCCCTATATAGTCCATTTAAAAACTTGTGGTTTTGTTCTAAATAACGCCATAGTTGGCTTCTAGGGTACCTAGTATGCCACTATTTGGTATCAAAATAAAGAGGATGAGTTCAACTTTCATTTGAATTACGAAAATAGCGATGTAGGTCAAAAATAGTTCCGACGTGAGCATGTTTATTACGCGTTTGCCCATCATATCAGAATTGAGGAAGTGGTAGCAAACGCGAGTCACAATAAATGGACGCTGATATCTCAAAAAGTAACCTGACTCCCTATAATTTGATGTAGATCAATCGAACCCCTATATGAACAGGTACATTTTGATATATAACACTATGGGGGGTAAGCGTTTTATTGTTGGTCACGAACGCCATATGTGCAAAGTATTGTTATGAATTTTCGAATTTGGTGTTGGATTACGGTACTCATACCTTAATATGAGGCCTAAAATTGTCTGCTAGTTGGCCAGAGACCAATATTCTAGCAGATTTTGAGAACAGAATCGATTTTTTCGTTCTGCGTAGGGCAAACAATGATTTGAAATCACTTTCAACCATTCTGTGAGTATAAGAATGGTCATAAGAGGCCCGTGGAGGGTCTGGAATGAAAGAAAGCCCTCTGAAATTCCGTCAAAATTGCAGGTTATTTCTTCATTTTTTGCTAAAATTACATGATTTTCAGGGCCCATATCTCAGTGAAATTGCTACAATGTAGCGATTTTTCATTTTTACAGGCTAGATACACGTGTCAGGTCGACAGAAACAGTAAGCATGTGTGATTTTCAAATTGCTACATTGTAGCAATATTTATTTCAAAATACAGGTGTGAGGGAAACTGCAATTTAGTTAGATTTGGGCGAAAATGGCCAAATTTCAGTCAAAATCCTCGGGACACAGGCCCTTTGTCTTAGATTTAGTCAATGATGCAACTCTTAGTAGAAGGTGTGCCATATAGGGAATGAAAGCTGTTTGTCAGACGTATCATTTTCTTCAATAAACTCAGAGATAGTCAGGTTAGATTTGTGACGTCACAGTGGCAAAGTTAGACCAGCATATTTAGACGTATTTGGGGTAGGGCAAATTAACCCTTTCTAGCCTAAATGGATAAATTTTTCACATATTCAGCCAGTTCCGACGTTTTTATGTATTTTTGAACTAGAAATGATATTTTCTGCCAAAAAAAGTTGCAGAGACAAAAATCAGTGTGATGTCATAACACATTAAGGTATGAGGTTCCATATCCATCCGCCAAAAGGTATGACCCCTATATAGTCCATTTAAAAACTTGTGGTTTTGTTCTAAATAACGCCATAGTTGGCTTCTAGGGTACCTAGTATGCCACTATTTGGTGTCAAAATAAAGAGGATGAGTTCAACTTTCATTTGAATTACGAAAATAGCGATGTAGGTCAAAAATAGTTCCGACGTGAGCATGTTTATTACGCGTTTGCCCATCATATCAGAATTGAGGAAGTGGTAGCAAACGCGAGTCACAATAAATGGACGCTGATATCTCAAAAAGTAACCTGACTCCCTATAATTTGATGTAGATCAATCGAACCCCTATATGAACAGGTACATTTTGATATATAACACTATGGGGGGTAAGCGTTTTATTGTTGGTCACGAACGCCATATGTGCAAAGTATTGTTATGAATTTTCGAATTTGGTGTTGGATTACGGTACTCATACCTTAAGGGATTATTTTGATCATTATGGGATATATTGAGCATTATGGGATATATTGTGATTAATAAGCCTCATTCCTCTACATTGTACATAGAGCAATCATAGCTTTGTAGATACAGTATAGTATAGTGATATACTGTATATACAATATAGTAATATTGTCAGAAACATTTGATTACATGAAATGATTGTGAGTTTAACAATTTTATTTCAAAATCTGATGGTGTTTCAAATTTTATTTCAAAATTGATGCTATTTCATTAACATGTCAAATACAATGCCTCGTGCTTGAGTGACTAATCATGTTTGAAGTATTATACATAAATTATAAAAGAAGACACTCGTTAGTAATGTATTTACAATGCATCTATATTTGTATATATTTTTCATAACCCACACATGTAGGTAATATTGCATACGTAAACAGGACTTTTTATACATGTAAATTTAACATTCCAATTATTACAAATAAACATTCTGATTTTCTATTAAATGTATTTTCTTCATCTTTGCGCTGTTCTGTCTCGTTGTCTTTTTGACCAGATATCAAAAAGAGCAAAAAATTGATAAATCCACAGTCAGAGAGAATGTTTCTGGCGAAAATTCTGGGATTCCAGGCAATTCGAAGAACGTATTAGATGTCCGTGGATAAATCAGTAATACCAGGAATTTTGCTGGAGAGGCACACTTTTACACAACAGTAAAACCTGTTTATTTGAGCACCTCTGTTTCAAAATCTCAATGTTGACGCTTTCTCTGGCCAGATGCAGTGGCATTGGAATTACAGGTTTTCCTGTAGTTTTAAAGATAGAATAAAAAGCAAGCCGCCTAGATAGATGCCTTATATGGTATTTGTAGATCACTTAATATCGTTTGTTAAGGTTGGACAGTTTGCGATTTCACCTAAAACTTTTGTATACGACTTATACTTATCAAGTTAATTCATTCCAAATATTAAATTGATATTGGGATTGGGGGATTTTCATTTAAGATCTTAAAAAGATAAATTCCTATGTCTTAAAACATTGCAAGCCCAATGTAAAAATAACTTAAACTACAGTATAAAACAAAATATAAATTATCACTGGTTGAAATAAATGCATAATGTGCAATATTAGCAATAAATTCTATATGCGATATTCCTCCTCTAATACTGGTGAGCAATCATGCATGAGTTAAATGTCACACTATTTTGGTCCTCACCTAGAGTCCTCGCCACACGTGACTCTGATTACTGATTGAGCATTATTAGATATCAATTTGCAAGTTTAAAAATGGCATCTTGTTAATTTGTCAACCAATGAAAAGATCTACAATTTGCAATCATTTCTTGAATGTCTATTCCAACATTGGAACGGCGTTTCTATGGTCCTCTTTGTTGGTTGTTAAAGGATAGTCTCATCTCCCCAAGCTCGAACTGTTTTCACCATATCTACTGTTATTCTTCGCGCAGAGTTCCTATTGTCACTTCCGTAGCCGTGTATTCCAATGGCCATCCAATTCCACGTGTCCCATGTCCACACGGGGCTCCCGCTTTGCCCACCCTCCGTATCATTCTCATAATGGAACGTTTTGTAGTCTGATGATTTGATTTTCCCGCCCGCGATCCACATCGTTGATCTAGGGATTTTCCTGCTTGTACCTGGGTAGCCGCAGACGGTGATGATTCTGTCACGTAGAGCCGAATCCGACATGACCCTAAATGGGAAACCATAGCCTCCTGGCATCTTACTCTGGATGCGGGGTGGGAGAAAAATCACCCCATAGTCGTCACTGGGTCGCCCTCTAGAAGCATTCTCCCAGTTATAAGGCACACGTAGATAGGATTTAGTTACTGTAAAATAACCAAACGGTGTGGTAGAGCCATCTCTCCCGGGATAAACGCGTATCTGTTCCGCCCATCCACCCTGATCGTGCACGTAAAGATTGTGGGCGCATGTCAAGATGGCCGATTTGCCACTGAGGATGTTACAAAACCATCCTGTCCCGACATATCTGCCTCCTCGCTGTGTTTCGATTTCGAGACGGCAGATCCAATGATACGGTGGTGAGGTACATGGTGTTATACGTTGTCTCTCGTCACGTTCTATCACAGATTCCCGACGCATTGCCTGAAATACAAAACATAATTTAGCACTATCATAGAACATAAGGGACAACAAGCCATACGATCGATGTAGGTCTACAAGTCATAAAGCTACATCAGTCTACCATCACAATGGTCAATAGACCAAACTACAACATGATAACGTTTCCGAGCCCCGGAGTAGAAGTGATACAGTATCTAAAGATTTGTGCATAAAAATACTGAAGAAAATTTTGATTCTAGGCTTTGGTTATAAGAAAACATACATACATATGGTATTTCGTTTTGAACACAGGGGCTTGGCTCGAGTGTCGGGCAAGCCCTCCGATGAGTATGTACTGGTTATTAAGAGTATAAGTACTGGTTATTAAGAGTACACATTCATCGGAGGACTTGCCCGACCCTCCAGACAAGCCCCTATGGTTTTGAACATTAATACTGGCCATTGGGTTTGTGTAAAAAACCGGGTGACCGGGTAACCGGGTAGCTGGGAGACCGGGTACCTAACATTCCTAGCAGGGTTACCAACTTTCAAAGTTTAACATTTTCCCTGATATATAGTAGCGAATTGACTTGACAGACTAAGCCTACCGAGTGCACTACTGTTCGATATTTTTTACCCTATAAGAGACAGAGTACTTTTTAAAATAATCGACACAGCAAACAGTGACGTCCATGTCACGCTGGTCATTAGTTGCGTTGTCAAAACGTTTTTTCGATGTGAAATAACCTCAAAACGTGACGTCCATAGTGGCGTTCATGTACCGTATTGATCTGACGTTATTCAAATATTCAGCAAAACGTCGATGGATGGTATAAAAAGTACGTTGTAGAAACATATTCGTAAAGTTCGTTAGTGTAGAAAACGTAACAGGGATGTTTCATTTTTACCTTATTGGTTAATTTTCGAGGTAACATAAACGTTTTATTTCAACATTGTGTGGAAATGGCTTCAAAATATTTGTAAGTTAAGAAAACGTTACAAAGACGTTATGCTCTCACTAAGGTTAAAAGTTAACGTCACCCGGTTTTTTACACAAACCCCTGGCCATTCTTAGAATTTTTATTGGCTTTTGATAGGAGAAACAATTCTGGGTTTGGTTTACTAGGGTAAACATCCCACTTAGTGCGATCTATAATTTCTATACCAACCTCTACCATTGGGATATCCTCAATCTCCGCCGCACTTCTCTCTGCACCATCTTTTTCATCGGGACTATCTACATCGTCTGCAAATTCCGTGACCTCGATGCTATCTACATCCGGGTCATCGAGGGTGAAATCAACGGGATGAGGTTGTGTCTCGGGGCAGGAGAAAGTATCTGAAACAGAAAATAAACGTTCTCGTTACGGTATACAATCATTTGTAAACGATAAGTAGGGTCAGAATATAAATAATTAGTTTTGAAACACTTAAACTTTATTATTTCCCAAACCATAAAATAAGCTACATTTCCAGAATTAGTGACATTTAGACGAGGAAGAAATTGAAATAAGAGGCTGTTTTAAAGGTTGACCCCCCTCTTCGGTTTAGCAGGCTGAAATTAGGCATACTTCACTGTGATACTTGCAGAGGAAGATATACAGATTCGCCTATTCTGACAATACATATTTGGTCATCCATGGGTAGCGTGGCCAATGCATGAGTTCCTGGGTTACCCTGAGCATCATATCCCAGCCATGCAAGGGAAACGGGAAAATGTGATAGAGATACATTTTGTGTGCAATAAAATAGTGCATCAAATAAGAAATAATTATTGCATCAAAGATAGATATGACGTGCACGGACCTGGGGACAATTCGGGAAATACGGGCTAATCTCAGCTTTGAGCGTTAATCTCTGCCTTATTTAAAAAGCTAACTATGTGTTTTATATATCATTTTAAAGTATTTTTTATTCGCATTTCAGTGAAATTATTTTTCCTTCAAAATTTTGATGGGATCCAACATTTTTTTAAAGTTAAAAATATCCAGACATCGTCAAATACGCTGTAAGACGTAACACTTTACGCTTATAGGGCTCGTTGAAATTGAGATAACTTTTGAAATAATGATCAAAATCCCACTAAAATTTCACAATTTATTCAATGGAACATATTCATTTATGACGTCACAATTGCTTAACGGCTCCCGCTCAAATTATCTTATATGAACGCTTTTAAAATTTTCAAAATTGTGTAAGGTTTTGAAGGCGAATGGGACGAGCAATAAGTTTACCTTTATTTAACCTTCTAATTTAAGTCTGATTTGAAAGAAAAATTAACTGCACAATATTGTCATTGCGAAATTTACAAAACAATAATCAGTTTGTTTATTTTGCAATTAATATTAAAATAAGAGCTGGTTTTCGAGACTTGAAAAAAATGTGACGCATCGATTTTTTACCACAAATTCCATACATATCAATTTTTACCAACGCCCCGAGTGGATTTCTTGACCGTTTTTCAAAATTCAAAAACATTTTAGAAATATTGTCCTCGAGATCTTGCTACCCTGTGAATTTCGTCATGATTAGATAAGGATAAAGTATTTTATTTTTAGGTTGACTAAACTTGACAAAAATGTGACGCTTGTCGTTTTTGACGTTGTAAGGCTGTTTGCGCCCTATGCTGCTCATTGTTTTGTCTTAGTTTTTGACGCCATAATGTTACGCTAATTGTCCCCAGTTTCGTGCGACGTGTAAGAACATTATCAACAATCAACTGAAACGACACTTACAACGCGTAATATCTCTGTCAAAATCGTGCAATGACATTGATCATTTTCACACGCGGCATGTGGGGGCGGTCATTATGAAACACCCTGTACATTTTTAAATGAGCAATATTGGCCATGAAAACATTTTATAAAGATAGGTTTTGCAGAGACTACAAGAAATTTGACACTTGTTTCTATTCAAATTTAAAACAACACGCACATAGTTGAATTAAACAATTCTAACCATGGTATAAGGCATTGCCCTTTTATTGGAAGAAAATCGTGAAAAAGTAAGAGTTGATTTAACCCTAATGCAGGCACGAACGCAAGGGGGTCCGCCTAGGGGGTGATTGGACCCCTTATAAAATCAATATGATCTTTAAAAGATTACCCTGCGCGCAGAGTCTAGTTATAAATTACCGAGTGAAGACGAAGCTATATTTTAAGAAGTGAAATCGAACGAATGCAAAGGGTATTAAAATATCGTTATACAATCCTATGATTTATTATGTTAATATGAAAGACGCGCATAATAAAACGCCTTGCGCGCGAAAAATAAAAGCCTTGCGTGTACAATCGCGGGTGTGGATATACAGGGTGGGCCAAAAAACGCCACTTTTTCAAAGTGCTACAACTTTTTTAATTTTTGAAACAAAATCATAATTTGCATACCAAATGAAACTTGAGGTTGTTATCTAGTCATGGATCATGAATTATACACTTTTACTTGATTAAGCATAGTTTGCAACCTGAACTGATACGGCCTGATGATCGCAAAGTTAATAGTCCCGATGCGATCCCCAGTGAGTATAGGGTATGGGACGGTATCCAGGAGATTGTATGAAAACACCCAATCTAGAAAATTGCTCAACTAAAGCTGGCAATTAAGACAGGTTGAAAAAAACTTAGCTAACATTTCAATGATACTGCTATATCAGCAAGGCGACTAAAACTAAAATATATCATCAAATAGGTTGGTGGACCAATTGAAGTCCTCTTTTAGATCAAATATAATCCAAGTTGAAAGACTTGCTACATTAAATTATTACTAAGAACCCCTGGCACTATATAACTGTAAAATTTTGGGTATGTAGGTTGAAAAATAAAAAAGTTGTAGTGTCTTGAAAAAAAGTGGCGTTTTTGACCCACCCTGTATATACACTTATCCCCGGGTATTAAACAAACCCTTGTACTATCCTGCGATTTTGACAGATACAGGGTGATCATTAAGTTCTGGGAATTGGTCTGCCATTTCAAGATTTCTCAACCATTTGAGTTGAAATTTTCAGCAGGTGTACATTGTATAATTCTGAATTGACAGGCAATGTTTCATATACATATCACATCTACAATTTATTTGATTGTAATTACAAAAAAAGTAAAAGTTGTTCGCGGGTCAGCAAATTTTAACTGATGTTAATTTGAAAATTTCCTGCCAAAACATATTCATCTTGCCTAGATGGTTGCTTCAAACTACTTGTACTAGAGGCAGAAGAGTACTCTAAGAGTCATTTATTCAGAAGTATTCTTCATTGCTGAGAGGATCATTTCATTTATGATTGTTTCCATTAGCCTGGACGCACATGCGTTGTTGACAAACTTAGTCCATAAAGATGTGTTCCAGTCCTCCCTTTGGTATCCCTTGAAGATTTGCTCAAGCCGTTGAAATCAGTCCCTTATTGGAATCAAACTTATGACCTGTGAAGCCTAATGGTGCTTCATCTGGTGAATATTGTCTGGTGAATATGGGGCACTAAAAAATTCTTCAAGAGTAGTATGGGCAGCTTGAGTAATGGGAAGGAGCTTAGTCATAATGGAAGATAACTCCCGCTATTTTTAGTCATGATTGTTACTTTGAGATGCTGATGAATGATACAAAAATAGAGCAAAGTACACTCTTATATAACAATAAAGATGTTACTTTAGAAACTTAAGTTAGAAGTATTTGAAAATATAAAAAAAACAGAAATATATCCACTTAATAGGTATTTATTAACCATACTTTTGGATCAAGCAAAATTTGAATTCATTTTTATTTTACTTGACCCGCTACGCCATTTATCATGTTGCTATAGTAACAATAATTATTCATTGTGACATCAGATGACAATGAGACTGTTTTATCCAACCCAAAATTACATTCCCCATTTACCTTGAAAATTATAAGTAAATTGGTTGAAAAATAATGAAATGACAGATAAATTCCCAGAACTTAGTGATCACCCTGTATAATTCCATTCTCAAAATTCAATTCTTTCGTTGCGTACCTTCACTACCGCTAGGAGATTGAAATAATTCGTCATGTTTACCTCTACCGAATGAACATGCATGTTGTGCGTTGTGCACATTTGAATTAGTTAAAGTATGAGGAATGAAGACAACTTAATATTTGAGTAATTTGAACAATGTTTTTTTTCATAAATAGAGACTGAATATATGGTGCTGTTAATACATGTAATAGGCATGTATTTAGCGTTAGAATTGCTTCATTATCTTTTAACTGTTAGTTTTTGTCTCCATGACAACATGTTTGTATTTTAGCAGTCGAGCACGTGAAACGTGATGAAAGTACATGCGTTTCCTCAGTTCCAATAACATATTGCAAAATAATTCTTTTCCAATCAAAATTTGTGTGTTTTCCGCAACCAATTCCAAAACCAAATCCTGGATACCACGAAATACACAATGATTTTGACAACATTTAGTACTTTAATAAAGACATAAAAATGCTAGCAGTGAGTGAGTGAGTGAGTCATTTTATTGTATGATGATTACTTTTTGGCCATACGATGTACTCGTACAATGATATGTTTCTGTTTGGTTCACCAATATTATTCACCAGTTATTTTGTTATTTGCGGCTCATGACAAGTTCCCAACAAGATGGTTGCCTTAAAATAATATACATGCAAGCAGCGCTTTCTTGAGGTTCTTGTAACGAATTCTTGATATTATGAGCTAACAACCCACCAAATCAAATATTTGATTCGAACCAGTATCTAAGTGCTAAAATTGAGTTTCCAAACTGAATTCGGATGATGTTTCTACTGTTTATATATTTTGGGACGGTCTGTTGCGTCAAGAATTTAGAATTATTTTTAATTGTAGAGTCCGAGCCCTGAGCTGGTAGACATCTTCAAGAATTTTGTCACAAGAACCTTAACTTACCGAATTCCGCCCTGCAAGGTCGGTGGTGAGTTCTTGCTATAACACATATGTTAATTGGCTATAATAATTAAGCATGTCAACCCATGTCAAATCATGCACGAGTTGCATTGATGAAGCTAGACAAAACTAGGTCGAGTCGTGTGTTTGCGAGGTATCACTTACAACTAATGACTTGACATGCTTAAATCTTTTTCACACATTGCAAAACGTTTGAAACAAGACATTTTATGACGATCGTAGTCTTGTAACAAGTCTCTGAGCCTCTCATACCCCTATGTATGCCACCCCCCCCCCCCCGTGTGCAAAGGGGGGGGGTCACAGGAGCTTGAAGCAAGACAACGAGGGTCGTTCCTTTAAATCAAATACGATGTTCTGCCAAGTCTTCAACATTAATTTCAATAGGTGTAAAGTGTTACAGGACTTTTTTCATGTTATATTTTTGGCAAGGCTTTCTCAAAAACAACGTAAGTTTGTAGAGCTCATTTTGAACCTTAGTAAAATATCACATAAATTAGAGTACTGATAGTCTGGGAATCTCATTTATTAAATGTACATGTCAAACCATAACAACCTTAACAGTCAAATAGACCATAGACTATTTTTACTTGAATTTACTTATTTTAAACTTGAGATTGACCCACTGTCTTACCTGTCACAATATCAACACTAGCTCTGGCAAGAATACCAGCCACCGACGATGATCCTGAGCCAGTTGACGAGACCCTTGGACGACTGGGCGACGTTATTCCGTCGTTTCCAAAATGAGGTAGGCCCGATGGACGGTCAGTTTTCAAAGTCTCTTGACTCAGCGACGCCGTTGTTTTAGTTTTATCATCCGAGGCATCTGTCTCCAACATCGCAGTGTCTCTATGCATTCCTGTTGCGCGACCAAAGCGAGGGGAAAAACTCATGTTGCCTTGTTTAAAGAACTTCCTAGATTGTTGTAAGTTGATTTTGTCAACTGTTGTTAATACCGGTTTCTTTTCAAAACTGAAAGAGAAAAACGACGTACTTATGATTCAATGAAGTGTTTGTACAATGTGAACTTGCACATCGGTGTTAACGTGCCCTTCATATGGTAAGAATGTAAGATTTTTGAACCTGTGTGGGTTAGCATGCTCTTAAAGGAAGACGAGGGAATATAGACGAGTTGAGACTAAATTTAAAAACAATTGTCACAATTTTGCAACTTGCTCTCATCACAGCACGTCATGGCTATTTTCATGTCACCACCACAATTGGTGACATATTTATAGTCTCCAACCTTTTTGTGGACGGTTCTCTCGGCGGTTGGTGTACGGCGGTGGGCGGAAGGCTTTTATAACAAAAGGCAGGTAATGATATTTTGCATGTTAATGCCTTTTTAAAATGTCAAACAGTTCTGACTTTATTTCAGAATAAGCGGATAATCTGAGATTATCTGACAAGAAATAAAAAAAAACGTGGGCTCTCATTATCAATCTGATGAATTAGGACAAGTCTCCATCTTAAATATTAAATACCTTACTACTATATTTGTTTAGATTGATAAAATAAGTGACTATATATAATGGAAAAATTGGCATGCTTTTTGAGAGGGTTGATTCTAACATTGTCCGAGTGTGTTTTTCCAAGGCGTCTGATCTAGTTCACGAGAAATTATGCGTCCCCCTCTTTGCCGAATACCCACCCCTCGACGTAATCCACAAGATGGACTCGTCTTGAATTAGCTTAGCTTTTTAATGATCAAAATGTATTAGTCTAGTATATACTACTAAAAGCACGTCAAAGGAACTCCTCCACAGGTTAAATTGAACACTCGTCACTCATTGAGTCATGGCCTCTTTTTATGAGAGTATATTTTAATTTATTGACTTTGTCAACCTTTATTAAGTGATAGAACAAATCCTAGCAACCTTAAACAAAGATCACGTAGACCTGCGAACAAAAAATCTGTTCACGGGGTAAATATTAACAACATTTTTAGGTATATCCGCGGGGAGAGATCCGAAGATTCAAGGGTTCGCTATGCCGATAGGCTTTCCTGGAATTTTTTGACACGATTTATATGGTCCACCAACCCTCCCGCACGCCATCAGCTCAAGACGGACCACAGTGCCCTATACAGTAAAGCCTATGTAGTGGAACACTGCTGTTCCAATGTAGAGGATCTATTAGCACTAAGTCAATGGATCGCATGTCCTTGAAGTTTCCAATTTCAGGTGTTCCACTTACAAAAATGTTCCACTTACAGAGGTGTTCCACTTACAAAAGTGTTCCACTTAAAGAGGTGTTCCACTTACAAAAGTGTTCCGATTGACAGGTTTTTAACATTATCGTTAACAGGCAAACGTTTTCAAGAACATAAGGTTTACATGGTGGAGCCTGACCGATCCTATCGTTCGCGATTAAAGAAAACATTACAAATGAATAGTGATGAGCCAAATACGGCTGTTAATATCCCTTTACCCTTTGCAAACATCGTCAGTTATTTCTCCACCGTGATTTCTCGCGGTCTTTATCAATTTATGATATGAACTACTATATCTGTCTTACTTAATTTATTGCATTAAACACTTTCATTTTCATAATGTCAACCTGACTTCAACTGATTGATCTGGACATGTAAAAGTATTTTTTATCACAAATCACTATAGTATATTAAATTTAATGTCAGAAACAATCTATACTTTGGTACAAGGATGCCCTGCCCTGCCCTATTAAGCCATTGTATTAATACTTACCAATGCTATATACTGTACATGTATGTAATAATGTCTGCATCCAAAAACCTATATGATCAATATTTAACAAAATCCAGTCTCGGGTATTTTATTTCCATTAACTTAACACTGGCTGATACGGCCCATATGACAATACCACTTATTAAGTAGGAAATTGGCACATCGTATAAATCCAAATGTACCAGCAGCTGGTGAACGTCTTTTCCTCAACCTTGGTTGAACGCGTTGACCCTGGGGTTGATAAATCCTCGGCAAATGGCGCTACTCCAGAAAAAAGCATGAGAAAATCATTTGAAATTTTAGTTTTCAGCCTCCCACTGTATTTACGTTTTGTGTTTATATCCAGTAATTCTAATATCGTTCGTAGCTGAGTTAAGGTGAAATAAATCCAATTTAATACACTGTGTATATGCGACTATTCATCCATTTGTACATGTAGGTTTAACCTGCAGTTTAAGTGTACGAATGGAAAAACATGTTCACTCGTACATACCTGATATTGTGTGATCAGAATAAATTAAACAAGTTCAATACATATTATTTTTACAACAGACCAGGGGCTTCCTTGAATAGATGTATTGTTTACTTGATTGCAAATGAGTCACAGGTTTTGTTGAAAACCTGGTACACTATTTTGTCATTGGGCTAGGTTTTATTATGAAGTCTATTTTATTTTAGGCTATTTTACTCTATTAGATAAAACCCCGTTTTGTGTATCATCTCTGAAGAGCGTTAAATGCTAATGGTTTCTTACAAACTCTGTTGAAAGAAAGAACGTGTTTAAAATGGATATTGAAATCAGGAAATGAACGACTTGAAAATGACAAAGTGAATTCTGAATATGCAGTAAATATAAGCCAAGTGACCCGCAGAGACTGAAACCAACGCATCGCTCTTCATTTACCCTACGCGCAGTCTAGTTATAAACTACGAGGACGAAGCTCTCTTTTAAGGGGCCCCCCTTAAGAGGCGAAGTCGAACGAATGCAAAGGATACTCTTCATTATACATACATTAATTTTATTTCTTACAAATACAAATGCCTTTCTTCATGTCTAAAATTCTAAATAAAAACAAAAAATATTGAGTCGGTCCCGAAAAAACAATTTGAAGAGTTTAGCAGGTTGTCATGGACGTTAACAAAATGTTTCCATAGTGATCTTTAACAACAGGTACATCTAACAGAATTTGGAAACTGATGAGAAATAATGTTATGTTACCTGCTTTTCAAGATTACAAGCTCAATGATCATTCGTAGCTTAACGCAATTTCCCACATGAGCACATATCTACTTTTTACCGTCAGAAGATTTGATTTATGCATATGTCGACGAGTTCTATTATACCGGGGTTATTCATGTACAATATGAACACAACATTTTACACTGAGTTCATCAGAGGTCAGAAATAAAAATGTCTCTGCACAATAAACTATTTTAGTATATAAGCATGAACTATGCAGTTCAAAGCACAGCGCCAAAAAGTACCATACTTTTGACTCACCATCTACATTAACTTGCGGGCAATAACTGGGACGTTGCGCCAGACTGTTTAGTTTATTAGTCAGTTATGTTTTTATGTCTATGTAAATAACAACTGGCACGTCCATGTAGACAGCAGATGTGTGTGAACATACGGATATACTGGGCGGGATACAGGGCCCCTGACTGCCCAGTCCAGTGAAAATAATATGAACTGAATCTTGTGTTTATATTAGACCAAGAATTCTATTTATGGGAGCTAGTTCTAGATCCGAGCAGATCTGCTTGTCCGGATTATTAGATTAGTGATAGGGAAGATTCACACAAGCAAGTATTGATCTAAAGGGGTTGCTTTGATTGGTTTAAATTAATCACGTGGTTCAAGCATATATACCTCCTTTGGACCAGCGTGCATCACTGCTAGTAATTACATCTCGCAGACCTATAGGCCATTTTTATAAAAACAAACGCTTTATTAGATTTTTTTGCAATTTATCGTTTTGTTTTACTGGTGCATGTAGAAAGGACGATCAATAGCGTATCGTACAACAGGCAAAGATGCATCTTATGTCATGTAACTGTTGGAATGATGCGGCGATTCAGCATCACCGCTGCCTATAGATACAGCTGTTGATCCTGTCGAATGCTGCAATTCAACTAGCGGTTAATTGCCTTTTATCACTAATATACAAGGCAATATTTCCTTCTCTTGGAAGCAGTAGAAGATAAGCCATCCTGAATTCACGAAACTCGAAACACAATTATATACATGTTCAGTTAGATAAGAAAACGTGTTCAGAAAGCTAAGGTGTATCTTGACATTGGATGTATTTTCAGTTGAAGCCTAGCCAATGAGCCAAAGGAGGGATAGATACATCAACGTACAAGGGAGCTTTGATTAATGCTTTCCAAAGGAAAAGAATAAGTTAGTAGATGGTTATTTAAAGTAACCTGTTATGTTCAACATCGTTTCAGTGTAACTAACATCACCCAGCTGCCGGGTATTAATATCAAATACATTCATAGTACATGTAAGCGAGATGGGAAGAGGTAAGAGGTGAGTAAGTGATAGATGATAACGTCTGGATTAACACACTCTGGATAAGAAAAACAACAGTGATATGATAATGAACTTGGTAATTTTGGAGCATAATATATGTGCAATCACAACTTAAGGTCGGATCAGTGGGAGAAAGGACATTCTCAATATCCTTTGGAATTTATATCGATTTGTTCTACTTTGATTCAATACGATTCGTGCAATTGGATTAACAAAATTACATTGCTGGGTAATATCTGAGATGTAGAACTGTAAACAGGGTGGTTAAGAAGAGATCAATCATCAAAGAGGACCTAATATCGGAGCTGAGTCATCAGGAAAAATTATGGAGTCGACCTTTACTTCCCTCAGAGATAGACTCGTCCAGAATAAACAATTGTTCGAGGATCCTGACTTCCCTGCTGTGGACGAGTCTATTTATCATTCTGATGAAGTTCCCGATTATGTCATTTGGAAAAGACCCAAGGTAGTCTCTTAATATATTTGGGTATTGGTGTCTGATCTAATTAATCTACATTCAACTTATAACATTCAACATACCGTACTACAAATCATCTGAATAATTACATTTGGTAAAGAATTAAGGCAGATTGTAATAATGGTATGATCTTTTGGAACACCCTGTATATGTTTAAAAGAACACCTAAATCTAATGCACTGGTGGATCCAGAAGGGGGGGGGGGGGTATGGGTCCAGGGCTCCCCGCTTGGATGGTCCCAGAAAAATATTTTTGGCCCAATTTGGGCCCAAAAATTTTGTAGGGCCTCAATTAGTTGGCCTTTTTGGTTATTATTTTGCCTTTTTGGGCCTTTTAAGGCCAAATTATCTAACATGGGCTTTGCATTTTAGCCCAATTTTTCGATATAGGGGCCCAACATTTTTTAACATTTGAAATTTGGCTCCCCTCCTCAGGGGCGGATCAGGGAACCAACAAGTGGGGCCCAAATTTCTGGTCTGAGAAAAATTTTTGGCCCCCTAAAACTAAGAAATGGGCCCTAATTTTGAGGCCCATTTTCTTCAAAATTAGGCCTAAAATTAAAAAATAAGGCCTTAAAAGCCCCAGCAATGACTACAAAGGCCCACTTTTTGGGGCCTTAGGGCCTTTTTTGGCCCAACATCTATATTAGGCCCAACATTTTTTCTGGGCCCGCCCATCCACGATCACAAACTCTAGTCCAAACTCTATCCTGCATTTTTATACAATTTTTAGGAGCTGTGTGACAATCCAAAGTTTTTCAAAGAGGGCGCTTCCAGGTTTGATCTTGCCCAAGGGGCTATAGGTAGGAAGCGTTTTCTTAATTCAAAGGGCCTTTAAGAAGTAGAGAAGGATTCCATTCATGCATGTCAATTTATCTATGAATGATTTACATAATATAATAAGAAACTATTTTAATACATTTTACTGCTGCATTCGCAGGTCTCAGTCATAAATATCAATTCTGGTGACTAGGAAAGTTTGAACTAAGTTAATCACTTACTCCCATTAACTCCTAAAGGAAAGCCCCACTCTCCCTTAAGTCAATAGCATATATATAATAATTTTGACATATACTTTATTGTAGGCAATTGCTGGTTCATAGCAGGAGCAGCAACTCTGACCACTAAGCCATCATTGTTCAACAAGGTGGTCCTACCTGGCCAGACCTTCTCTGACAACTATGCAGGTAAAGTTCACCGAAGAATAGTGTCCAGTTGTAAACAGTTTTGGGAGACTGAAGTTCATTTCATCAGGGAAGAAGGGATAAATGGTTGTTTTGTTAGCAGAGTATTGATTTTATTAATATTCACGTAAAAAACAAAATCAACATTTTAAAATCACCTTGCCTTGGGTCTTATGAGGAAATAAAAGCTGCTGTTTTTCAATAAATTATGGATTGTAAGGGCATGTTGTTTTCTGAAAGGAATGCTTCTATATTCTCTGCTGCCAACAGTTCAGGTGCTGGCTCAAATCAAATGTTTTTAAAACTTGTATAAATAGCTTATTCAACAAGGTGGTCTAATGGAGCCTCACCTCAACAATTATACAGTCAATTATGAATAATCACTAATCAGTTACACGAATGTTAGTATGTGTCAGTATCGCCTTTTCATTTTTTTCTATATCCAGAAACATTATGCAAACATAATGTTTTGATTGGATATGACATCATTGTGGATTTTATGAGATATCAGATGTTTAAAGGTCAAGCCTTTCACCAAACTGACACTTTAAAGGCAGATGGTCAAGTAAGGCTTCTTGAATGCTGATATTATTACTTAAATACAAAAAATGAATTTTTACAAGGTCAGCTTTATTTTCAGGTATATTCCGCTTCCACTTTTGGCACTATGGGACTTGGAAGGAGGTTGTCGTGGATGACAGACTCCCTGTGTATGAGACTAGTCATACGCTGTGCTTCTGCAAAAATAAAACAAACAAAGATGAATTCTGGGGCCCATTGCTTGAAAAAGCATATGCAAAGTAAGAAAATGTACACCCCTAAGAGATTACCCCAAAATACAACATTTTCACCCATGCATTGCGTTTTGGACTTCAGATTAGTTTTACTGAAGAATCATTGCCTTTACATATAAGGTCCAGTAAAAACAAAATTTACTTCATGGTTTTTGGAGTGCATAATAATTTATAATTTAATGTTACCCTTGGTTTTTGGTTCAAAGGAATATTTTCCTCTTTGATGATATTAAATATACCTAATGCAGTAAAGCATGTAGCAAAGTACTCTGTTGAACTGTTTGCCAGATGTTCTATCCTCCAGAGATGTATCTGTTACATTACATAGAACCTGTAACTGATGTTGTTACTGATAGCATTCAGCCTTTGGAACATACTGTACATCAGTGCAAGATTAGACCAATGTTTCACTTAAAGTGGCACTATGGTAGCTTTAAAAATATGAAGTCAGATACTTGGTCAATTAAGGCGTTTGACTGATAGCATTCAGCCTTTGGAAAACACATCAGTACAGGATTAGACCAATGTTTAACTTAAAGTGGCACTATGGTTAGCTTTAAAAATATGAAGTCAGATACTTGGTCAATTAAGGCGTTTGACTGATTTCAGCCTTTGGAAAACACATCAGTACAGGATTAGACCAATGTTTCACTTAGAGTGGCACTATGGTAGCTTTAAAAATTGAAGTCGGATACTTGGTCAACTAAGGCGTTTGACTGATAGCATTCAGCCTTTGGAAAACACATCAGTACAGGATTAGACCAATGTTTAACTAAAGTGGCACTATGGTTAGTTTTAAAAATATGAAGTCGGATACTTGGTCAACTAAGGCGTTTGACTGATAGCATTCAGCCTTTGGAAAACACACCAGTACAGGATTAGACCTATGTTTCATTTAAAGTGGCACTATGATAAAACTTTAATTATTGTCAATATATGAAACAACACTCTGATATCTAAGAACATAAAATTAACCTCTTTTACTTCACTGATCTATGTAAATTGCTTTGTCTACATAACTTTCTCTGTATTTTAGAAAACTTTTCACACGTAAATTGAAAAACCATATATTATCACTTTAATACAAGATATCTGAAAATAAAGCAAAGATGATGTTCAAAAATAAAGCAGACTTTGAAGGGCTGTATGTTGCAGTATGTCAGTTTACATTTACACACAGTTCCTACTATTGGCCATATTCTTGATGTTTAAATAGTATTCACCCATTTTTAGGGAAGGACATTCAGTACAGAATTTGATGTTCAGTTTAACTCGAAATTGGAACACAAGTACAGCTGCTACAGGGTGTACAAAAACCTATAGCTGTTACATTGCCTATTAATAAATATAAGACAATTCAACAAGGAACCATCTTATCACTAGAAAAAATGTGAATAAGCCTTTTTGAAGTTCTTCTGACCTTCCCCCACCATTCACTCTAACCTTCCATAATAGTTAGTAGGTGAAGTAGATTGGGAGAGGGGTGTTCAAACACTTGATGCATGAGTTACATTTATGTTTTCTCTAGGTTGAATGGTTCTTATGAAGCACTCCACTCTGGGTTGATACGTGATGCCTTGGTGGACTTTACTGGGGGGATCTCAGAATCATTCAGGTATATATTTGTGGCACTTGATTGGCAGAATTTTCTTTTGAACTTATGCTTCTAAAATGTTGGGAAATTTGAATATTTGAAAAGTAAAAGACTAACAACTTTTTGTCAACTTTATCTCACACAATTTTAAGTCGTTACAAATATTTAGATGATTAAACCAAACTTTGCATAGGGCCTTTAAATATTTAGGCATCTTTCATGATATTGTCAGAGACTTTTTCAAAAATATACTTTTAATCTGTTACGCTTCAAAAAGCTGTATTATTGTCTCTTATTTTTGTTGCTTCTTTAAATAAAATATTTTCACAATATTTAGATTGGACAAAATGAGACAGGAAGAGGACCCACACCCCATTCCCCCAGACTTCTTCAAACTCATTGTAAAGAACCTGAATGTAAAGTCCCTAATGGGGCTATCAATATGGGTAAGTAATATAATAGACCATAGTAGGAGAGTACTAGGGTTTAGTATTCCTTCCAGCTTTTTCCTTGGACTATGAAACAAGTTTCTAACCTTTAATGAATGGGAAATCAAGATTAAATGGGCTTAAAAGAAGTAAACTGGTAGACCTCTCTCCCTTTTTATAATACCATATTTCAACACCATGTGGGATTTATTTGAATTCTGTAAATGTAATGAAATTCAAAAAACACACAAAAAGATTGATCCATATAAGCCTGTTTTTCAGAATTCTCAAGGGGAAATAGGAGAAGTTCCACTGGACAATGGTCTATTTAAAGGACATGCATATAGTCTTACGAAAGCCTTAGAGATCACACATGAGGGCAAGAAAGTAAAGTTGATAAGAATGAGGAACCCATGGGGTGAGAAGGAATGGAATGGGGCTTGGAGTGACAGGTAAGACTGTAAAGCTAGGTAAGATTAAGACAGTGATCTCCCCAACATTAAAGCAAGTGGGTGCAGCACCCCAAGAGATTTAAAAAAAGGCTTGCACCCACCTGAAATTCCATTTCCACCCACTTGAAAAATAAAAAAATCATCAAAAATGGGCATATTTTTACCAATTTTGGTCTAGATTGTGAAAATGACAATTTTGCACCCACTTAAGAAAAAATCCTGTTGAGAAAACTGCAAAAGATGATATAGACATTTTTAAGAGAACTTGTTTGTGAATGTGTCATAGTATGAACCCCTGGAATTACAGCTTACCCCTGAGCCAATATATATGTACTAGTAAAATGTAAAACACAAAGGGCAACGTTTTAGAAATATAAAATTAGACAATCCAATTGAAATTATATATTGTATAGTATTATATTGTATTTTATCTGAATCCCTCACTGTGTAGCTCCAAAGAATGGCAGAGCATCCCAGATAAAAAGAAGGCAGAGATGGGCCTGAAGGTGGAGGAAGATGGAGAGTTCTGGATGTCATATGAGGACGTTATGGCAAACATTGATGGCCTTGACATGGTGCATATATCCCCTCAGAACTATATAGGGGAGGATTCAAAAAATACCCAGGTATATTGTTTTTATTTAATTTTCCACGTTATATTCGGCGTATTATGTAAGGAAGGTGTCTTAAAATATCATCATGCTAGTATTCAGTAAGGCACAGCCAGTACCTTAAAATGGATGAGGCAAATTGAAATAGATGTGGCAAATTGAAATAGGTGTGGCAAATTGAAATAGGTGAGGCAAATTGAAATAGGTGAGGCAAAATGAAATAGGCGAGCCAAATTGAAATAGGTGAGGCAAATTGAAATAGGTGAGGCAAATTGAAATAGGCGAGCCAAATTGAAATAGGTGAGGCAAATTGAAGTAGGTGAGGCAAATTGATATATGTGAGGCAAATTGATATAGGTTAGGCAAATTGAAGTAGGTGAGGCAAATTGAAGTAGGTGAGGCAAATTGAAATAGGTGAGGCAAAAATTGAATTAAAAGCTGTATGTAATAATACAGGACACCATCCTCACAGTTCCAATTGAAAGAAATGTTTGAATTATAAGTTTTTTGTAAAATTTTAGTGAGGCAATTGCCTCATATGCCTCATGCATGGCTGCCTTAAAAATGTTCAAGTTTTGATTAACAAATCTGCCCAGCTGTTACTTGAAAATACTTTGTCAATTGTTCAAAGGTTAGCCTCCCTAAGATGTAGTGATCCTCCCTGGAACTCAGTATAAGGGAACCATTATAGGTTTAATAGGTTCCTCATTATCCATCAAATAACCATTAACGGGACATTAAATTAATTAGTTTTCATTTTTATTGCTTGATTAAATCAATGATATGTTCTCAATTTTAATATTCTACTTTTACAAGTGCTAAATATTTGATTTTATGCCATTTCTGATATCGTATAGGATTTCCTCAACATGCAGTAAAACCTTTATATTCGAACATACCTCTCACAATGTGAACACTTTTTCTCAGACCCAATTTTCTTCTATTGTTTCACATATTGAAATAAATCTTGAAATGTGAACACCTGCTAGTCCAACTACTTTTACCCTCACTCATTGGCATTGGGATCAGACAGGTTTCACTGTATTTGGCTTTTGAAGATGTATGTCACCTGGCAGAGATACACTCCCCTCCAAATGTTTGGAAACCAAAAGTCCCCCTCAACTTTTCTAAACTGAAAAGGGGCTTGAAGTCAACCTATTTTTGCACATGTATTTCAGCCCCAGCAAAATGTCAGTTGGAAGCAGTACAGTCACCATGGTGCTTGGATAAAGGGACTCTCTGCAGGAGGATGTGGTTTATTCTCACCTGGCAAAGGTACACTCCCCTCTATAAGTTGGCATACCAGAAGTTCTCCTTCAGATAACATCTGAAAGCTTGTTCATGTTAAAGGGTATTGACAAAATCAAGTACACCATTGGTCCGAATCCCAATGGTCCAAATCCCTTTTGTTCGAATCCCGATCTTTCCAGTTCATCCATATCCCAAATGTTCGAATCCCAATCGATCCCAATTTCTTTACTTAAAAAGGGCTTGAATACCCTATCTGATGTAGACCTCTAGTTTCACACTAAGGAAGGGTTTATTAAGGGGCCTTCACAATATGGCCAAAAAATCTTTTAAATCTAATGCTCAAAAAGTACTAAAAACAATACTCCCAGAAAAATCAGCAACACCAAACATATGAATTTTCAAAACTGGAATACTATATTGTACATATATTTGAATATATTAAAAAATTAAAAAAGATATCAAAAAGAATCATGTTACAATCTACTTGATTCATATCAAATGTTTAAGCCAAAAAACATATTGATCAAAAAGCAAATATTCTTAAACCCGATGGTAACTATGCTAACTCAATTTATAGATAAAATGGAGAGGTTTATTAGAGACATATAGGATCAATTTAATTGCAGAATTATACTACACCAACCCCCAGTACACAGTGGATCTCACTGACAATGAAAGCAACGATACGACAGTTGTGATATCTCTCATGCAGAAGCTAACAAGGGCTACAGACACAAATAAAAATAAAAAACTTTTCATCGGGTTTGATGTCAGACCAGTAAGTACCATACCATGTAAGGTATCTTTCTTCACATTTTCCTTATAACCAAGTCAGTTCATCATATTTGACAAAATTATTCAAGGAAAATGGGTAGATCATTGATATATGTGTAAGCTATAGTGAAAGCAATCCAGAAATGACTCAAACAATGACTTAAACAGAAATCCCAATTTCAGAAAATCGTATTTTGTACATGACAGTTTCACACTATTGCATACCTGGACAGAAAACGTGATTTAAAATTAATTAAATTGTTACCATTTAAAAGATGACCACTGTATGGATGATGTTATTTTTTCAGATTTATTTGAATAACTGGTTTAAAAGAAAAAATATTGAATTTAGTTCACCAAACACAACCAATCCTCTGCCTTGCCTATTTTTTTAGATCCTTCCCACTGCCACATCCCTGTATATGTTACTAGCTTCATCCTCAAAGATAAAACAATTTATTAAAACAACATATTATATGCCCAAGTCAAATCATAAATGATGAATACTCCAGGTTAAAGATGGCTACAAAGGCTTAGAAGAAGGTGCGGCTTACACAGCAGAGGACCTCCTGTTCAAGGAGCACCACAGTCGCACTGCCCTACGTGAAGTGTCCTACCGTCTAGAGTTAAAGCCTGGTATATACTGTATCATACCCAACACACTCAGGGTCAATCGTGATGGCCGTTTCCTACTCAGGGTTTATACACCAGCTGGCACTGCTAAAATTAAAACAAAGTAAGTAGCCCAAAGAGACATAAATACAGTGGAACCTGTCTACGTGGAACACATCTGGTACCTCTTAAAAGAGTTCCACTTGGGAGGTGTTCCACTAATAGAGTTTTATTTAACATTAAGTCAGGTGGTCTTGGGACATTGAAAAGTGTTTTACTTCCAGAGGTGTTCCACTTTCAGGTTTCACTGTATCTGTTTACCTTTATACCTTATCTTTGTTACAATGGAAACACACTTCTCTTTTTCTGTTTGAACACATTGTACATATTTTTAATCTGTTACTATTTGAACTGAAGAACATACAGTGAAACCTGTAAAGTGGAACACCTCTGTTAGTGGAACACTTTTCAGAGTCCCAAGACCAACTGACTGAATGATAAATGGGCCTCTACAAATTGAACATCCCTACCCCAAGAAGAACACTTTTTAGTACCAGAAGTGTTCTAAGGTTTTACTCTATGTGCATATTTTAAATCTGTTACTTACTACCATATTTTAATACCTAGGAACACTCTGTACATCTTTAAATATAAACACTCTGTACATTTACATATTTGATATCTGTTTCTAATATCATTGTGTTAATGTACCTCTTTTATCTTGCAGTTTCATAGATGTACCTACGGGCCCCATAGAACCATCACCAACACCAACTCCCACCCCTGCGAAACCTGCTGTTCCAACAGACAACCCACCTCCCTCTCCACAACCAAAACCTGTGAAACCAGCACCTAGTCTGACTCCAAGTGTTAGAGAACTGTTCTATGAGATGTCAGGGGATGACTTTACTATAGATGCAGCTGAGTTACAGAAATTGTTACCTCTTGTATATACAAGTAAGAATTACAGTAAAACCTGTCTAAGTGGAACACCCTTGGTACCTCTAAAAAGTATTCCACTTGGGAGGTGTTCAATTGATGGAGTTCATGTACCATTAAGTCAATTGGTCTGGGAACTCTGAAAATTGTTCCACCAACAGAGGTGTTCCACTTCTAGAGGTGTTTCGATTTGCAGGGTTCACTGTAGTTGTTTTTGGGTGTTATTTTCTCTTGAACAAAGGGTGGATGTAAAAAATAAATACAGCCAAAACAAGTGCAACCACGCACTCACAAAAGGTTTTCCCAAGAAAGTGAGGCCCCCTTAGGTCTAAAACCTGCCTTTACATCTAAGTAATTCCCCTGCAAAAAGTTTCTTTTAAAAATGAGAATTAACATTAGATATGAATAAAATGAAGAAGGGTGTGTCAATGGAACTGTTTCTCTTACAGATCAGAGCAGGAGGACATATGGTTTGGAATGTTGCCGCTGCCTTATTGCTCTTGTTGATGTATCCTTTTATCAAAAATTAGGGCTACACATTTTTTAAGAGAACTTGTAAGTGAATTTGTAGAATTATGGTCCCCTGGGGACTAGTTCTGAAAATGTAGACTTATATGGGCCTCTAGGAATTAAATCTCCACTTTGCAGTATTCTTACCTAATTGAATATAAAGGTATGTGGAAACAAGGCATTAATATGCAAAATGTCACCACCTGCAATTTGTTACAAACACCAAATGCCAGACGCCAACTGTCATCACAAAAAATGGAGATCATAACAATATGTCACCACTTTTGGTGGCAACATAATTACAATGAAATTTTGTCACAATGAACTCTGAAAATGTATTGACAACAAATTGAATATTTATGTAATATAGTTTATTTCTTAACTGGTTGCTATAGCAACATGAGAGTGGGAGAATGAGTAGAAGAGAATTGGAACAACTCATCTCTAAAATAAATATTTGGAAGGTAAGCATTATTTTAGTTCCTGTGCTATTCCCTACAACTGTGTCTGGCAATTTGTGGCAAATCTGTGTTTTAAAGGTATAAGCACCGATAAATAAATACAGGGTGGGCCGAAAATGTTGGAACATTTTTCAATTCATTATGACTACATTTGAAAGTATGAATGATAATCCCATCTTCCTTATCTATGAAATCAAAGAGCAACATAAATATTTTTACTTTGAATGCTCATGCTCAACAGAAAGCCACTCATTCAATGAGGTCCTTCAAGGGTCCCCCATCCACCTGAACAATCAGTCCTAGTCCAGATGTTTCTTTTTAAAAATACGATATCATGAAATTCTGTTTCTCCATAATTCAGTGGTATATTTGAATGAATTGCATCAATTTTCATGTTTGAGTTCCACCCCATGTGATATTTTAAGGATGACATTTTTTTTATTTTTTAGGAAAACTTCAGAAAGTATGACACAAACAACAGTGGAAATATACAAAGTTTTGAACTGAGGCCTTTATTTAGAGATATGGGTAAGCATTTAACATGGATTCTACATAAACATTATAAATATAGATGTAATGAAGGTCTTAAATTTTAGGTAATGGCTAGAGAATCCAAAGTGTTTAACATCGGTGGTATCACAAAATATGGAATTTGCCGTAATGTGGTTGCACAATATGGTGAATAATTTGCATTTTTCAACCCATAATTTTGTGTTTTTTGCTACATAATTTCAATTTGGTTTTTAATACATAATTTCAATTTTTTGAATGCATAATTCTGGAACCTGTGATATACATTTAGTATAATATATACTCATACACGTGGCAATTTAATTGTCAATTCTCAAGACAGTATCTTTGAGTAGTAGTTTAAATCTTCATTACTTCACAGGTTTCTCTCTAAGTTTCAACACTGCCTTTGCTCTGACAGTTCGCTACGGAGGCAAGGATATGGAGATCAAATGGCCAGACTTCATTCTCCTAAGCGCAAGACTTTATACTATGTATAGTAAGTATAAAATATATTATTCCATGATACAACTACTTCCTGGTGAATAAAACTGGGAATAGTTTGAGATTCCCAACCCTACAGGCCTTCAGGAAATATATTGTCCTTCTGAATAAAACCCATATTCAATCCCTCTTAGTAAATAACCTCTATGTATATAGAAAGTGTGGAGGGTTTTCCAATGTGGACATTGTTTGTACTCACCTTGTTGCAAAACAAAAAAAGAGAGGCACATAAGTACATGAAGAAATTCTTTTCACACATTGCAAAATATTCACATTCAATATTCAAATTGCAAACACACTTATAGCATACAAACTCACTAAAAGAACATATTTTCAATGAAACTTTTTGCAAGGGTCAAGTTGGCCAAGTATCAATTTCAGTCTGTAGAGTAAAGTTGTCACCTTGACAACTGTTTTAACTCGTGACCATGAGTTGGTTATTTGGTTATACAATGCAATGCCGTGATATGAAATAGCGTGTTCGGATTGACTGCAAGCGGACAAGCCTTGCCTAGCTATGTGTGAATAACATATTTTAGAAAGAAACTTAAAAATATGGACACCTGCTAATCAAAACACTTTCAACAGGTCCCAGTGGCATTAAATATACATTAAGCTGCTATCATTCTGTTTTCAGATTTATTCCTAAAATTTAAGGAGGCAAATACTGATAAAGCTTCGCTCACCCTAGATGAGGTAAACATCAATTTAATTAAACAATAAAAAGAAAGAAACAAATCAATTTAAAGAAAATAATAAATCAATGGATAGACTACCTTTGTCAAACCTATTGCTGTGACATGTAATAGAAAGTTCATATAATTATACATGTAAATGATAAACTGTTCAAATAAGCATACAAAAATATTCTTGGAATTTGTAAATTCTGAATTATTTTCTATAAATTTCATTTCTGTGTTTCAGTGGATGTACTCCTCAATGTATTTCTAACCAGACTGGAATCTGATGGAGAATAACAGAAAGAATATAAACGCAAAGAAACCATATTCTTCCATGTGTGAAAATGTATGACATAACATCTATGTAAAAGAATCAGTACTTCCCTGAGTATATCTAGCCATAGATATACTAGTAGACAAATCAAGAAGATATAATGAGGAAATAAACATAAAGGTATAACTAAGGCAGCCCAGTGAAGAGTCAAGTACAGGAATGCACAGAGACACTACTGAGAAAACACATACTTGAACAATGAAGTAATTTCAGTGATGCATGTGAATTTTGGATTGCAAGTTTCTCATCCTCCAAATCAAGGGCTCCGCATCATCCACTCTGGTCCTTCCTTGGTTAACAGAGTTGATGATGTCTGGAAGATGAAGTTTTCTAAATACGTGGTTGATCAGAAACCTCATACCATTCCAATACCTTTTTACAATTAGAACTTAAAAAGTTTGTATGGCAAAATATTTGGAATCCAGATTTTACTTGCTTTAGCTGAAAATTGAAGGTTTCTCGATATCATACGAATTTTGTTCACCATTTTGGATGAGACTAACTCCAGTAAGTCTATCCTGCTGTGGACCAGGGAGCTTTGTATTTTAGTGTCATTCCTTCTAGACTATTCCCGATTTGCACAAGTTTTCTTATGATGCAGCTCAAATATTCATGTACCATGAAACAAATTGTTAAATACCTCTATTCGACAGTTGAGTACTCTCAGACTAGCAGATATCATATCACAAATATTATATACAAGTACGAGGCATTAATATGCAAAATGTCACCACCTACCATTTATTACAGACACCAAACACAAACTGCCAAACATCAACAACCAACAGCCATTCACAAAAAATTTGAGACAATAACAGTGTGTCACCCCTTTTTGGTGGTGACAGAACCAGATATAACATAGATATTGTCCAGGTAGGCAAGGTAAAATGAGTAATCTGGTAAGCTATTAAGGTTTGCATGCAGATGTAATACACACATTGGACCATTTGGTTGAAATAGACCAACCTTAGGGAAACTATTCACCATTAAGATGAGGTGTTAGTGTCTAGGCCACAGACTATATGTTTCACCTTTTAAAAGTGAAGGAATAACCCAGAATTCATACATGAGCCTGTCTTGAAAAGATGAACCTTGAAGTTACTAAGTAACATTGTATGTAGGTGCTTGTTTGAATTCTGGGTTCCTCCCCCTCTTATCTTGTTAACATTTCATTACATTATGGATACTATAGTGAATATGCATGCGTGCCAACAATGTATATTGTATACTATGTATATGTATGGGCTCTGTTGATAGCCAATGGTGTATGCTACGTGTGATTGTTTTTGGATACCTGAATGCATTTTCTATTATTTTATACTATTTTATAAAAATATATGGACATTTTGTAAGTCATTCAATTAGAAGCATGGGAGAGTATATTCACATTCAAATGGTGTTCTAGCTATTGTAATATGAACAATGTATTCTCTCTAATGAGCGCACATTTACGGGGGTACTACAGTGGTGACATCTAGATTTTCTCTTTTTGTATGGTCATTATTTGCTGAAGAATGCTGGATAATCACATGTAGTGTAACCTTGGTTAGAATACCATTTGACTGTAAATATACTCTCGCTGTTAATTAGGGTTTGTAAGAATTTCTAGCATGAGTATGAAATATCTAGTCTAAGTTCTCATGTGTCATACACTTGCAAATAGCATTGTAGTATCTTGTAGTAATCTTGGTCTAGAATTATCATTTCATTTATATGGTTTTGTATTGCAATATTCTACATATATTTTGGTATGATATTAATCAATGTATTGCATTGCAATATCATAAATATGTTTGATATTGCGATACAAGCATCATAAAAATTGGTTTGATATTGCAATAACATTTTGATAAATTGGTGCTACAATATCATAGAAATGATTTGTTGTTGGTATTATATCAATATCAAAGAAATGATTTTGTGTTGGTGTAATATCAATAGCACAGAAATTATTTGATGTTGGTATAATATCAATAGCACAGAAATTATTTGATGTTGGTTTAATATCAATATCATAGAAATGATTTGATGTTGGTATAATATCAATATCAAAGAAATGATTTGATGTTGGTATAATATCAATATCAAAGAAATGATTTGATGTTGGTATAATATCAATATCAAAAAAATGATTTGATGTTGGTATAATATCAATATCACAGAAATGATTTGATGTTGGTATAATATCAATATCACAGAAATGATTTGATGTTGATAAAATTTCAATACTGTTTGTTACTATAATATCTTACAATAATTTTAGTACTATGTTACCAAGTAAATGTTTCCAGCTGATTTTATCAAATAAATAAAATATCTGTTGTTTTATATAAAGTGTTTGTATAGAGAAGAGTTGTACTTGAACTGTTTAAAAATACAATGTATACAAATATACTGGATTGAAAAATGGACGTTGGACGGAAAATATGGAATCTTGAACTTAAAAGTATATTTATATTTTCTGGAATTTAGTCTTCATTAACTCAATAATATCTACATATCTATATATATATAAAGGTATAACGTCATAATGTGCAAATTAAATGATAATCACTTACCTGAAGAATAAAAGTGAAACCGGTAGTGACTGAATTCATGTGGGGCTGATGGCAAGTAACCTCATATAGAAGCAATGCTTCAACATTGACTCAACATTGTTTTTACCTGGCAGAGTACCCTAAATATCAAAGCGTAATAAATCCAGGAGTATTACATGTATTGAGATTACTCCTTGAGTGAATGTCTGGAATTCATGACTATTTCATGAATTTATATGTGCTGGACTATTGTATGATTTCAAATTTTCAAATACAAAAAAAGAATGGTCCAGGACTATTCTGTAGTCAACAAATCCAAACTAGAACAAGAGAAAAACAGCAACTACCTGGTAGCAAATCCAACCCAACAAAACACATTTTATCAAATCACTCATTATTTGAACATAACATGATAGAAATAACCAGAATGACATTGAATTTGGACCAAATCCTTCAACTGGTATTGTCTCAAACAATTTCAAGTAATGACAAATAATATTTGGATGATTTAACAATATTTTCAAACTTTTCATGAGATCTTTAACAACTTTCAATGGCCTTTTCACTTTACAAGGACAAACAGCCTTTGTAGTTTTCAACCTGCACTGAAATTGCAAAACAACCAAAGTTATGGATGCTACATGCACTCCAGCATGTATAATTGAGTTAGCTTAGTGCAGTCATCATTACAAAGCAACTTATACACGTATGATATCAAATACTGCTATTGTAAAAATTAATCTATGAGCAGTAAAATTAACATTAAATTAAATGAGTTTTCATCTATTTCAATACCATTCAAATCAAACGTGACTTGTGATATGTTAGCACCTGAATCACTTTGTCATGTTCTAATATAAATCAATGAACACCACAGACTGCAGAATTATTGAGACACGCTTCCCAGCAACAAGGTGCACTCTTGCAAAGATGTTGAGAGTGTTGGTATTGGTCTACTTGGTGTTTGAAGGGACAACCGTCAACACTACACCCATTGGGGATTCAATCAATGGGTTTGCATTGGACTTGTACAATGAGATATGTGGGAGCTTGGCTGGTTCAGATAACGTGTTTTTGAGCCCGTTTAGTATCTCAACTGCTCTTGCAATGACATACCTTGGAACTGCTGGAAATACGGCAACAGAAATGGCAACTGTTTTGAAGTATCCACCAAATGTGCACGTTCTGTTCAAGGCTCTTCTGACAACCATAAATGCACCGAATGACAACTACACATTGAACGCTGCAAACAATCTATTCCCACGAACAGGTTTTGCTATTCTGTCTCAATATGTAACTGATGTCATGAACTTTTACTTTGCTACAATAAAAGAGCTGGACTTTGCGGGACAGCCAGAACCTTCCAGGCAGTACATCAATGAATGGGTCTCTAACATAACAATGGAAAAAATACCTGAATTGTTGCAAGTAGGTGATATCACCCCTTTAACTGTTCTTGTACTAGTGAATGCTATCTACTTCAAGGGAGAATGGCAGAATCCATTCAACCCTGACCTCACAGCAATATCTGCCTTTAATGTGACACCAACTCAGCAGATTTCAGTTGCTATGATGTATAACGTGAGCATGTACAGATACTTTGAAGACACAACACTAGATGCTAAAATATTAGAATTGCCGTACACAGGGGAGGAAGTAAGCATGATTATTATTCTACCAAATCAACAAGATGGCCTAGCTGACCTAGAAGCAAACCTAACATTGAGTAAATTAAATGCTGCCATCAATAATCTCTACGCCCCCTACACTGCAAATGTAGTTAATGTATGGCTGCCAAAGTTCAAGATTAAATTCAGGTCTGAATTAGGTGAACATCTACAGGACCTTGGAATGGTGGACGCATTTAATGCAGGTGCTGACTTCTCACCACTTTGTGGATTATGTAATGTCAGAATCAGCAAAGTTATCCATGAGGCATTTGTAGAGGTGAACGAGGAGGGTAAGAACATCCTTATTATATATTTACAGCCAAATAGAACGCCATGATTCTACTCTAATAAATGGTTCACCAAAAGTATATGTACTAGCCAATGAAAAGCAGAGATTCTATACTAATCCCGGGTTAACCAATAGTACATGTTTTAGCCAAAGAAATGCATTGATCCTATTCTAATCAATGGTTAACCAAAGGTATATATACTAGCCAATGAAAAGCCTTGATCCTGTGCAAATTCATGGTTAACAAATAGTATATGTACTAGTCAATGAAACACTTAGATCCTATACTAATAAATGGTTAACCAATAGTACATGTACTAGTCAATGAAACACTTAGATCCTATACTAATAAATGGTTAACCAATAGTACATGTACTAGCCAATGAAATCCTCAGATCGTACACTAATCTATGGTTAACCTCTCCCTTATCATAAGAAGTAGTCAATGTCTGTTGTTTCTACAGAGGAGAGATTTTAATATTATTGTTGTAGGCACAGAGGCTGCGGCTGCCACAGCGGTCATTATCCTAAAAGGAGTTCCCCGTCCTAAAATATTCAGAGCAAACCATCCATTTCTCTTTCTGATCCGTCACAAAAAATCTGGCTCCATATTGTTCATGGGACGTATCACATCACCAAGTAAGTGCTACTTTCTTATTGGTTATCATAGGTACAGAGGCTGCTGGGGTAACAGCTGTCATTATCCGTGAATCGGTGCCGGAGCCAATAGAATTCAAGGCAAATCACCCCTTTTTGTTCCTCATCAGACATAAAGCATCGGGGACTATCTTATTCCTTGGACGTATTACTACACCAACAGTTGAAGGCAAGAATACTTTTAATTTTATATAGTGGGAATACAGTTTTACAACATCCTCTGAATACAGGGATCCAGAACTTGCACCTTCTTCCAGAAGAAGGAAGGAACATAGTGAATGATGTCTGGGGCCTGCATTTGGAGGATGTCATTTTCAGTTGAAAACACCGGCACCATTGAACACATTCTCCAAACACAGGCCTCCAGAACGTGTACCTCATAGAAGGAAGGAACATAGTGAATGATGTCTGGAGCCCTGTGTTCAGAGGATGGTTCTACAAAAGCTCTGCCTAAAGAAATTCTAGAAAGTAAAATGTATTTTTTCATTCAAATCAAAAGTTCTGAGATTATTCATGAAAATGAATTAATAAACCTGGATATATTTGCTTACTGTACTTCAACTTAATTTGGCATGACTTATTTTGGTGGATTTGCTGTTTTGAACATTTGGGAGCGACTTAATTTGGCGGACTTGGAATTATACAATTCTAATAGTTCTTATTTACATTGTACTTAAATTCCCATGAATTTTACTGGCTTCTTAATCTGGAGGACTTAAACTGTTAAACAATTTGGCCAAATTAAGTAGAAGTACAGTATTAAATCTTTCATGTACCTCAAAGTTTATTAAACTTGGATTGTTAGGGACATAATGGCATGATCTCTGAAGACTTTCAATCTCATATTTTGTCCCAGATAATCGTCCTTTACTGCCACTTTAAGATTAATTGCACATTTGATAATTATACTCCATCTTATAATTGACAATGTTCTAATGAAGATGCAGAGGAAGAAGAAGAAGAGAGTTGTTTAACAAAGAAACCGTGTCCCAGACGAAAGGGGAAACTGCACAAAAAATGTTGTGGTTGTCCATATATGTTTAAGGATCCAGTAACCAAGGTAATTAGAAATATAAAGAACATTAAAAAAGGGCAGTCGTATAATAAAGAAAAGATATGTCCAAACAAACTATCTAATGTACAAAGAAACAAAGTTGAATGGCTCCCTTCACCTACCATTCAAAAATGATTTTCACAATTCAAAATGAAACACTCAATTTAACATTTTAGAAAATTACATTTCCCATGATTGTGTTGAAGAAGAACAGGGGAAAAGATGTGTGTAGGGAAGCGTGCCTGAACAAGAAATGTCTGAAAATGTTCACTAAAAGAGGATAGAACAAAGAAGAATATGTCATTCTAGATTCTACATTGAATAAAATTATTTATTCTGATGAAAATTTTATGTTATTAGTAAATGAAAATGTTATGCCCAAATATTTTTCATGCATTTTAATGCAATATTTGGATATCATAACTTGGAGAACACAAGCATCTGATGATAGAAAGCATGTTCATGATATGTTCATGTATGATTCTTTTAAGAATTCCTGGAACTTTGAAGAATTTATACAAAATTTATGGTAGATTGGAACTACAGTATCTTATAATAAGATAAGTATTTTATTACCATGTAAATGGCTGAACTTATCAAATAAAATATCTCTTGTTTTATATAAAGTGTTTGTATATTTCATTTTTATGACATAATATTGAACTTTCATTTAATAATGATAATATACACAAACTGCAATTCATGAATTCACAATAATTTACAATGTATGTAGATATATAACTCTATAAATAGAGAAGAGTTGTACTTGAACTGTTTAAAAATACAATGTAAATACAAGATTGAAAAATAGACGTTGGACGGAAAAGATGGAATGTTCTTGAACTTGAAAAAACATTATTCTAGACATATAATACCATTTCCTTTTGAGTCTTCAATAACTCAGCCATATCTTAATGAATAAACATTTGGGGGAAAATCTTATTCCATTGATATAAATATTCATATGGGGCTGATGGCAAGTACAAGTATTTTTATAAATTGAAATTATATAACCAATGTATGTCCAATGTTTTGTTGTGTTTTGGGTTCAACCACATAATGAATTTAACCAATGATTTAAGATTATTTCAATATTGTTTTTACCTGGTCGTATAATACCTTTCATTCCATAATACTACTGTTTTCCCTGGGAAATAAAATCATATTATCCCTCTTAAAATCATATATACTCGAAAAATCATATTGTCCCTGGAAAAAAAATCATATATACTCGAAAAATCATATTGTCCCCGGAAAATAATCATATATACTCGAAAAATTATATTGTCCCTATTTTTTTCAGAATTTTATTTTTTCAAAAAATTGCAAAATCAAGCATGAAATAACCTATATATATATGTGTATATTCAAGTTGAACTGGAGTATTCAATGAACTACAATGGTGAAAGACTCATCCAGAACTATTGTAATAACTATTGTTGTTAAAGACTAATCCAGGACTATTTAACAACACCAGGGATAGACTAGTCCAGTACTAATTATAGAACTCAAATGGTGAAACACTAGTCTAGCATTTTCAATGAATTCATTATTAATATACCAGGTATACTATTGTAGAATGCTTTTCAATATTGTGAGCTATCTACTTCTAGATGAACCCGTACACTAATCTTCTGAATAAATATAATCTCAACATCTCTAAAGTCGCTGTCACATTAGGTCGCGTGGGCTCACAATTTGTCACAGTGTTAATAATTTTGGGCATTAATTCATTCATTTTTTTTGTATATACATGGTAGCAGATAGTGAGCCAACACAGTCTAATGTGACAGCTCCATTGCATTACATATAATGGCAAATCAAAATGCATTCTACACTGCACTTTTCACAAAACATCATATTTGTTATAATATGAAGTAGAAACAAGCACATAGATTTATACACTTGTTAGTACAAGTATAAATACATATACATCATTTTTTCACCATAAGTCATTCATTTGTTAACTCTAACACAGCACTCACTCAATAAATAGTTTTCATATTATAAAATTTAAAATCTACTCGGTATCTTCATTTTGCAAGTTTACCATTCTGTTACAATTATAACAATTGTGGGCACATTGTACTACATAACTTCATTACTTGCCCATTTATTACAATAACTGCAGCTAAGGACACATTGTGCTCCCATAACTTCATTACTTGCCCGTTTATTTTAATAACTGCAGTTATGGACACATTGTACTACCATAACTATATTTATTTGCCCATTTATTACAATAACTTCAGTTGTGGACACATTGTACTACCATAACTACATGAATATAACTTCTGTAAAAGCATTTTGTGGTTAAACATTGTACAGTGCAGTTGGATTACAAACTTTTGATATAAGCATTTGTACAAATATAATTCTCTAGTAGCATCTTGTACTTTTGATTGAATTCAATCTCAATTACTGCATCATTCATGTGATTCAGAAATCTATTTTTGGGATGAACATCTTGATTCTTAGAAAACCTAAAGGTTCCAAATGGTTCAATAAATGGACCCCAGGGCAACATAAAAATAAAAATCTTAGATTCTCAGAACTGCATTTTAAGAGGGGGGAGTTGACCAGAAAACCAATATTAGAAATTGGGCATATCTGGTCAAGAAATATCAAGGCTCTGTGAAATAAAGAAAGTTCATATCAAGGCAGAAAAATATAAGATCAGGGATTTAAAAAATAAGGATCTGATAGGTCTGAGCTCCTGATAAACCGCCACTTGTCTTGTGGAAGGTACCTAGTAGATCCCCCTCTAAGGAAAGGAGGTCTAACTTCAGTGCATATATCTGCAATACTAGACTAAGTTTACTAAAACAAGAATCGAACTTGTTTTTTGCAATCCCATTGAACACATCATTGTTTCTCTCTCACATCATATGCTAGTGGTAATGCATTTGCAAAATAATTGAGAAAAGTATAATGCTTCATTTTCGATTTACATGCCAAGCTCCCTGCTTTTCAGACATTGGTCCCTTTAGTGATACCATATCTGTAAATCACAGCAACATGTATATGTATATATTACTGTATACCAGTGGTCTCCCCAGCATTAAAGCAAGTGGGCGCATCACCCACCTGAGATTTTGAAAACAGCCTTGCACCCACTTGAAAATACATTTGCACCCACTTGAAAATGAGAAAAATCATGAAAAATTGGCATAGATGAGAATTTTGCACCCACCTGAGAAAACATCCTGGGGAAACCACTAAGTAAAACATGTATGTCTATAGACACCTCTGAAATCAGAACACCTCTTAATATGAACACTTTATCTAATCCCAAATGGGAATCACACACAAATAACTGCAGGTGTAATCGAAGGCTTTTTTCCTAATTTTGTTACACATTCACTGAGATTGATTTGTCACATATGAGCAATCTTTGCCTGTTCTTCTAGAAACAGGAGCTGGTCAACTAGGAAACAGTCACTAGGATTTGGCACAACTTTACGTAACTTCTTCATTATAAGAGTCTCATCGATCGTGGTTGAATTGTCACTAAAACGGGATTCACGTAAATATTTGTAGGCATGATCAAAGGCTTCTTTTCCTAATTTAGTCTCACATTCGCTGAGTTTGAGTTAAGGAACACTGAAGAATAATGGAAAAAATGTGAAATACAAACTTGTATAATTTGACAATGATGTAGTGTCCTGCCATGGGTTACAGATGCCAGATGCCAACACCAAGTGCCAAATGCTGAATGACCGCTGCCAAACACCAATCACCGAACACAGTCCACAAAAAAGTTGGAGATTATAACAATATGTCACAACTTTTGGCGGTGACATAGAATAAAACCAAATTTGGTCAAAATGAGAAATTGATTTTGTCAAAAATAGATAATTTACAACATTGACTGTATGAGAGGACTATAATTTTAAGAGGATTGTTTAATTAAAAATGCAAACAAATAAGAAAATGTGTATGATATTTACTGAGTAAATGTACATGTAGCTTACATATTGTCTGCATGTATTGATGCATCAAGAAAGAAAATGTTGGGGTGGAATATTTTAAAAATCTTTAAAAATCACCATAAACCACAATTTAGACCCTTCTTATATCATAATTCTTTGTAGAAAGGATACGCTCTGAGGTTACGAATCTTCACATTTCTTGCAGCAGGACCGAAGGCACCAGCAACAGTGTCATCATGGACTGTTAGACTTTTATCTGAAATTCAACAACAGTTTAATCATGGAATCTCTGATCTTGTACAAACAAATGACGAATACTGGTAAGTACCTAAATCCTATACAAACAACTTTTTATATCATAAGTAGCTGGAGTTTTTAACAGCATTTCCCCATATTTTTCTGTTTAAAAAATAATTGATTACTTAATCGAATCAATTTTCTGTCTGTCCTATATAGTCTATAAAGTTACATTTCCAGGTCAACTGGTCCACTATCAAATTCATCCCATATGTTGAACACTGTGTAATATAGCAAAACATATCAATATTATGTTAAACACTGTGTATGGAATATATAGGAAAACATATCAATATTATGTTAAACACTGTGTATGGAATATATAGCAAAACATATCAATATTATGTTAAACACTGTGTATGGAATATATAGGAAAACATATCAAAACTGTGCTTTACTATCAAATTCATCATTTATGTTGAACATCGTGTGTGTAATATCAAACTGTGCCTTACCTAGTGTAGTATCAATGGCCTCTTGCATCATTCCTATGAGATCTTGTAGGTCATCATCTTCACCTTCACCATCTTTGAGGTCTTCTTCAATCTCTTCCTCATCATCCTCAAAATCATCGTGCTGAGAGTAGTATGTGTTAGCTGTGTCTATGTCGGTTGGTACACCTAAAATATCATACATTCATATGTTACATTACAAGGCACTCAGTCTCAAAAAACAAAATTATAGTTTTTTGGATCACCCTATGAATAGGTTTAGGAGAAAACATTTTCTATGTAATGATCTTATTGCACAAATCAATTTTTATTCCTTTAACATGATTACAGATATAATTGTACCGGTATATTTAATGAATATCAGAGAGGACAGAATTCCCAGCCATTCAATATTTAACAGTACAATAGGTTGCAATTGTGGCTGGATCTGAATAGACTTTGGTGTTGCTCCTGTTTATTATATTAACAGGGGCAACCCAGGATAAATAATTGGTGAGGCAAATGTAAACAGGAGAGGCAAAATTCTAAAAGGAGGCAAATTAAATTGTATATACATTTGGACTTCATTTCATTTCCAGTTTTATTTGACAAAATGACAAAACAAATAAATTATTTCTGTAAAATGATGGTGAGGCAGTGAGGCATTTGCCTCGCCTGTCTCATCCCTGGTTAGACCCACACTTAATACATGATATCAATTATTTGTGGAAACAGTTTGAGAAAGCATTAGCAAGCTTAGAAGTCAGTAACAAACAATCTAGTAAGCAGCAATTTATAGAGGATAGTAGCTCTATCAGAATTTTCTTTCAAAAGAGTGAATTTCCTTTCTAGAGTTCTACATATAACATAGCTGTTGAAGCGATTTTGTTAGTAATGAGTACCCATGTTATTACATGCATCATACAGGTTTGAATGTCCCTTAATGTCTTCATATGTCATTTTAACATACTGCACATATTTTTTTGATTTATATTGACAAACGTCAATGCGAAGTTGGAAAATAAAAACTATGCAAATATTAAAGAATTTAAAACTTATGACACTCCTGCTGATGGTGAACACGATAATAAATGTTTAACCGCAACAAAAAATAATCCTGTTTTTACATTCCAAAATGCAACTACTACAACCACCCATACAACCAGCCCCCCCCCCTACCATCCCTGCCTAAAAGCCACTCATAGCTACATGCTACTCCTAAATGGCTTATGCTTACTGGAATGTTGATCACTTGTTTCTGTAGCTGGTAGAGATTTAGACCTCTCCAGCTTTGATGATGGTCTCTCTGCCTTTTCTAAATAATAATCATATGGTTTTAAGGGGTTGTTGTGAATAAAAAATGTATTGACATGTTCTATATATTTTGTTCAATTTGCATTCTAAATATAGATTGTGTGTGTTCAGAACTATATCTACTGATGATTATGTAAAGAATTTAGATAAAACGTGTAAAACCCCTCAAAATGTGATCACTTTTTACAGTCCATGTTTTTGAATATACAAACTGTTCCAAGTATTCACTTTGGATAGATTTTACTGGTACTGAAATATCGAAGTCGAGTGTTGGAGAAATAAAACTTACCATCTTCAAATGTTAACTTGGAACTATTTTTATCGTACAATGATGTATCTTTCATTGGAGTGATTGGACGGTCCTCAAAACTTCCACCCCGTTTCACATTCAATTTATTCCTGTTGAAGGGGTCACCGCTATAATCATTATTTTTGGCACCGTTTTGGTTGTATTTGTAATTTGGGTTTGGAACCATGGTTACTGCTTGGGTTTTGTCGAGACTTCTGTTGGCTTCGTCAAACGCCTCGTCATCTTCGTCAAGTTCTCGGGTAGGGGCTGAAAAGGATTCTGTTGAAATGTTTAAGTTCATCATTGATCATGCACCAAAAAGGAAGTGTTTTATCAAAATTCTTCCAATTAAAAAAAGATCGTAACTATTAGGTCAATAGAAAAAGTATTTTTGTTTATTGGACATTTTTTCCGAAAAAGACAAACCAATATTTGAGTTGTTTTCATTTAGTTACATGGACAAGCAATTCTTTCTCCGTCACAAAAGTAGGGAACCAACTACTGGTTTCAAAGCAGTGATACATATCTAGTCTATATGAATAATTGTAATGATGGAATGTCATAATCTCAGACATACTGCAATGGTTGCAATGTCATATATGCAATGCTGATGTGGAAAAGTCAGCCAGTCTTGTAGTTCAGAGATTGAGCACATATCCAAATAGTGTGAAACCATGGGTTCGATTCCCACTGGAGTAGACTGACTTTTTCTCATCAGCTCTTAAAACAGATTCACTCTGTGTTTCCATTAACTACTAACTTATCTCTGACTCACATGGTGCAGTCTGTGGCCTGAAGTCTCCCTCTGACTGTGAACGTTGTTCATGTAAAGCTTTGGAAGGCTGAGACCTCTTCTCTGCACCAGTCAACCATAATACTGCTTCCTAAATGCGAATGTGAAAATCATAACAGTGAGAGTCAGTATGTGACATAAACATTATCTTAGACCTTTATCCAGAACAGAGTTTCATGTTTAATCTATGTTAGCTTGATAATTTAATGATTTATCCTAACTACTCAAGCCTCCAATACTTACGGATGTTTCATTGAGACTTTTTTTGTGATTTTCCATCCTCTTTTCTTTCGCTGCAAGGTTTGCCATGGCAATCTCTCTGGAAGGAACAATAATAGAGAAAAACTTGAGTCACCATAGTGATTACATATCCTGAACAATCAGTAGTTCTGTATTCTAAATCTATTGATTAATCACTGTGAAAAAAGCCAAATATAGTTTGTACTATAGCAAACTATTTTTTAGAATAACCCCCATATAGTTTGAATTTCACCTAAAATATGGGCGAGAATAGTTTCTCCCATATTCCTAAAAACGGAACACTTTAATATAAGTCCTGATATACTCTCCGGTACGCCCATATAAACTAAAATAAGTTGCATATATCATTGCAGAGTGTATATCTTTACTGAACTATTTTCCACTTATACGCCTCAAAGTAGGAATCAAACCTACTATATGCGGTGAAAACGAACTTATATTAAATAAAAACAGACTATATCAAACTATACTTGACTTATTCTTCTCTTATTCTACCTCAAAACAAACTATACGCGTCTTATACGCGATATTACGTAATAGCTTCAGTTCCCGAGTTTGTTGTTTTAACAGATTAAAAGCAAAGTCCAGCATTGAATGTATTTTGTTTTCAATGCTAATTAATTCGCTTGTTCAGATTAATCTGGTCATTTCTATAACTGAGGGTTCTAATTTCCATCAAAAAGTCATTAAGAAATTAAGCTTTTTACTTTTACTAAATTGGACAATGACAGTCGAATTATAATTAACACCGTGTTAAATTTTAGATTCATTTCATTAATTCTGTGGGAAGTTACATTTTTCAATTCACTTGGTATTGAAATAAAAATAATATAGAATAAAATGTTTAATATAGTTGCAATAAGAGGGAATCGTAGAGAATATTTTTTCCTGTATGGTAAGCAGTTATTTCCTGTATTATAGCGAAATAAGATATAATAACTATTTTTAAAAATTCATTTTTATTTAATAATATTAATCGTGTATTATTTGAAGGGAACAACATATAATGCCATATAATATAGAATAATATTCTAGTCAGGAGCAAATAATATGTTGGCATTTGCAATCAAAACCGGATTATATGCGTTTATTTTTGAGCCGTTAATCCCTAAGTATTCATTTCCTATGAAATGAGTTTCATTCACACTAATTAATCTGTTTGTTAGGATTAATTTCTACAGCTGATGGTTCTTATTTCTCAAAAAATTATTTGCAAATTAAGTTTTTACATATTTATTTGATTGAATAATGTCCCTCGAGTTATGATTAAGATTGTGTTAAATTTGGGATTCAATCGATCAATCCATTGGAAAGTTAATTTTTTATTCTTAATTAATGAGTTTTCCTCACATTTTTACTCTATTGTTTCTCTGTCACATCAGGTTTACATCAAACAAAGTTTAAATCCCCCTCCTATACAGGTACGAACAACCACCTGTACTATTCACTTTGCCAACCAAAAACAGTCATGACACAGAACTGCTTAATATTCAATTAATATATTACGCACTTTATACAAGCCCGTACCTAAGGACACCCTTCCCTTGGGCAACAATTTTTTAAAGAAATGCAGTTTTTCACCATTCACATACATGTATTGACATGTCAGAGCAATGTTATTAGTAATACTTTAATCCCTAAGTATTCAATTTCTATGAATTGAGTTTTGTTCACCCTGATAAATAATCTGTTTGTTAGAGTTAATGGATTAATTTCTACAGCCTACATGTATGGCTCTAATTTCCACAAAAAAATACAAATTAAGTTTTTCATATTTATTTGATTGTAAAGTGTACCTCGTGCTATGATTAACATTGTATTAAAATTTTGATTCAATCGATTAACTCATTGGGAAGTAATTTCTTGATTTTTAATTATGGGGTTTCCTCACAATTTAATTCCATTGTTTCTCTGTAACATTAAGTTTAATACAACAAACAACATTTAAAGCCCTCTCTTACACAGACACAAACAAACACCACTATTCACTTCGCAAACCACACAAAACGTTTATAACACAAAATTGCAAAAATATTAAGCTCAATACATTACGCCTTTGATACAGGTCTGTGGCCATGGGGGAGGGTCGTTGGGTTCATGTGAATCCCCCACCCCCTTGCCAAGATTCTTTCAAAATCATACAGTTTTCACCAATCTGAGCACTGTCACGTGATTTTTGGCCAACATTATCAATTTTGACCCCCTTGGTACGTTTTGAAAATTGACCCCCTGAGCTCAAACTTATTATGAGCCTGTAATATACCAGAAATATTGCTCAGATTTCATCTGACAAATCACTTATAATAAATTAGGAAATAACATACATTATGTAAATGATACAAGTAGTATTAAGACATATTAAAACAAAGTTAAAACTTGTATTCTTTCACATTTCACAATTCATGTGTTTTCTGTTATCCATATGATATCTGAGATAAACACCCGTGATAAACAACAGAGATTAGAACGTGCAATACAATTGTTTCTTTTAGAATTGGACCATTTCTGTTTATAACAGCTGGTTTTATTAATCATTCTTTGTTTTCCGTTTCAATATATACATATACAAAAGGTGCAAGATTCAGTATGTTTAGTTGATAATGTAATAATGCAAATAAAGAAACGGGCGCATTTTACATTCATTGCAAATGTTTCATCTGACAAATTGATGATTATTTTTTGAGCAAATTGGTGCATGGAAGAACAAACTGATGCAAATAACATACAGTATGGACATACAGCTACATGTATGTCAGAGCAATATGATAAGTAAGACTTTAATCCCTAATTATTCAATTTCTATTAAATGAGTTTCGTTAACACTGATTACTAATCTGTTTGTTAGAGTCAATGGATTAATTTCTTACAGCCAACGATTCTAAGTTTAAAAAGAACAGTTTTGCAAATTAAGTTTTTTATATTTATTTGATTGTATATTATCCCCCATGTTATGATTAACATTGTGTTAAAATTTGGATTCAATCGATCAATTCATTAGAAAAATAATTTTTAATTCTTAATTAATAAGTTTTCCTCACATGTTACTCTATTGTTTCTCTGTCACATCAAGGTTACAATAAACAACATTTAAATCCCCCTCTTATATTACACAGGCACAACCACCTGTATTCACCAAGTCAGCCAAAAAACAGTCTTGACACAGAAATGCTCAATATTCAGCTAAATACATTACGCATTTTATACAGGCCCGTACCTAGCGACCCCCTCCCCTTGGCCAACAATTCTTTCAAGATCATGCAGTTTTTCACCATCTCGTACATGTATTGACATGTCAGAGCAATTAAATAAAACTTTAATCCCCAAGTATTTAATTTCTATGACATGAGTTTTGTTCACTGATAACTAATCCGTTTGTTATGAATTAAAGGATTAATATTTACAGCCGATGGTTCTGATTTCCACAGAAAAATAATTTGCAAATTAAGTTTTTCTAATTTATTTGATTCTTTAGTGTCCTTCTTGCTATGATTAATATTGTGTTAAAATTTGGAATTAATCGACTAACTCATTGAAAAGTAATTTTTTTGATTTTTAATAAATGACTTTTCTTCACCTTTAATCCACAGTTATTACCCAAATGTTGAAAGAAACAGTGAAAGGTTAAGCTAGGCTCATGAGTATGTTTCAATTTGAGACATAGTATGTGATGTGCTGCGCTCCAGGTACATCAGTATAATATTAAAAAGTTCAATTTGGCGCATTAGTATAGTTCAATTTGGCGCATTATTTATGATGTTCAAAGTACATCCTGACAGTGAAAGATTAAACTTGGCTCATGAGTATGTTTCAATTTGGTGCATAGTATGTCATGCGCTCCAAATACATCAGTATTTTAAAAAGTTCAATTTGGCGCGTTAGTATAGACCAATTTGGCGCGCTTTTTATTATGTTCAAAGGTCATCCTTGTATTGAAAGGTTAAACGTGGCTTATGAGTATGTTTCAATTTGGGAATAGTCTTTGACATGCTCTAAGTTCATCAGTATATTAAAAAGACCAATTTGGCGCACGCATTGGTATAGTTCAATTTGGCGCGTTATTTATGATGTTCAAAAAACATCATTATATTGAAAGGTTAACCTTGGCTCATTTGGCGCATTAGTATAGTTCAATTTGGTGCATTATTTATGATGTTCAAAGTACATCCTTACATTGAAAGGTTAAACTTGGCTCATGAGTATGTTTCAATTTGGGACATAGTATGTGATGTGCTGTAAGTTCATCAGTATATTAAAAAGTTCAATTTGGCACATTATCATAGTTCAATTTGGCGTGTTATTTATGATGTTCAAAGTACATCCTTACATTGAAAGGTTACACTTGGCTCATGAGTATGTTTCAATGGGACATAGTATGTGATGTGCTCCAAGTTTATCAGTATATTAAAAGTTTCAATTTGGCGCATTATCATAGTTCAATTTGGCGCATTATTTATGATGTTCAAAGTACATCCTTACATTGAAAGGTTAAACTCGGCTCAGGAGTATGTTTCAATTTGGGACATAGTATGTGATGTGCTGTAAGTTCATCAGTATATTAAAAAGTTCAATTTGGCGCATTATCATAGTTCGATTTGGCGCGTTATTTATGATGTTCAAAGTACATCCTTACATTGAAAAGTTAAACTTGGCTCATGAGTATGTTTCAATGGGACATAGTATGTGATGTGCTCCAAGTTCATCAGTATATTAAAAAGTTCAATTTGGCGCATTATCATAGTTTAATTTGGCACATTATTTATGATGTTCAAAGTACATCCTTACATTGAAAGGTTAAACTTGGCTCATGAGTATTTTCAATGAGACATAGTATGTGATGTGCTCCAAGTTTATCAGTATATTAAAAAGTTCAATTTGGCGCATTATCATAGTTCAATTTGGCGCGTTATTTATGATGTTTAAAGTACATCCTTACATTGAAAGGTTAAAGTTGGCTCATGAGTATGTTTCAATTTGGGACATAGTATGTGATGTGCTGTAAGTTCATCAGTATATTAAAAAGTTCAATTTGGCGCATTAGTATAGTTCAATTTGGCGCGCTTTTAATTATGTTCAAAGTACATCCTTACAATGAAAGGTTAAACTTGGCTCATGAGTATGTTTCAATTTGGGATATAGTATGTGATGTGATTCAAGTACATCAGTATATTAAAAAGTTCAATTTGGCGCATTAGTATCGTTCAATTTGGCGCATTATTTATGATGTTCAAAGTACATCCGTACATTGAAAGGTTAAACTTGGCTCATGAGTATGTTTCAATTTGGGACATAGTATGTGATGTGCTCAAACTTCATCAATATATTAAAAAGCTCAATTTGGCGCATTAGTGTAGTTCAATTTGGCGCATTATTTATGATGTTCAAAGTAAATCCTTACATTGAAAGGTTGAACTTGGCTCAGGCGAGTATGTTTCAATTTTGGACATAGTATGTGATGTGCTCAAACTTCATCAATGTATTAAAAAGCTCAATTTGGCGCATTAGGGTAGTTTAATTTGGCGCATTATTTATGATGTTCAAAGTAAATCCTTACATTGAAAGGTTGAACTTGGCTCATGAGAGTATGTTTCAATTTTGGACATAGTATGTGATGTGCTCAAACGTCATCAATATATTAAAAAGCTCAATTTGGCGCATTAGTGTAGTTCAATTTGCCGCATTATTTATGATGTTCAAAGTACATCCTTACATTGAAAGGTTGAACTTGGCTCATGAGTATGGTTCAATTTTGGACATAGTATGTGATGTGCTCAAACTTCATCAATATATTAAAAAGCTAAATTTGGCGCATTAGTGTAGTTCAATTTGGCGCATTATTTATGATGTTCAAAGTAAATCCTTACATTGAAAGGTTGAACTTGGCTCATGATAGTATGTTTCAATTTTGGACATAGTATGTGATGTGCTCCAAGTACATTAGTATTTTAAAAAGTTCAATTTGGCGCGTAAGTATTTATCAATTTGGCACGTTTTTTATTATGTTCAAAGTTCCTCCTTACATTGAAAGGTTAAACTTGGCTCATGAGTATGTTTCAATTTTGGACTTAGTATGTGATGTGCTCTCAGTTCAATAGTATATTAAAAAGTTCAATTAGGCGTGTTAGCATAGTTCAATTTGAGGCATTATGAACATTATAAATAACGCGCTAAATTATACTATACTTATGCGCCAAACTGAACCTTTTAATATACTGATGAACCTACAGCACATCACATACTATATCTCAAATTGAAACATACTCATGAGCCAAGTTTAACCTTTTTAACCATTTTATTCATGAAATTGTAAAATATAATGTACTCTGTAATTACTGTATGCTATGTAATTGTCAAATATATTGAAGTATATGCATATTTTATACTTAAACTTTGTGTTTTGTTCTGTATCGTTTTGTGACACTTGTTGATAAGGTTGATCCGTACTATTATATATGTTATAGATTGTACATGTAACCTAATGATTTACATACAAAAATAAGTTTTTGTTCAGCGCAATCCCTCATCCTTCATAATTTTTAATTCCGGGGATTTTATACCGATTGCTTATTGTATTTCATACATTTGAATATTGTTTTCTTTTTAAAATCTAAAAATGCATCATCATCATAAACTTCTGCCACATAATTATACAACAATTAATTTTCCTCCAGATGGCTTCACTCTAAACCTTCGAACCTCCTCCCTTACTAGGGGTCTAATTTGTCATAGGAAAGTCTGGATTGTCTCAATTTAAAACTGACAAAGAACAAAGATATCACAATACGCTTTATCTCATTTTAACTACACCGAAATTGCTGCTAATTTTTGGTAAGACTAAAAACAAACTTCAAATTAATATGCGCTTATTTTACTCAAAACGGAGAATAAATAATTTACCGATTTATATTTGAAATATACCCAAATTTTTCATTCCACTTTTTGTATTGACTTACATTTTTAAAATGCATTTAAAGTTCATTTAGAATCATATACTTCAACATCATAAAATTTTAAATGAGATCTCAGACATCAAGTTTGATTTAGCTTTCTTAAGTGAAATGCATGATTTTATTTGTTTACATTAGCGCTTAATTGAAAAATAAAATAGGATTAACTCCAAGCAAATTAAGGCACATCAAAGAATATATAGCCTCACGTATAAGAGGCGTATAGTTTGTTTTTGGATTACGTAATACATACTATACTCATCTTTTCTATGTACTTATATCCTACTATTCCTGGCTCTTAAGAATAATCGGAGAATAGTTCAAACGATATTTAATATCGTAGAGTATATACCACCAATACTAAATGTTCCGCTTCTGAGGCAAGAATAGTTTGTTTCCCATACCGAATACGATATAGTGAGGACATACTGAACTATATTCACAAATAGTTTGCCACTTATACCCTACTATATTTGGCTTTTTGCACAGTGAATGTTCATATATGTTTTTACATGTAGCAGCTTCTAGTGATAAAAATATCAAGAATTGTTTAATCACAGTTCAACCTAAACTTGTTTGAGGAACTATATGGCTCAATGTATAATTTTACTTAATATAGATGACTTATTTGAACTAACCAGCTTTGCCAAGGGGGGTTTACTTTAAAAAAATTAAGGGGAGGGGTTCACATTTGACTACAAAATCACTTGAAAAGTCCTGGCAATGGTGAGAAACTGCATGATTGTTTCTTTCTTGACTGGGAGGTTTCACTCAAACCGCTGAACCTCCCCCTTGGCTATGGGCCTGAACTAAGAAACAATCTTGGTCACTAAAATGGAAGCCAATTGACTTACTTGTATTTCTTGGCTTCAGCATCAGCCTGCTGCTGCTTCCGCAGCCTCATCCTCTCTCTTGGGGTGAGGTGTTTCATCTTTGTGTCTTCCTTCTCTTTAAGATCACTGAGGTGGCTGCTCCCCTTTCTGTATTTAAACACAATAATTTGCCTTTTTTTCATCAAGCTGTTCACATTCATTCATTATATACTTTTTGCATTTTTACGACTTTTTTTCATACTTTTAAGCATAAATAATGGAAAGGTCACATAGAGGATTATTTACCCCTCTCTAAAAGCTAGATTATTTTTGTGTAAACATTATTCAATGATAAATTACCAAAACCTTAAGGTGCAGATTTTTAATTATTTATTTCTACTGATTTAATGAATGTTGAATAAAATAAAATATTTTTAAAAAGTTATTTTAGATCTCAATTTTATAAGACAATTTGATACTTACATATAACGTTCTATATCTTGAGCTTCTTGTCGACTTATATCTTTAGCTTGATGCCGCTCTGTCATCACATTTTTTAATTTCTAAAAAAGTTTCAAGAATTTTCAGTGAACAATTTTTTGAAGTAAAATTTAATTCTTCATCTTTAAAATAATCTCTCTTCAATTTTTGTTTTGTTTTCAAATCTCCTACTTTTAAGCTATATATTATTAGAAAGCAATAGGGATTACTTTTGAAAAACAAAACAAGACAAGCCCTATATATCATATTAACCATATCAAAGCAGAAATGAAAGCGGTAAACCCACCTCTAAATGTCTAGCTATAAATGGATCCTTCGTCACTTCTGTGGCTGATAGTCTTTTATGAGGGTCTTTTTCTAACATTCTACAAGCAAACATCAAAGACTATTTACAGGGAATGTCATTGTAGTCATCAGTATTTATATAGAAAATCTAGTAGTATAGAGAATGAAATTGACAAGAAATTTAGTAAACCTGTATGTATCTGAATACTTTCTAACCTGGACAGGTCTAAATATAAACACTTTTCTCTGTCCCAATCTTGTTATCTCCCAATGACTCACATATTAAGAAACCATGAAATGTGAACACTTATTAATCCAAACATTTTTTTCTGTCCAGTGGCATTCAGATCATACAGGCTTTATTGTATTATGCATGGCAAAGAAATTCCACATTGTCAAAGGAAAAGCATGGAACAGGCACAACCTCTGTTGTATTTGAGTATGTAATTATCCAATTTACATCAACGCACAAGTCGTTGTCAGAAATCAATCCTCTCTGCAAACAAAATCACCTTTAATTTTTTTCAACCACAACATTTGAATATAGGACACCATCCCATACTTACAATTTATATACATTTCCTAGATCTTTAGAATAATTCTCAGGTAGTTCAGGTGGTTTGCCTTCTACTATTTTATACATGACTCCCATCAGACTTTGGCCATCAAATGCATGACTCAATGCACATAATTCAAAAAGTATACAAGCTATCGACCTAAAAACAGAACAATAAACGCTTTTCATCTAAATGATTCACCATGAGCATTCTGAAAAAATATTACACTGCACTGTATACTATTACTATAGTTTTAATACAGGTAAACAATCTACCTATTCAACCCTTGAAATGGAGGTACGACAGATAAAGTGACAATATTTTCACCATCTAAAATATAAACAAAAACTCCATCACATGGAATTTTTGAAAAAGTCACTTTAAAAACTAACCCCCGCCCCCTTGGTTGATCCTGTACATACCATACGTCAGACTTTGAATTATATCCCTCGTGTTTAAGCACCTCTGGACTCATGTAGTATGGTGTCCCTGTGAAAGTTGTAGCCAGGTCAGACGTTCCCATCAAGATACGAGATATACCAAAGTCTCCAAGCTTTATACGGTTATGTTTTAGGAATATATTTCTGAAAATAATATGTAATTTTAAATTTTACACTATTGTTATTCAAAAGAACCTTTTCAATCTAAACATATGGTAATCTGTCTTTCAAAATATAAATAAAACAACATTTTGTTACCCTTTCCTGTAATTTTTGTGCTAAAATAAGACAGTAGTTTTAATAATATTTCATATTCTCATAATATTCTGATTGAAAAAGGTATCAAAAAGCTGATCTAGTTGAAATTCAGTTTCTATGAAACATTTCAAGATTTGATTGACAGGTCTATTTTTACACTTTCCATATTTGGAACAAAATGTACAACAATGTTAAATTTCCAAGGTCAGGCTGATCTGGCACTCTGTAAGGCAATTTAAAAAAGGAGATTTGACAAAAAATGGGAATGTACTAAAAACCCTTCGACCTACGACCCTTCGACCCTTCGACTTACTGGGTGTCAATAATTTTTGGAATATATTTTATTGAAAAACCCTTCGACCTCTGATTTCCCAGTCCAGTTTACTAAATGATTACGTATAGTTCCAACTTGAGCTCCCTGTGCACGCAAATACGCATTTTACCTGGTAATTGTCAAGCAAAAATGTTTCAGTAGAAAAATTTCTAAAAAAGTTCGTCTACACAGCAAAAATACGAACGCCGAAAAAAAACGTACGCATTTCGTTCGGACTTTTCACACGAATTACGTATATGTCACGCATTGCGTTCGAAATTTTTCGTGTTTATTTTCCTTGTACCCTTGCATGCTTTGGATTTTGTAGGATGCAGAACAAAGAATCTACTTATTTAGTTGGCATTAGATTCTTAACTGTTTAAACTATATAAAAAATTTGACCTCCTGAAAATATGCACGATGCGCCACTGTTACAATGTGATGGGAAAAGCACAAATATTTTTACTGAGGTAAGAAACGTTCACATTCGAATGTGCTCGAATACATTAAACCTGCACATCGCTCCAAAACGCAATATGTTGACATATATTGTTTTTACATTTTCAAGCTCTAATATAAAGTTTATATTCTAAAAAAAAAATATCTGCGTAATGTCAAAGAACAATCATTTAGTTAAAAAAAATAAAAAAGGCGAAAGCGGGATTCGAACCCGGGCCTCCCGCGTGCTAAGCGAGCATTCTACCGCTAGACCACCGTGATATTATGAATGGTGGAAGTAATTAAACGCTACTTATTTTGGTGTCACTCCTGTAAATCATTGAAAAATATTGAAAAAAATCACAAAATTCAAGTTCTGGGGTACATATCGCCATTTTCTAACGAACTAGCCCATACAATGACTACAGTTGGGGACATAAATAAATGACAGGTGGATTTGCTGAAGTGAGGATTTCCCATGTTAAAAATAAGAGAATTTACAAGAGGCCATAAATCAGTGGATGAGATTAAACAAAATGTAAGATATACAAATTTTAAGGGATACGTATCTAGACAATATTTGAAATTATGGGCTTTCAGACCACCATAATTAGGAAATGGTGATCGAAAATCGACCTGTCATTTATTTTTCTCCCCAACTGTATATTTCTGCGTTCCCCTATACATAACCTTCATCTTGACACTATATTTAACATAGGGTTTGCGTCTCGATTTTTATATATCACTACGCCAACATAGGGACTCATTTTCAGGTAAAATCCCTGCTTCACCGATGAAAATTAACGAATAAAGTAGTTCCAGTTTACGGGACTATATTCTTGCGATTTTTTTCTTAAATTGGCACATTTAGAAAGTACTTGGCCTCAGCTTTACATACATACCTCAAATGGCCACATTGCATACACTTAAACCTAATACACACCATTGAAGTTGGCATGGTTTCGTATTTAAAGTATTAAAAAACACTGTCCTACCCGGAAGTGCTATTTACCGGAGTGACACCTTTTGAATGCTATGATTCGGAAGTGACGTCACGTTCTTCATTTAGAAACCTTTCCAAAATCATATCGCCGGCTCCGATCGAAGTCCAGCTTTAAATATCTTTAACTCTCTTGGTACAGATTCTTAAGTTCTATACACAAAGTAATATTTCCAGCAACTTCATATGGACTGAGAAATATCTAGAAGGTCGAATGGTTTTTATAAAAATATATTTCAAAAATTCTTGACACGCTGTAAGTCGTAGGTTGCAGGGTCGAAGGGTCGAAGGGTTTTTAGTACATTCCTATTTTGACGCAAATTGCTTATCTTCTCTCATGTTTTATTTCATTTTCCAATGTTTTCTGACATTGTTTCGCTTTAAAACTGTTTTAGCTAGTCGAAATGAACCATTAATCTAAAAAAAGTTTCTTTTCATTTCACCGTTACTAGAAGTTCCCGGATGTACCAGCATAGGCTTACTCTTATTAATTTGTTCTGTTCGGTATTATAGTGCATTAGCGTTCGGTATTTCAATGCACTTTTCTCGAACTTTTTCTCAATGTACATCGCGCTGTGCATCGATGTTTACTACTGAAAATTGCCAATGCATCGATGTACGATTATAGCACATCGCGACAACACGTCCGATTCTGAAGTTCTATAAACATAGTAATATTTCCAGCAACTTCATATGGACTGAAAAATTGAAGGTCACAGGGTTTTTATAAAAATATATTCCAAAAATTCTTGACACCCTGTAAGTCGTAGGTCGTAGGGTCGAAGGGTCGAAGGGTTTTTAGTACATTCCCAAAAAATGATCAAATGTACCCTTGATTTTCTCAGTCAAAACACATTTTTGAAAAAATGTACCTTTCAAAAGATTCTTAAATTTCTGATTTCAGATTCTATGAGAAGTTTTGTTGATCAATTGCACATATTTAAAATGAGATTTTAGAAGCATTTCAGTGAACAATTTTGTAAAAGAATTTGATCTCTGGGAAAGATTAGATCCATTTGTTAATTTTTTACTGGTTTAGTGACTGTGTTTTCAAATGTTTATCATTGTGCATTCTGATTATTAATGGACACATTTTCATTTTTCATTTAATTTTTTAAAATTGTTTTTTCTACGAGTGCATTAAAGCCTTGTTTGTAGGAAGTTTCTAAAAAGTATACATCATTATGTCAAAGCTGCACAAAACCCAATTGAAAACCACAATTCTTTATTCACAATACAGATAATGTATAGATTCTCTGTTACTACAATTACAGGAGTGACCATCCCTTATATTAAAGTGGTAGCAAAGAATAGAAATCAATTCATTGTTTTTACCAAATTTGCTTGTTGTTTTGAGAGATTTTGCTTTCATTGTAATAATCATAACTTAAATAGTTTTGCCTTTTAATCTGAAATTCTTATTAAACATATCAGGGAGAGTTTAATGTTGGAAGCAATCTCTTCAAATACTAAGCCAATGCTCCCTTACATTACAATCCATTATTTTATCATCCAAAAATGGAAATTGAGATATCTGACCAAATATGAAAGTTATCGAACTTAAGGATTGGAAAGGGGTATGCACTTTTTAAAAAGTATTGCCAAACAAGCTTTAAAAGTAAATGTTAATCGCGAAATAAAATTAGAACTATTGGACGTTTTAAAATAGACATGAAATGTGACCCAAGGATATTGTAAAACTGTGATTGTTGCACCTTTAAGAAATAAATGATGTTGACCCATTATTCATCAAAGTTAGAATCACTTTGTCACAAGCATTTTAATCGACCATAATTAATAATTCTGACATGCATTCAAAACAGTATGTGTTTTAATCCATTTCTTACCTTGTCTTCAAGTCCCTATGTAGCACACGTTTACTGTGCATGAACTGTACTGCAATGACAAGCTGTATGAACCATTCTATCACAAGGCTCTCTTTAAACTTCTTGCCTTGTTTTTGATATTTTGTTATCTGGTCTCCTAAGTCACCACCCTGGAAAGTTGAAGAAAACTCAATCAAAAGCCATTCATTTCTATTCTATTTTATGTTCATTTTTGGTCATTTTAACTACAGAGTGACCCCAGAAATGTAACCCTTTAATTTTGGATTAAGTTTCTAAATGTTGGTGAAATACTCTTGAATTTTCATGGTTCGGGCAATGAGAGAAAAAGGAGAATAGCCTAAGAATCATAAACCTTCACCATTACCTCACAATCTTTATTTAGCTCATGACAACAGTTGGATGAAGATACATTAAAGCAAAAGATGGATGGGGCAGGAAGAGTGAAAGGAGAAAGACCAACAGAGCATGAGACTTTAGCATACCTCATAGTATTCAGTTACAGTAGAGAAGAACTCTACATCTGGGAATCATTCTTTTTTAGTTCAGATTGTTTAGTTCACAAGGCCTGTTGGATACAAAAATTGGATGGGGTAAGGGGTTGTCTTAGGGATATAAGTTGTCTTGGGGATGAGTTGTCCTGGGATGAGTTGTCTTGGGATGAGTTGTATAAAACCCTAGACAAGGAGATCGAGGGTAAAAAGAGAAACTTCTAACATACCTCACAATACTCAGTTACAATACAGAAGAACTCTCCATCCAGGAAACTATCATGGAACTTCACGATTCCAGGATGATCCAACTTGGACAGAAGCTTGGCCTCATGCATTGCATCAACAGTTTCATCGGGTTGAAGGTCACCCACTGAAATCTCCTTGAGAACTTTCCTGGAAATAAATGATATAGTTTTGAACAATATACATATAATCATAAACTATATTTTGCTTTATATTATTATCACATCAACAGCTTCATCTGCTTGAAGGTCACCTACTGAAATCTCCTTGAGGACTTTCCTGGAAATAAATACAATGTGCTTATATAACACAATCTGGGAAAAATTACTCAAATTAATATGTCCTGTTTCATTCAGAGAGTGTTATCTAATATGTTTCTAGTTCTAATACTGAAGTACCAAGGAATGGGCAGTTTCGGGCAACTATCAATCCCATGAAAACAGATACCATAATCCAATTTCAAAAGAAACAAAGGGTTACAATGATAAAACATGGAGCCTACATCCTTTAATGCAATGAACATGTCAGGGTTCACGAATCACAACTCAGGTCAAAACATGAATGTCTCACTAAAACATACAGATGTATTGGCATTCAGTCCATTGCCTAATAGGGCTCATGACTTAAGGTCAGAACATGAATGTCTCACTAAAACATATTTGGCATTCAGTCCATTGCCTAATAGGGCTCATGACTTAAGGTCAGAACATGAATGTCTCACTAAAACATATTTGGCATTCAGTCCATTGCCTAATAGGGCTCATGACTTAAGGTCAGAACATGAATGTCTCACTAAAACATATTTGACATTCAGTCCATTGCAAAAAAGGCAACTCATTTTTCCAAGTTCATTGTCAACATTGAAAAGTGTTTACCATTGGCAGTCCTACAGTTATTAGTTTCGCACCCTTGTACATGTACTGAATGAGCGAATTAGTTGTGGCAATATGAAAAAGTTTATTTGCCATAAGCAGGGAGCACATCAAAAGTTCAATGTAGCACAAAAATCTTTATTATCAGTAAAAGTCCAGACACCCCCCCTCCCCCTTTTAACTATATATGGAAATTGAAAAATGAAAAAGTTGCCAGTGTGCACCCTTACTATTTTTCATTCAACAACTTGAGCACAGATTTTTTCTATGTGAATTTAGTGTTGAATCATGATAATGTTGTTGCAGTTTAAGTCATAAATATATACTGTATGCGCAATATTCTGGCTGAATGCTGAAAATCACTTTTTACGGGCTAGTCATTATTTTACAGGTCAAGAATACATTTAATATTGACAAAATAAATTGACATTATGCGGTATAAGTTTACACTCAACTGAAACCAAATAGCACCAAATAAAGCAATGAATAGAACATATCAACATTGATATAATCATTTGTATTGTCAAGATTTATTCAAATATTGTACTTGGTATACAAATAGATCTGTTAATCTAACATTGGGGAAGTGATTTCTTTGGAGTTCTAATACACATGTTACAATTTTTCTATGGCTTTATTGTAAAATAGTGTCTATAAAAGGAACACACAGTTTATATCATATTTACATTATTTGATGTTATGAACTGTGGGCTTATCAGAATTTGGACTTAAAACTAGTAAATCATTTGACAAAATATCATCTTTATGCCCATACTCGCTTTTTCTAGAGGGAAGTGCTCCATTTCTCTTCCTCAAGAAAATCTGGTCCCTTCTGTGATAATGTTACGGCTTGATTTATAAAATTTAAACCCAAAAATTGAGGGCCCAGGAAGCACCCATTTTGTACAGATCTGATTACACATTCCAGTATAAAATCGTATTACTACAATTTATTTGGGGAGGTATTCAATTTCACCATTCACCTACATCTTAGAAACCTAATAGACTGTTTTTAATTAATTCTGGATAGCCCAATAATCTGTAATCATATGCTTATATTGAAATTATCCCCAATGCATGGGTCTTAATTAATGGTCAATTAAAGAATGATTTCTCAACTTATCCTAGTATATGGTAGATTGGATACTCATTGATTATTCCTTAATCAAACAGCTCTTTGTGGCAAAATAGATATTCATTACAGATAACTCTGCCAGAAGTTTGGCCTTGTATGGGAATTGCTCCTTTTACTTGTAGTATATTCAAAAATATTTAACACAGAAAATTGTGATATGAATTCCTTTAACATTTTTCATCATATTCTTGTCATATTTGACTTTTATTGTTAAAGATGCGATATTTTGAAAATAAAAAGTTTTTTTAATTACTTTATTTGACAAAAAACAATATTTACATACCTGAAATGCAGTGATTAATATAAGACGAATAAATAAAGTATTAAATAAGAAATTCATAAACACTGAAAATGTCTTCATTTCTATTATTTGCAATAACGATAATCCTTAAATTTAATTTATTTAACACCAAAAATTACATCTTTTACTTGAATATTACTGTTTACTTGCCCAAAAGGCTCTTAAATGTGTACAATTTAGAAAAGTAGCATGCAGCATTATCTATGTTATTACAAAAGTCACAAATTTCTGACTCTTATTTAATAGTTCTAAAAATAATTAATTTTAAAATGTTAATCTTATAAAAAGCTTACACTGTATTTCCCCAAAAAGAGACAAATGTAAGAATAAGTGCTGCAAGTGGCATCAAATTTCAATACCGGTATCAAGCACGCCCGATTTCATACTGATCGGAAGTGCCGCAAAAAAGTTTTAAAAAAATCAAAAATGTGATTCCTTATGTTGAAATTTGAAATCCCAATGAATTATTCTTTACCTTTTATTGTAATTCTGACACTCCGCATATCATACTAAAAGAGTGTCTGAATGAGAAAAGTATAAGTTTAAGCAATTAGAAAACTACATTTAATCTAGCGATGCTTACATTTTGGCCCTCCATTTTGAAGAGCATTTGAAGAGCAATGAACCCAGCACTTCTGGGTAGAAAATTTGAAATTTTGTTGCCAATTGATGTGATTTTACAAAAGAACAATGCAAAAACAGAGCGCAGCTATAGTACATTGAGGGAAAGGTAAGATAGCATCTTAACGTGCTATTGTCTTTACATGACATCCAGCATCTGATTTCAATACCGGCACTGAAGCCCAGTGCTACTTTCACGCTACTTCCAGTAATACTTTGATGCACAAGTAGGAATTAATGTGTTTGTGGACCAGGAGGCCGTTTTTCGAAAATTATCGTAATTGATGAATCTTTAATAGCGAATCATGGATTCGTTTCTATGGACACCGCATCGTTAATGGAATAACGAGACCCCATTCGTACTCGTAAAATCAATCATGGATAACGAATAAATGGTTAAAAATCATGACTTCATCGCGAATCGTTAACTTTCGAGAAAAGGAAAAATAGTTATTAACAATTTTATTAACGATTCGTTAATAATGAAACTTTTGAGAGATGGCCTCCTGTATCGTGCGAGTATTAGTCAGGTGAACGGGAGCATTTGTTTGTCAACTTTTACTTACAATTCATTTTCACATTTCCTATCTTTTACGAGCCATGCTGTTCCGAAGTTGCCACTGCCAAGCTTTTTAACAAACTCATAGCGATTTGCTGCAACACGAGGACCTTCCGAATCTTTGCCATTCTTTCCACCTCCGCTTCGAGGCATTTTCTTAGGTAGAGGCATTTTAGATGTTTAATGGAGACTCTGTAAAAAACAAATAAGGTCTTGTAGAGCTTATCAATCTAGATCAACATGTTGATGAAGATGCATGAGATTCATCCAGTTGGAAAGTGCAGGACTTGAAAAAATCATTTTTGAAAAAAGTTAAGAAAAAATTGACTTTTTAAACGGATAATTTCAGGTTAAGTAAAGCTCAAAATTTGCATAAAATGATGCATAAGTAGTCTTAGATACTTCGTACATACCTTCATTACATGCATAAGGGGATATTTGACGAGAAAGTGCAATAAATTACACTTGAAGTGGAGTTGTAAATGTTCGTAAAAGTATCACTTTGCTATAGCTACGGACGCATGCGCAACTTAACTTCCTGTTTAGGGTTACAACTTCCGGGTGTAAACTCAAGAAAAGTGGTGATTTGTTCTCGTAAGTATTTACCGTTTATAGCGTAAGTATGCATTGTCAGACTTGTCAACTACATTTACTGTATTGACAGATATCCATGGAACATTTTGGCAATTTGATTTAGATTAAGGTGCACTGAAAAATTGAAAAATTTTCAATTAAAATTGACTGATTTATTTTCAAAAATTATTTGAAAAATACATTGTCCTTCATGTACATGTTACATTGCATGTCAATTTTTTCAACCAATTTTTAATTTTTTTTCGTAGAAAAGATTATCTGCCTTTTTGGAATAATTGATTACATGCATCAAGCATCTCTTAATAGTCTTGATATTCCACCCTGAACCCCAAAATGATGATGATTTACCAGATCAACAATGTCACCATGTTTTCTCTACTGCCGTGCTGGTTACATTTTTCATGCATCCTATTGATGACTAACTATGTATTACAGTGTTGTTGTCAAGATGGAACTTTTCAAACGAGGACGCATCACATATATATTCCTAATCAGTATTACCATATTGAATGGTGGGACATGGGCCCAAGACGCAGCAGACAATAAGGATACAATTGTAAACAATGAGGATGAACCATTGTGTGATAAAGATAAGACTGAGACATCAGATTGTGGTTGTGGAGGAGGCGCTACCAACCGTAAAACTACAACAGATGATACAGAAACCTCCACAATCAATAAGGAATCAAATGTTAAAAGTGCAACTTCAAAGTATACATCTGCTGCAAATGTTGAAAGCAAGTACACAAGGACAAATAACATGGTGTTTATAGATGGAGGAACATTCCAAATGGGCACTAACAGTCCTTTAATTATGGCTGATGGAGAAGGGCCTGAACGAGAAACCAGAGTGAATGACTTTTATCTGGATGTCCATGAGGTATCAAATGCCGAATTTGAGCTATTTGTTGACGCTACAAATCATGTGACTGAAACGGAAACATTTGGTGATTCATTTGTATTTGAGGGGATCATAAGTGAGGAAATTAAAAAAGATATTACGCAAGCTGTTGCTGCTGCCCCCTGGTGGCTGCCTGTGAAAAAAGCAGATTGGCGCCATCCAGAGGGACCTGATACATCGCTAGAGGGCCGTATGACTCACCCTGTACTGCATGTATCCTGGAACGATGCTGTGGCATATTGCAAATGGGCAGGCAAACGCCTCCCTACTGAAGCTGAGTGGGAGTATGCATGTAAGGGTGGTCTAAAGAATCGACTCTTTCCATGGGGAAATAAAGATGTCCCTAAAAACACACATAAAATGAACATATGGCAAGGTGATTTTCCTAATACAAACACAGCCGAAGATGGCTATGAGAAAACTTGCCCTGTTGATGAATTTGAACCACAAAATAAATATGGTCTCAAGAATATGGTGGGGAATGCATGGGAATGGACATCAGATTTCTGGACTCCAGACCACTCAAACTCTGCGCAGGATAACCCTAAGGGCCCCGAGACAGGGACTGATAAAGTTAAAAAAGGAGGTTCTTATATGTGCCATGAGTCATATTGTTATAGATACAGGTGCTCAGCTAGATCTCAGAATACGCCTGATAGTTCATCCAGTAACCTTGGCTTCAGATGTGCAGCAGACAAACTACCGGAATATCTGCAGCATTAAGATATTATCCAATCATGACAAAGATATTTAAAACAGCGAAAATAATATTATTCATATCTCCATTTTCGTAAAAATAAACAAGGGCACATAATGCAATAAAATATTGTAAAACATGTTTAATTCATTATAAGTTTATAATTTTCAAGAATATTGATTTATATCTTTATTTTGCTTCATGATGAATTGACTTCAGTAAAACCTATATATCTGAACATTTCTCTCATCGGAATCTCTGTGAACATTTTTCAGTCCCATTTCTTAATCTGCTTAACTTTTATGTTCAGAATACATGTACACCTGCAAATCTGAACACTTTTGGCCAGTTCCAATGACATTCTGATCAGACAGGTTTTACTGTATATATTAGAGATTTTTCAATTGATATCAATGTAAAATTCATGAATTAGACCATAGGTGAATTCAACATGAGAGTACATTAAGGCCGATCCAGAAGTTCTGATAAAAATGCTCTAACTTAAAAAGTTTATCATCTGTTTTCCACAATATTTTCAGAGTACATGTAACTGGGTCATTTATTCCCTCATAGGATGTAAAACATTTAGATGCTGGTAATGAATATTTCTGAAGTTATGGTTGCTATGGTAACCTCAATAAACCTATATACAGCACCTTTTGAAATTCTATTCTTTTGCAAACAGAAATAAATTATTATTTTGATTCATGGGCTAGTTAACTTTAACAGTAAATGTAAAATATGAATAAGTGTGGCATGAGTAAAGAGGCTTAGAAGAACAGTGCGTTCATAAAGATTAGTTATACACTTATTTCATATCACAATGTTGTAAGATGGTTTGACTATTTGTTAGGCCTGTATTGCATGCCACCAAATGTTCTCATGATTTATCCTCTATCTGGTGCTAAATTATCATTTTATCTAATTTTTTTATTGATTATGTCCAGAATTGGTCAAAATGTGAATATGATTTTCCAAATCTCATCCAAGGGCAAGAGCGGTACCAGGTATTACCCAGAATTCATTAATGAGCCTACAGTATGTTCATGTAAAGATGAGCCTCTAGGTTGTAGTTTTACAAATGGTTCAACAAATGCTAATGTAACAGAGTTAAACGTAATGCAACTGGGTGTGCCATTATTGCAATGTAGCAGTATGTTATATCTTATAGTCTATCTAAGATAAAGTTATTATCTTTCTTTATTATATACAGATATCAATGTAAACCACCCTTCTGTTATTTTCCCATTATTGAAATATAATGTTTGCTCGCTGAACAAAGAGCATGCACAGACGTTTGACTATAAATAAAAGTAAAAGTTTTTGCAATTCAAAGCTTCTATATTTTGAGGTTTTTACATTTTAAGGTTTTCACATTTTGACATTTTCACATTTTAAGGTTTTCACATTTTGAGATTTTCATATTTGAAGGTTTTCACATTTTGAGATTTTTACATTTTAATGTTTTCAGTTTCACAATTTAGACTGTAAACATTGAAGTGTCAGTTTCCTGATATTGGTATTAATGGAAAAAAGAATGCCTAACAGAGAAGTGTTGAGTGTTCATTTAAAAGAAGTGTTCATTTAAAGAAGTTTTCCTACTTTCCACTTTACAATACAATTCTACAAAATATATATTTTTGAACTCCATTTGTTATGGATGAAAGTTTTGGTTCAGCTGAAGTTGCTCATTTATAACTAGTTGTGTATGCTGTGTAACTAAAATTGCTATTAATAATGCAGATAATGCAATTTAGCTTTTGTATTTGTTATTTTAACTAGTTTTCATGTATAGTAGAGCCTGTGTAAGTGGAACACCCTCGGGACCACTAAAAAGTGTTCCACTTAAGAGGTGTTCCACTTAAAGTGGTTCATTAACATGGAGAATATGGGTCATGGGACTTTAAAAACATGGTTCCACTTGTGAGGTGTTCCATTTACAGACGTGTTCTTCTTCACAGGTTCTACTGTTCTATTTTGTAAATATAACTGCTGTTTAGATTTACTGCATTGAGATCATTTTATTCAAGTACTTAGTACTTGGTACCAACTGCTACATACATTTTTGTACACAATGTGGTAATAAAGACATAGGGGATATCCGATTATGTATTATTAATGGCCATGATATTTACATGAGGGAGCGTAACCATGGATATTAACTATGGAATAAATAAATTACGTCAACATAAAACATCACTCATAATATAACATATAGACAACCTACAATGTTACATGTATGCACATAGTGGGAAAATCCAATACCTAGTAGGTTCCACGGAAAGAATTAGTTAAGAGGCTATTTCAACATTCCATTTCATTATCTAATTACATATAATTACATTTCAGTGTCCTAATGAAGATAAAATGCATTGTTATATTAATTTATTTGATATCCTTTATGATTTGATTTATAAGAAACAATTAAGCCAAGATATTAAATTGTTTGTTTCAATTACGATTTTCAATTCTCTTCATTGTTTATGCCTACTAATTAAAATTATAGATTTAACTACACAATATAGGTGATGGAAATTGAAAATAAAAATTAGTATGAAATATGAATTGTGTTTATTTCTCATTTCAGATATTGTACAGGTCCGTACTCCGTAGGCAGCTTTTGCCAAGGGGGGCTTACTTTTTAAAAACATTCCAGGGGAGGGGGGTTAAAAAGTTCTCAGATTGGTGAAAACAGCATGATTTTGAAAGAATTTCTGCCTCTCTGGCTACAGGCTTGCTGTAGTAAAGACACATTAATTTCAATTGATATAAACTCGTTTTCTGAAAATATAAAAGCTTTAAAACTATTGCTCTCCTTGAAAGCAGCTTGATAAGGTTCACATGTTTTAATTTTCAAAAAGGCAATTTATTTGTTTACTTATTCGTTTTAGCAATTTTTTAATTTTTATTATTTCACCACCTAAAGTGGTGATATATCGTTATAGTCTCCAACTTTTTGTGGATAGTGTTTGGTAGTTGGTGCTCGGCAATCGGTGCCTGTAAGAAATGGCAGGTATTGACATTTTGCATGGTAATTTAAAATCAAATACTGCTGACCCTTAAATCATAATTCAGTTTGTGAATACTATCTGCATTACCCTCCTATCACACCAAACTAGTTCTTACCCGTTCTTGCCAGTCCTACGAAAACGTCGTAAAACGGGCTCAATCTGGCTGTGGTCGGGAAATATGTCTGAAAGAATTAGCTTCTTCGTTCTTAAACAGTCTTCAATACGTCCATCTCGTTCGCAGTTCGTTCAGGTCGCACCACGTCGGTGTGCAACGTCGTAGAACGCGTCCCTTAGTCTAGAAGGTCAACATGACCTGATTACAGAACGGTATGGTCGCCATCGAATTTTGAATCGATTAAAAATTCTAAAATCACATTCCCGTCTGAGAACGTTCATAAAGTTCGTAAATAGACCTTAGAAAGTTGCAGCTACGTTCATTCCGTTGGCACACAGTTTAAAACCAGTTTTGAAGAACGCAGTGGCAACTTGTTTGGTGTGATAGCTATATTTTTGCTAACTCGTTCATAAGCAGTGTTAAATACGTTCTTAATCAGTTTAAACCCGTTTGCAATTAGTTCTACCTCGTTCTCAACACGTCCTCAGACAGTTCAACTCGTTGTTAAAACGTCCCTAGTAGGATTGAAGTATGACGGTTCCGCTCGTAGTACGTCCAGCTCGTCGTTAGTACGTTGTCACTCGTTCTAATTGTAGAACGTGACGACCACGAGAATTTTGAGCATTGTTAAGTTCTAGAGGACCTACCCGTTCGAGTACGTTCGATGAAGTTTGTAAATAGATCCCAAACGGTTCTTAGTAGGTCCAGTCCGTTCGTACACAGTTGAAACCCATTTTTGAGAACGTAGTGAGAACTAGTTTGGTGTGATAGTAGGGTTAGTTAATCTCTGTCTCTGACCTTTTACTTATGTGTACTAAGCACCGCTATTTTATTCCAGGTTTTAAAGAACACATATTATGGATGGAAACAAAGAAGATAAAGACCTGCAAGGAATTTCAAATGACAAATTTCAAGAAATTCAAACTGACAAAATGCAGGAAATCCCAATTGACAAAGTGCAGGATATCCCAGTTCACAAAGTGCAAGAAATCCCAATTCACAAAGTGCAGGAAATCCCAATTCACAAACTGCAGGGAATCCAAGTTGACAAATTGCAGGGAATCCCAGTTGACAAAGTGCAGGGAATCGCATTTGACAAAGTGCAGGAAATTCCAGTTGACAAAGTACAAGGACTACCAATTGAGCTTCAGAAAATTATACCATCCAGGCCAAGCCTGCAACTTGACTGTATAGAAGAGGCAACAGTAGGCAAAGCATTCTATACATTATTCAACAGAGTTATCGCGAAATTATTTCAGGGAGACTTTAAAAGATGTCACTCGTTGTCTTCTGCCTTGCTTGACTATACATGGGAGAAGCTGAATACAGGCCACTGGAAAGATGTCAACATACAATGGAGATATGCCTATACCTATGGCTCACTGTTTAAAACTATTTGTGAAGTTGCTATGGTAACCAATGAAGTAACCATTACAACACATGATATTGATGAACCAACCAATGAGGTTGACATGACAACAAAGGGTGATATCAGCATTGATTCAATGCCAACAAGCAAAAGTGAAAACAATGATAAACACAATGATACAACAGAACAAAGTCTTCAAGAAACTGTTATACCCAAATATGATGAGTCTCATATTGAAAACAAGCTGACTGGCCTACAAAGTGCAATTAAAACATGCGACATGGGGCTCCTAATGGGTGCACCAGTGCTTGACAATATACTCTCAAAGATTGTTACCTGCCTTCAAATGTTGCATAGCAACTGGTCAAACCATGACAACCGTGACCATAAAGTATCTCATACAACACATAAAGCTGATCATGATCAGTCTACTGATGTTAATAATGAACTAAATGAACCAAAACTGAAGAAGCCTAAAATGGGCATCCATGTTATGATTGATCCAGTCAAAGCAATACCAAGACTAGAATGTCCATCTCTTGAGACATTCCGAAACCTCTACATGGATAAAGAGGCACCTGTCATATTGGAAAGGACCGTTACTCATTGGCCTGCATTATCAAACAGGCAATGGAGTGTTAACTATATTAAGAAAATCGCTGGCTGTAGAACAGTCCCTATTGAACTTGGTTCTAAATATACTGCAGATGAATGGTCTCAATCTTTGATGACAATTGCGGATTTTATTGACAAATACATTGATATTAAATATGATTATGATGACACCCAAACCTTGAAGAATTTAGATGGAGGCTCTGGATCTAGCAACACAAATAATACGCCCCCTATTGGATATTTAGCTCAACATCAACTGTTTGACCAAGTTCCTGAGCTCCGCGATGACATCTATATTCCAGATTACTGTTGCCTTGGTAACAATGATGACATTGATATAAATGCTTGGTTTGGACCAAGAGGGACCATATCACCTTTACATCAGGACCCAAAACACAACTTTCTCACTCAGGTAGTTGGAGAAAAGTACATCCGGTTATACTCAGTTGAGAACACCCCTTATCTCTACCCTCATGATGATAAAATACTTTTCAATACTAGCCAAGTTGACATTGAAAATCCAGATCTTGAGAAGTTCCCTCTATTTGAAAAGGCTGTATTTACAGAGTGTGTACTTAGGCCGGGAGATATGCTCTACATCCCACCTAAATGTTGGCATTTTGTAAGGTCTTTGTCAACCAGTTTCTCGGTCAGCTTCTGGTGGAACTGACTTATTCATGGAAAATTATGATCTTTATTTCAACAGAAATGCAATAATTGTGATAAATGTATCATATAAAATGTCACGATCTGCCATTTGTTACAGATACAAATGCCAAACACTAAATACCGAACACCAACCACAAAAAGTTGGAGATTATAACAGTATGTCACAACCACAAGTGGTGACATAAAAATGGACCCAAGTAAAGTATTTTGATCGATCCTAATGTCACTTTTTGTTAATAATACCATGAATTTGAAATTAGTAACTAAAAACAATATGAATCAATTTTATTTTCATCATTTATTTACATACATTTGTATTTTACATGCAGTCGATCTTACAAAATTACACTCACAGAAATCAAAAATAACTTTGCCCAAAACTGCTCTTTTATAATCTTATAAAAAGTTGTTCTGTGTGAAATGAGTATGCAACCACCTTGAAATATATAAAAACATTCAAGCTTTAAAACCTAAAAAATATGGTGTTTTCAACAAATATTCATACTGTAAAGTATTTTATTTCACCTAAATACAAATGGACTTATAGTTAAAAGTTTATCTTGTCCTGCTTTTCAGTAAAATTTTTGAACAATATTCAGTCATTCATACATGTAACTGTGTAATGTAAATATTTCATTATCCACCAAAATAGTAGATTTTATTACGTTAACAGTATATTTAGGTTTTGTTCTACTTGACAAACTCTTTGTTCTCTTTAGGCCCTTACAAGTAAATTGTCTGTTTTTGAAAAAAATTGAGTAAAAATCTGGGATTTTATTTTATACTTTCGTTCCAAGAAAAACTGACAAAAGAAATAATTTCCACAGTTTGGATGATAATGCACTTATCCAGGTTGGCACCATATTTACACGCTCGGTCTTCATTGCATTATGTGACTGACAGGAGACGAGTGAACGAATATGGGTTAGTATTGTCAGGCCCGTAGCCAGGGGGGGTTCAATGGGTTCGAGCGAACCCCCCCCCTGGCCAAAAAATCTTTCAAATTTATGTAGTTTTTCACCATTCTGAGCATTTTGGCCATTTTTGGACCAAAATTGTCACAAGTGAACCCCCTGGAATTTTTCTAAAAGTGAATCCCCCCTTGGCAAATCCTGGCTACGGGCCTGATTGTTTAACAAACATACAATTTGTATTAGCCTTGATCATACTGAATATATGTAAAATTAGAAAACATGATCATTTAATAAGAAATCATCATATTGAGCAAATTAATAAATAAATATATATATTTGCAAACTACAAAAATAATCTTTACAATCTATTAACATTAACATGCAACCCCCCCCCCTGATATGCTTTCATTATTACGTTTAAAGCCATTATGTTTCAACCAGTCCTGCATAGAAGCCAGAAAAGTACATGTACGAGGGTTGTCCCAGAAGTAATGCACTATATGCTCTAACTTTATCAATAATTGATATTTTTCCATGAAATTTTCACTAAGTGTTCCTTAGAGAGATTTTGATTATTCTACAAATTTTCATGTTGACTGATAAAACTATATTGATGTTATAATAAAATGAAGTTGGTGAGTTTGGGTAGGGCGGGGCAGGTTGTACAGTCACATCAAAAGGAATAATAAATCTAAAATAAGAAATAATTAATCAACAGATACCATTTTGTGTAGCTTTAAGAAATATGCTCAAAAATACATTTTAAGATACTAAATTACTATGAGCACATCCTAGAATTGATGGATGTATATCACACAGTGTCCTATTTCACATTTTCTCAAAATATTGCCCTTTGCCTGTTTTGTACTTTTGATGCCTGTAAGGTCAAACACATTTTGCAATTTTTTCCACTGTGACTTAAGGAGTTTTTGACTCCCATCTTTGGAGTTGTCATCCAGGGTCCAGTCATCTCTTTTAAATCTCTTCTGCCACCTCATAATTGTAGTTCTATCTAGTATATACTCCTTTCATACTTTCTTCATGGTAGCATAAGTTTTGCATAAGTAGCATAAGTTTTTGGAGTCCAAGTGAAGTATGAAATTAGGCCACCAAACGCAAGGCCTTCTGTTATCAGGTGAGAATTACATACAGCCATTTTTGCAATTACTTGACTGTATTTGAATTTGTGACTATTGAACTGTGCTACAGTGCTAAATATCATTATTTGTACTTGGTTAACATCATGCTGAATAAATTAAACAATTTCCAAAACATTTTGATCATTTAAAAGAAAGAAATATTAATAAAATAACACTTTGAATCTTTTCATAATTAGAAAAACTGGTACCTGCCCCGCCCACCCCTACCCCCATGTTGCTATAGCAACCAGATTAAGACTTAATGTTAATGTTTGATGCTGAAACTTCAGGATATAATAGATAAAACTTCAATTATTATATACACAAAATTTCAGCTGAATTGAAGAATATTAAAGAAAGTTAAAGCATATAGTGCATTACTTCTGGGACAACCCTCGTATAAGCATTTTGCAAAGCTAACAGAGCTTTTTAAAAGTATTTGTACTGCTTCCCGGGGCCTATATTGGTCAGCATGTGTAATTTCTTAAGAGTAACAGCCTCACTTACAAAATATCGAAATTGACCAACACTTCATCACTGGGCTCTTAAATAATTAACAAATATCAAGATATGAGATCCTCTCAATGTAGGAGGACCTTGGCCAAAAATATAACTACATTTACTAAATTTGAAATTATTCCAATATGAAACACTTTCTAAGTTACAATAATGGTAACTTTATATTTGGGACACCCTGTAACTCACCTACCAAAGTTCTCTCATGTGTCAGTGTCCTAACATTGAGTTGATGTGCTCTTTGACCAGCTGTTTTTTGACCCAACTTAAAGTTACCAGCTCCAAAGCCTCAGGGCCAGCACTCATAGATGACACACCCTGTTCAGCATATTTTTTACCCTATGTTTTGAAATATATTTCTACATTATTCCATAGTTAGCATGATATTCATAGGATAACATGTGAAAATAAAAACGGTATTTTTGTAATCAGTGGTAAAATATGATATTTTTGACAAATTTTCACTTAACCATAGCATACGGTTTTTTAGCCATGACATACAGCGCCGTATGCGATGGTTTATGGATTTTTGCTACTTCAGACTCAAAACGAGGCTAAGTGTCAACATCGCCGGATCGTTTGGAAAATTCGAATTAAATAACTAAATTTCCGACGATTCTGATGATGACTTTAACTATGGAATAAAAGAACATCCTATGATTTACTCGTGATATGATTTTAATCCACTCATGGCTATTGATATCTGCACTCTTTCGCTACGCTCGTGCAGATATCATATCCATTCGTGGATAAAAATCATATCACTCATAAATCATAGGATATCCTCTATTTATATAATGGCATTATACCATATTCAATGTTATATTACAGATATGTATATACATACATACATGTACAATGTTCATACTAATCTAACAGAAGTATGTACACATTCCTCATTACAGTAGACTAGAATGTGTGTGTATTTCATTGTCCTATACTGTGGACGACATTACACAGACTATAATGTGTAGACTAATGTGTCAATATGTCAGTGTCCTATACAGTAGACTATAATGTATCAATATTTCAGTCAAATTCAGTGTCCTATACCCTAGACTTCAATTATTGATATTTCAGTTTCTTATACATGTCCCATAGAATAGACTATAAATTAATAAGATAAGTTTTCATTGGATGCTCCTTTCCTTTAATTTTAATCTCTCCCCTACATTCACACTGGTGTCCTGCACTCATGAGAATATCAGCTGTTTGCTCCGTGACTTGGATTCTACCTTCCTCTCCTGAACTGTCCATTCTACTTGCAACGTTAACTGTGTCACCCCAAATATCATACTGAGGTTTAGTTGCCCCAATTACGCCTGCTATAACAGGACCATAGTTCATACCTGGAGGCATAAATATAAATAATAAGACATTATGTACTGTACAGAAAGAGTTGATGTTAATCTTGCATCACACATGACCTTGATTTCATGTTTTGTAAATACATTGTTACATGTATGTATCGTGGAATAGGGGTCTTTCATTCTCATACAGGGTGTTACAAAAAATTGTACTGAAAATGGAAAATTGTTGAAATTTGGTCATCTGATAGCCATCTTGATTACCATGAACATCTCAAAGATTCAACAGGTGACTAGTTTTGAGTTTTAATACCATCACCTATTTTTTCAAATTTCCAACATTGCATTCAGCTCTGCATTGATCATGATAGAGATCTTTTAGAGTCTGTCATCTAAACTGTCCACTTTCTCACTAAGTTATTTACAAATTTTTAACTGCTAATTGGATAATGAATTCTCTTTATCTTGTTTTAACATAAAAAGTTAGGTTTTTTGGATGTAGGAAAAAAGTTAATCCTGTTTCATCTGGTACGATTTTTTGGGACACCTGGTATATCTGGTTTTACAGAGACCCTTCCCTCAACCAATAGAGCCTTCTTTGATGTTTAATTCACATAACTATTTTCATATGAACTTCATAAAGTTACCTATTCTGAGCTGAAATGTGTTGAAGGAGTCTTTGTTGATCTGTTCTAAGCATTCAGACATTGCCTGGCACAGACTCACCATGACCATCACATAGTAGTCTATACGACTGTCTCCAGGGGAACTCTACAAGAATAGAAGACAAATATGGTCATTATTGGCCAAAGCAGTCTATACCACTGTCTCCGGGGGAACTCTACAAGAATATAACAGAAACACGGACAACACTGAAGTCTATACGGCTGTCTCCAGGTAACTTTACAAGAATATAACAAAAATTGTGGTCATCATGTAGTCTATACGGCTGTCTCTAGGGGAACTCTACAAGAATAGAACGAGATCATGATCAACCTAGTTGTCTATATGACTGTCTCCAGGGGAACAAATATTTTTTTATGCTTCAGTATTTCCTAAAAGTAGGTCTGTATCGATGTCTAATGATGCAAATGTGGGCCGTTAAGGTATCAAAACATTTTGGGTAGCCTATTGCTATGGTTCTGAAGGTGATAACTGGTCTCACAGATTGAAATTGATGATTTGCCAACTTGACCCTTGCAAAAAATGTCATTGAAAATATGTTCTTTTTATGATTTCGTATCTTTTTATTGCAATATTTTGCAATGTGTGAAAAGAATTTAAGCTTAAGACTTGATGCATTGTGGCTGATTCATTCCACTCAGGCGTTATTTCCTAAACTTCACAATCATTTGTCCACCCGCTATGGCTCAGTGGCAGAGTCAAGGTTACCACTATCGCTTGGCCCCGGGTTCAATTCCCGGTTCAGACAAGTTTGTTTGTGAGAACACAGGGCTCCTCCAAGGAGGGGTTTCTGGCTCTGTCTTCGAGTGTAAAATACGTAAAATATGGAATATACATGTATACCAATGAGGTATTGCTCGCCAAATAATATGGCGGTAACCAAGATATAATAATAATAATTTGAGGAATGATTCTGTCCACATTGCTCTGAGTCCAGGGCTTAAATCCTTAAATAATGTACTTACTGAGCTATCCTCCCTGCCAGGCAAAAGGCCAGTGGCACACATATAAGTGCTGCCAATTGTCTTAATTTTCTCCACAGTACTGAACTTAGGCTTAGATAGTAGCTGGTCAAAGTCTGCTATGATCTCATTGAGGAGCCGTAGGCATCCTAACCCCTGTCTGTTGAAGGTGTTTTGATGCCAGTAGTCTTGCCAGTGTGGAATAGAGGCAAACATGACACATACGCTACTGTAAGATTCGTGGTAGAGCTCCTGTAATTTATAACATACATGTACATATATACATGTATGAGACATATATGTTTTGATGCCAGTAGTCTCGCCAGTGTGGAATAGAGGCAAACATGACACATACGCTACTGTAAGATTTGTGGTAGAGCTCCTGTAATTATAAGTAACAGCATGTAAATATTTGTTTGAAGGACATACTTTCTGTAGATCAAAGAATACATCTTACCTGTATGTGCAAGATACGTAAATATGATGGGAAATTTGCCTTTCATTTATTTTGAACTATCCATTTCTACTGCATTTGTACCTCTATAACTGAAGTTATAACACCTCCTTAGAAGTGCATATCATGGGTGTTCGTATACATGTACATATAAGTTATATTACTACAGGGTGTACTACTGTAATTTTGGCCAAACACTAAATTTTGAAATACCTGTAACTTTTTCCCATTTGAGAGTTGAACCATGATACTTGGCAATTCAATGTAACTTTGGGTATGCTTTAAAATGTTATATGACACATACTATGGAGATATTGGTATATGTCTGCCTAGGGGAGAGGGGGTCCCATACTTTTGGGACACCCTATACAAGATATGGATCTGTTAGTCAATTTGCAAATACTCAGTAAATCTGAAAGGACAGCAGATTTGTGGATCCATAACTTTACAACGTTTGGAGAAACTGACCCCTGAATATCTTTTACTGTACTTACCCCACACCTTCTCTTCACCATAAAATGCTGCGCAACATGAGCAGGGAGAATGTTCTCCAGCAGGACCTTGTTAAGAGAGCCCATAGTTTCCACCTCTTCTTGTTCCACCTTGAACCTGCTTTTCCAGAGGAAGTCAAGCCTTGAAGTGTACTCAGTCTGTAGTTATAAAATAAGACACTGTGGTCAATGTACAGGCCCGTAGCCAGGATTTGCCAAAGGGGGTTCAGTTTTCAAAAATTTCCAGGGGGTTCACATTTGACAATTTTGGCCAAGATATGGCTAAAATCACTTGAAAAGTGCTCAAAATGGTGAAAAACTGCATGCTTTGAAAGAATTTTTCGGCCAGGGGGGGGGGGTCGCCCGAACCCTGCGAACCCCCCCCCCCCTGGCTACGGGCCTGATGTAGTTAAAGTTTAAAAAATGAGTTAAGAGTATCTTTCCTTTCCAAAATACTGTTACACATTTAGGCTCATAGCATTTCAGGTTATGTCTAGATTCTCCAAAGGCCAAACATTCTGGCCGAACTCAATGACATGTTTTAATCTTTATTTGGCAATTAGTTTTTTAAGTGGACATTCCTTTTTATTGTAATGAATTTCAGCTTTCTCTTTTCAAGTAATAAAATTAAGCTGGTCCCAGCGGAATTAGGATGATACAGGCAGGTTTCACCAAACTAAGTTAATTTACAAAGTTTATTTACAATATAATTCTGATTTGATTTAACTCTAGAATGTACAAACCTGTCTATCTAGGACATGAAGGGTGATAAATAATACTGCAAGATATATGGAAGCTTTCACCCTCAGTGCAATCAAACCCTCCTCACTAAAACAAAAAAATATATAAAGTTATATTTTTATGTATACTTTTATATTTTATACATAAAAGTAATGAGGCCTATTTCAAAGGTACAAATTGATCTGCATATCCAAAACAATTTAAACAAAAATACAAAAATATAATGACAAAATGTCACAATCCATGGGTATATAGATCGTGTTATATATATCTACACATCCTAACTCTGCATGGAGGACATCATCCAACACCTTTTTATCCAGCACGTTTGCTCAAACTGTAATAATTCAACCCTAATACTGATTTGATGCAATCATTTGTAATCATTGTGAATATTATTGCAATAATTGTGTTAAATCACAACCAAATTTTTGTACCATTTAAACTTATTTTTTACACTAGTAATTATCTGCTAACTGCCTGCAAAACAACCAATATGTGCATGAATCAGGCAAAGTTTTTGAAGTATCTCATTCATTCTAAGGTAAATACAGAGTGGGCCAAAAAAAACTCCACTTTTCGAAAAATGTTATAACTTTTTTATTACTCAACCTATACTAAACTTTTTGAAACAGCCACCAATGTTTCTAACTTTGGCAGTCTATGTTTTGTATATTTGAATGTATTAATATGAATAAAGAAAGAAACCTATACAATACAATACATGTAAACCCTATACCCTAGTATAATCACAGGGCATTGCTTCAGAACTATAAGTTCAGGCCTCATCAGTTCAGGTACATTATGCAAATTATGTTTATTTCTCATGACACACCACTTGTTTAAATGAGACACTGGTGACTTATTTTATTTAAGTAAAAGTGGCTGGATTGCAACTTCAAGTTTCTTTTGGTATACAATTAATGATTTTGGATAAAAAATCAAAAAGTCATAGTTTTATCTAATACATGTAGTTCTAAACTTAAGACTCTAAAGTTATATATTGTTTTTGGCCCACCCTGTATATGCCCCAATATGAATTCTTGCTGTTGACGTACAATGGAGATGATTGAACAATTAACGTCATCCTGTTTTAAATGACAGATAAAAACAGCAATTAACGATATTTGAATACACATGTGCAGTCGATCACGTTTATAGTAGTACCTTCCATTAAAACCAATCCTGAGATGTTCTGAGCTATAATGAAAATATACAATGATGAACAATTTGGGGACATGCTGTGTACAAGGTGTCATTTTGAGCATTGTTCCTTCACTTGCTTGGGCGGTAGGTCGCCAAACATCAGATTTCTCAAACATTTCTTGGTTCAGAATATCAAGTGACAAATAAATTGGAACATTAAAAATAATATGTTATTATTACTCAAGCAGCATGTAAAATGACCAGATCTCATGGAAGAATCCTCGCTTGCAACGCGGCAGACTGTGGTTCAATTCCCAGTTCAATTTTTTTTAACTACACTTAACGATTTATAACTATGTCAACTAAATATTTTATTTCATTTATTCATTTGGACAATAGGCTTTTGAAGCAGTGGCACACCAATTAGGTGCGTCCATCTTAGCATTTAAAATATTTTACTTGTACAATGTTTAAGAGCAGTCTTATGAAATCTGTATGGGATAAAAATAATTTTTATACTAAAATAGTGCCTTTATTTATAAAAGCATTTACTGTTGTTGTCAGCAAGATTTATTGGTATCGTCATGGTATCGTTTTGTAAAAATTACAATGTTATGCTTGAAAATGTGAACAAGCGATAAGTCTGTGCTCTAGATTTTCTGTTGAGACTGGGCACCATTCACTCATGGGGTATATAGGTGGTGTTATATTCGTTCATTTACTCATTTCATCACGCAAATTAAACTACCCTGTTGTGCTTGCTGAAGAACTTAATGTGGTACTTTTGAAGTCAAAATCATTTTGGAGATAGGGAGCTGTCATTTTCAGGGTTTAAATTAAGAGAATTGTAAAGTATCAGACCTTGGTTTGATCCTTAAAAGGCAAATTATATGAAAAAATACTGTGATCACCACTCTTTAAATGCTCTTCTCCTATGACATATGAAGAGACGTTTGCAAAGGGAAGCTAAAAATCTCTGGAAATTCTTTTATTCAGTGTCACCAAATATATGAGAAAAACCTAAATGCAACTATATTATAATACATACCCAGTCTCGTAGAGGCGATAGTTGTCATAATTATTGAAGACGTTGGGACTGAATATATGTACGATAAGATTATATGATGTCAGAGTTATCACCATGAAGATCAGTTTCAACAGGAAGTTGATTTGTAGAAATACTGTCGAGGAAACCATGGCCAGCATACAACAGTATATGTAGTACTACAAGATAAGAAGTATACTACAATTATTGAAATAAAAATCGCTACATACACTCTTCTCCATAAGTACCCATTTTGGATCACTTATTAAAGCCTGTTTGAGTTTGGTGATTTAAAAATATTCATCAAATTTTACATAAATTACCAAAATTAAGATCCAACCATTGATAGGTTTTGATATGTTATCTGATAAAAACGTTCAGTTGCCAAACTTATTGAGGGGGGGGTGTACGTGCCAAGGAGAACATGTATTTACAAAAAAGCAGGGCAGAGAGAATTCTCATTTGTTACCCTTACTATAGATTTATTAAATAAGGGATATCCTATGGAAGGTTTCGAATATGAGGTATATCCTAGGGGAAAATTTGATATCTTTCTGAGAGACTGGGGAAAAGTGTCATATTATTCTGAAGGATACCCTTTATCATACATAACTGATCTCTGTACAATATCAGTTCTAAAATATTTGAAATAAGAAAAAAAGTTCAGCACATGCATAGTCAATTTTTTTGCAATAAATGAACAAATAATTAATGTTCAACCCGATTTCACAAAAAATACTCACTGGGGGAAAACTGCATTGATTTGTACCAGGCGTAGGTTCTTCAAAATCCTTCCTGGTCTTATATACACAATTCACACCTGATGAATTTACTGCTGGGTCCAAAGAGTCCACTATTGGTGCATTAACGCTAAAGTTGGAGGACGCATCACATAACGTTACATTTGAATCACTATACATAATCTCTAGTTGGTTACAATCACTGATTGAAAGTATCGCCATTATTCCAACTAGGAACAAAATGATGATCGTTATGAAACAGCGTGTGATCCAACTTTCGTAGATCGCTCGTGATATATGGTAAAATATTTTACAAAGTGTCATTTTCACATTTTTTGAACTTGAGTTGTTCGCCTCTCGTCGGCTACAAACAGTTCCAAAATGTATCAACATTATGATGGAGAATAGACCTATTCCTATGGAATAGCCTATAATGTTTATGAGTTGTCGTGGTAACATCAACATTTGTGTGATACCCATGGAAGAGAATATAACCACGGCAGTGACGATGTAATATTTGAATGCTGGATTGGATTGTTCCATATATTGGAGATTGAGTTTAGAGTTTATATACATTAGTGAGAATCTGTTGATATCTTCTGAATGGAACCACTCCCTGAAATAAAAAATAAAAAAATTATTTTGATGAAGTGAACATAAGTGGTAGGAGCTAAGGGACAACAATATTAAATAAGCGAAGAGAGAGTTTTAGAAAACAGGAAATGAATAAAACAAACCCAAAATATAAGATAATTACAGTTATCAGTCTATGAGTTCTTAAACTTAAAGGCCCCATATAAAGTTTAAACCACTTTGGCATATATTGTAGTCTTATGCCTCTGTCAAAATTTACGGCAACCGTACCAACAAACCAAATGTAACTGAGGTTTTACCCAATGTTATCAAAATGTGGTATGTGACACTTTTCAGTTTAATTTCAAAAAGTTGATTTTGAAGGACTTTTGTTTGAAAAATTGTAAATTTATTTCAAATAAAATATTAGTAGGGGAATGTGTACAATGCACGTAATTAACATATGTCTCCACTGAAATTTGCTTACGCCAAATGACAAGTTCCTCATCTAGAAGGAATATACAAGGGCTAATGCAAGCCTAGCTGAGTTGAATTGTACATACTTCTCATAAGTATTTTCAATTCCTTTTTCATTGATAAGTTGTATAATGTTAGTACATTCACTGAGTCTCTTGCCGAATATGCTCATTCGTTGAGAGATCAGCCTGGAATGAGCAGTTATAAAGCCAAGGGAGGCCGGGTTGATGCTCAAGCGTGGGCTGGTGTAACTGAGTGTCGGTGAGGTGCAGGGGGTGGGGGTCCCTACTTTGGGGTGCTCTGGGGGGTCATGTTCAAGTGTGTTCAATGCATATCCTACAGGTTCACTATAACAACATAAAGAGACAAACAAACAATGAAGCAAAAACATTATGCAGACACTTAAGAGTTTCATTGGGTAGGCAATATGATTCAAAAGAAAACTGTTCACACCTACACTACCCCAAAACTTACTTAGATGTCAAAATTAAATTTTTTGGTATAATTATGAACAGTTTCCTTTTGAATGATTTAAAGTGAAACAAAATACAATCTAACACAGTGAGATAAAGCTTAAAATAAGAATGACATAGCATTATAGGTTGTACATGTAACTAATTACATACAATGTAAAAAGGATTCCATTTTTGAAACTCTCATAAATTATGATTTATTCGCAAGTCATTGTTCTTCAAACAGTAAACAATGTTTCAAGAAATTACATGCTATGATTATTCCAAAAATGAATCCTAGTATAATATAGTATTAATAAAAAAAACATCTATGTAAAACATTTATGTAAAACATAATGTATGACATCACGATACAACAAAATATGTTAAAGCATACATGTAACAGTCATAACAAAGCAATAGCAAAACAAAGTATATGTAGACAAGGCATTAACATGCAACATGTCACTACCTGCCATTTGTTACAGACTCTGACCACCAAATGCCAAACACAAACAGCTAAATGCTGAACACCAACTGCCAAACACCAACCAACAAACCCAGTCCACAAAAAAAGTGGAAGACTATAACAATAATGTCACCCCTTCTGGCGGTGACATAAAAAAACACTGCAACAAGCTCTCATGCTGGACTGTGTTAGAATGTGTGTAAAAACAACACTGATATTTGACCAGTCTATCTAACCAATGGAGGATATTTAGAGCATGCACATACCTTGGATCAAGACTGCATGCCAAGGGTTTAAGATTCGCCTCCATAATAGACAAGCTCTGAAATAAAGTTCGCTTGAATTATCAAAAACCCAAAAATAGAACTTCTTTTCTCTGCACTAAAGTAACTTTATTTAGCATACATTTTCAATGCACAGCATCTGTTGGCTTACATTATTGCAACCCACTAAGGTTGCAACACAATAAAATAAACTGCATTTTATTCTAAAGAATGTACAGCTGAAACAAAATGAGGGATTTGTATAAAAAACCTCCTACCTCATACCCACCTACCCACCTACGTGGGACATGATACAGTCATTGAAGGGTTCATTATTTTAAAGATTTTTAAATCTTAAAATAGCTCTTATTATTGACATTTCTACAATTGCGACTTTATTTTATGACTAGAAGGATGACAGATCCATAAATAAAGGCATATGGGTGGGTGCATTGTAATGTGTAATGACCCGAGGGCGCTCCAGGGGAATAACTATAACGACCACGAGCATAGGTCCAACCAGCCAGATAAAAAAAATTGAAAGAAAGAGTGCTAAATTCGATGCCCTGAGTTGGAATCGAACCCAGCTGGGCTGTAGTAGCAACTTGGTATCATGGGTCGTTACAAATGCATCTATAATTCATCATAAACTAAAATTTAATAAACTAAGATCTTTAAAATTGAACCCTTCAAAGACTGTATTATGTCCAACGTACTTGGGTAGGTGAGTATGAGGTAGGAGGTTTTTTATACAAAGCCCAAAATGAGAGTACATTCTTTCTCTATTGTTTCAAAAGAACCAAATTTTCCATTGACTTAAACTGTATTGTTTATTTCTGTGGCAAAATCAGGGATTATAGGATGTGGTTGAACCACTAGGCAAACCAGATTGCACGTTGTTTATGCATTACAGTATAAACTAAATGAGTTCTTTATGTGAGATTACAATTTCTTTTAATAGTCTATATTCAGGCCTTTAGTTAATTATACAGCATTCAGATATTACTCTCATAATGTTGCTTGGGAGAGGTATACAGTACTTACAGTTACACCTATGTTTTTAGCCAAACTTTGATCAGACAGGCCGGCAAAAGGTTTAGCTGCGCCCCAGGAATCCAAGTATCGCAAGACAGATTTGCGGATGTTTGGATGTACTTTGTGCCCCACTCCCCTTGGAAGTTTCTTGATTCTTGGAGACCCCTATATCAAAGTGAAATATTTTTAGGATACCATATTTTACAGAAGGTTTATACACTGGGGGATTTTCAAACTGAGCTGAGAAAGCATCCTCCTAGGCAGGTGTCCAGAATCCATACCTCCTTCTTCCCCCTGCTATAACCAATTTGGAAGCGCCCGATTAAACTGAATCATGTGATCTAATTATGCGCAATGACTTATACAAGATTTCTGTCGCAGTGTTGCGACAGCCAATCAGATTGCGAGTTCTTAACCGGGGAAATGCTAACTGCTTATTGCAGGGGGGTAAAAAGAAAGAATATATTTTGGATTTTGAAGCCCTGTGATCAGTGGATGCTGAGAAAGTGGCTGGAATTTCATGGAAGAATATGAACTCATCCAGTAGGGAATATGATTTATTGTTCCTACTCCCTTTAAGAGCTTCTTGATCCTTGGAAATTCTGATATCAAATAAGAATATTTTCAGGATCTCATATTTTTTAAGGGATATCAGGAGATCTCCAGCCTGCTGGTAGTCCAGATGAGAATATCAATTTTATTTGAAGACACCAAATACCAGTAATAAAAAATGTCTACAGCAATATGTTATCACTCCTACATGGTGACAAGGAATCGTTAAACAAGCATTCAATTAATATATATATTATTTAAGCATTTTAATATCTGGATTTTGTTGTGCAATACTTACATTATTAGCCTTGTTAGTCGAAGGAGGAACAATCAGAAACGTCTCAATCTCATATTTCTTTAAAAACTCACTTCTTTCCCCTCCATTGCCTGGCTCAACTTGGAATGCATTGCTTAACTGATACAATGTGGCTTTAGATATATGGACTCTCCTGGAATAAGAAGGTATTTTACAGTGTGGTTTTAGATATATGCACTTTCCTTAAATGAGAAGGTATTTTACAGTGTGGTTTGAGTTATATCCTGGAATGGGAAGGTATTTTACGTTGTAGTTTTAGATATATGCACTCTCCTGGAATGGGAAGGTGTTTTACAGTGTGGTTTGAGTTATATGCATTCTCCTGGAATGAAAAGGTATTTTACAGTGTGGTTTGAGTTATATGTGCTCTCCTGGAATGGGAAGGTATCTTACAGTGTGGTTTGAGTTATATGCATTCTCCTGGAATGAAAAGGTATTTTACAGTGTGGTTTGAGTTATATGCACTCTCCTGGAATGGGAAGGTATTTTACAGTGTGGTTTGAGTTATATGCACTCTCCTGGAATGGGAAGGTATTTTACAGTGTGGTTTGAGATATATGCACTCTCCTGGAATGGGAAGGTATTTTACAGTGTGGTTTGAGTTATATGCACTCTCCTGTAATGAAAAGGTATTTTACAGGGTGTCTTTAGATATATGCACTCTCCTGGAATAAGATGGTATTTTGCAGTATAGCTTTAAATATATACACTTTCTTTGAATGAGAAGGTATTTTACAGAGTGGCCTAAGATATTTTACATACATTTCCAACACACCTCAGTGTAAAATACCTCAAAACATCAAACCAAAGACATGAAGATTTATGAAAACAATTTAACCAACGAATTTATATTCCACACCTGTGACATATGAACCTACCCAGGAACTCCCCCAGACTCCATATGATTGGCTATTGTGACATCATCAGACCAAACATCAAACTGCCATTTCCGCAGCCCAAGGACACCACAGTACACATTTCCAGTGTGAATCCCAATCCTCATGTCAACGTTAACACCTGTCACTTCCTGGACACTCCTAAAAATGAAAATTGTCTGTATTAAAAAGTAGTGAAGTGATATCTCAAGACTAAGGAAGTTCACCCTGATCAGATATATGTCGTGAATGGTTTTGAATTAAAGGCAATACCACTGTTCCACAACTAGTTACTTTGACAGAATGTCAATGAAACAAAATGGATGGACTTCCTGGATAAGATAAGACACTCCTGAAAAAATTAAAAATGTCTGTATTAAAAAGTATTGAAGTGATATCAGGTCTCTCAAGACTGAGGCAGTGAGACTCCAGTTCACCATGATCGGATATATGTTGCAGGCCCATAGCCAGGATTTGCCAAGGGGGGTTCACTTTTTGAAAAATTCCAGGGAGGGGTTTATTTGTGACAATTTTGGTCCAAAAATGGCCAAAATCACAAGTGCTCAGAATGGTGAAAACTGCATGATTTTGAAAGATTTGTTGGCCAGGGGGGATTCGCTCGAACCCATCGAACACCCCCCCCCCCCCTGGCTACGGGCCTGTGTCATGAATGGTTTTGTATTAAAGGCAATACGGAGCAACATTTAATTATGTTCCAAATGTGACTATTCAAACACTATCTGTGTATCATAGAAACTCATTAAAGATTTCTCTACACAAAATAGGATCTTACCATATCTTGCGTATCATAGCAAGTCCCATTTTGACACAGTTTGCTGCATGATGAGGTCTAGAGACTGGTAACCCAGACACACAATAGTAACAATCGCCTAGGATCTTAATTCTCATACAGTCATTCTTCTTGCCGAGGATATCAAACTGGGCAAAAAGCTCATTGAGGATCTTAACAAGCTCAGCAGCAGTACATCCAGATGCCAATGGAGTGAAATTAACGATGTCTGCATACAAAATGCTGGAAACAAATTAATGGAAATATTACACACCGTAATAATTTTACAATTAGAGATGACTTGAGGTCTAAAGCATAAATGTTTATTAAGTAGCAACTTTTTCAATTTTATCTATTTTGTGAGTTTATTTCCTCAGAATTAGTCAAAGAACCAAAATAGTTTAAGTTATGTTTCTAGTTAAAGAGAAAATGGTTTTTATGGATATATGACTTGTTAAGTTGTGATTATAAAAAACAATAATACAGTCATACTTATCTAATACATATTTATTTGAGTGCATTTATTATCCCCATGCAAGAAAGTTTAAGATTTATCATGCAAGAAATACAACGTACAACAGAAATATAAAATTGCAAAAATATTAGAAAATCAACTTTTAACAATAATAACAACAAAAGAATTAAGAAAATAAGCAACAATTACAACAACTTCAGTAGCAATAACAACAACAACAGCCTATGGAAACCCCTAGACAACCCATCCCTGGATAACTCAACCCTGAGACAACTCAACCCTGAGACAACTCAACCCCTAGACAACTCATTCTCGGAAAACTCAACCCCTAGAAGAACCATTCCTGGAAAACTCAACCCCGAGACAACTTCTAGACAACTCATTCCCGCAAACTGAACACCAAGACACATCCCTGGAAAACTGGACCCCTAGATAACTCACCCCTGACTAAATCTCTAGACAACTCATCCCTGGACAACTCAACCCCCAGACAACCCATCCCTGGAAAATTCAACCCCCAGACAACTCATCCCTGGGAAACTCAAACCCTGGACAACTCATCCCTGGGAAACTCAAACCCTGGACAACTCATCCCTGGGAAACTCAATCCCTAGATAACTCAACTTATTGAAAGATAAAGTTTTGTTGAGCTGTCTAGGGGATGAGTTGACCAGTAACAACTATAACATGGAATAAGTAATAACAACAATTATGACAACATCACCCAACATAATTACAACAACAACGACAACAGAGCAATAAAAAACTTTAAAATCATCACAACATAACTAGAGCAACAACAACAAAAACATTAATAACTAAGACAAAATTACAATTGTTCAGTCAAAATTAAGCTAAATGTATGCACACCTCACGTTACTGTATTGTTTTACATAAAGCTCATGAAACATGGACGTAAGGAATGAATTACGATTCCCACCACGCTTCCCATGATCCTCTAGTTTTCGCATCATTTCTTTCTTGAGTTCAAATGCAAGATGAACGGGAATAACGCTTAGCAACAGTTGCTCCTGCAGATAGAACATGTGACATTATAATTAAAGAGATTCATGTAGTCATGCATCAAACTCATATTCTGTATAAGTGGTAATTTTGCCCAATCATTTAATTTGCCTATTGCCTAATTTTTGACAGGTTGTTCGAAAAATTAAATGTCGGAAATACTTATCTTCCACCATAATGTTATTCAATGGGAAATTTCTTGTCAACAGGAAAATTAAAATCAGGAAAATGATAAAATTTGATCATTCGGCATAATAACCACTCAGATTAAATACCACTTATACAGAATTTACCATCTCCCCTCTCTCACGTGATCTAATTATGCGCCGATGACATATACATGATTGCTGTCGCAATGTTGCGACAATGAATCAAATTGCGAGTTCTTAAACGGGGAAATGCTAACTGCTTATCTCAGGGGGTAAAAAGAAAGTATTCTGAATTTTGAAGCCCTGTGATCGGAGGATGGGATTAGACAGGTATTACTTTATTTTCAATGTTTACTCATTATCGAAAACTGAAAATCATGTCCCATTATCGAAAACTGAAAATCATGTCCCATTATCCTTATTAAAATAACAAATTATTTTTGTCTTTGTTTTTGCCTCACCTTGTAATATTTGCCTCACCTATTTTTGGATCATGGCTAGGCTCAGGTTAATAAAGAATATGGGAGATACATGTACATTCAAATTATTTATTAAATAACACACCACCTTATTTATTAGGGTTACTGTGATGTACCACAGAATAAATGCAATTGCAAATGAACCTTTTAGTAATATTGAACACATTTCCATAATCATAAATTGCATGTCAGAGAGTTAATATGTCTTTGAGAGAAAGAAACTTAAATAATATGTTACACATTATCCAATATACATTATACATGTACAATGATACACCTATTACCCGAGGCTTAGGAATATAGTCTTAAAATAGCATTTCTTTTCGTGATATATCAATCTTTTCAATCATTATTCATGAAAATCAGTACACTAGAAGACTTTTAAACATTTTTTTCTCTTTTTTTATATCATATTCCTGGACCTCAGCCTTATACAAGTGCACACATCGAGCCATGTGCATATGTCTCATATGTACATGCCTTGTTAATAATGTGTCATTAAATACCTTTTAAATAGTAAGTATTACTTATAAATAGAATGTAACAGACACTAAATATTTGTATTATCAAACCATTACCATATAATAATGTAGGCGCACACATCAAGCCATGAGCAAGATGTACTTATGCACATGCCTTTGTAGTAATCAATACCTAACATTAGCGTGCCTTCTAACATGTAAGGCATGGAAAGGAGAAAATCGGGGCATTTTCGAAGACATGGAATCTATGAAATGGCTCCTGATTTCTTCTACCAAATATTGAGGAATGATACTAGAGATCAACTGGTCCTGAAGGAAAAATTCAAAATTTCATATATCTTCAAAATATTCAAATCTACCATTTTGAGCACATTGCATACTTAAAATTTCTGGATGTTTAGTGAGACCTGATAATGTATTTATTACCAATATAAATGTCCATGTATACAACATTATATCATATTTTTGGAAACCATATTTTTGGTCCTGAAGAAAAAATCTAAATTTTGTAAACATGAAAACTTTTATATTCAAAATGTACCATTTTGAGCACACTTTGGATGTTCAACATGTCTAAATGTATTTAATGAGAACTGGAGTTATATTAAATTACCAATATACATGTACATATACAAAATTATATCATATTTTTGGAAATCATACCTGTTGCTGTCTCTCATGCTCCAATTTTATTCTAGACTCAATACATTTCCTGGAGTCCATGAATGTCCCCCTGTGTGCTATATCAGTTAGGTACTTATGGTATGCCCCCACTAGGTTCATACAGATGTACACTACACCATTGGCGATCAGCTGGAAATAATAACAAGTCATTAACATGCAAAATGTCACCACCTGCCATTTGCTACAGATGTCCAATGCCAACTGCCAAACACCAACTATCAACCACCACCACAAAAACGTTGGAGACTATAACAATATGTCACTACTTCTTGTATGGGCATTTTCAGGAAAAATGGGTAATTTTTTGGGAGGATTGATTTTACAAAAATAAGGGGAGGGATTATTCAAGATCAAATTGACTTGTCTTTAAATTGTTTAACATGGACATCTTCATATAGTCCATTATCACAATGCAGTTGTCACCACATGTCTTCCTATTGATGACATATTGTTACAGCCATAACTTTTGTGACTGGTGTTCCATATTGGAGTTTGTTTGTTTGTTTGTTTGTTTGTCATATTATTGTCCTTGTTTGTTATTTTTCATTTTCTAGATATTCTAGAACATGCTGATAGCTGATTAATCAAAATGGCACAAAACGATTACAAAACGATAACTTGTTTAAGTCTGCTCAATAATTTACTGTGACCACCTTTCAAAATTACACAAGTCATTATAAAGACACATTTGTCTCTCAAAAGCCATAATTCATCGATGTAACCACACATGTTCTAATTAACTGACAGTTAATTCAACCTAAAATAATAAATGGGTTAAAACAAACCAGCAGCATGATTACAAATCATATGAGGTCACTTTGAATTTCGTGATAATGAAGTGGGGAATTGATTCAACAGTAACTGCTTTGGAGCCACAATTTGTTCGCAAGGAAATTGATTCAACTGTAAGTACATGTACTTGGACCCACAATCTGTCCTCAAATGAGCATTTTTCCACATTGAAGACAATGTACCCATGAGTTGTTTTACTCTTTTGGGGATTTACAGATCTGACCTTACCTGATATAAAATGTATTTCCTGTGTACAACAGCGAAGAATCCTGCCACGGTTAGCTGCACCAATGCCGTTAGTACCCCAAGACACACTGCCACCTTTTTTGATAATGGCAACATTGTGTGTAACACAAGTATTATATACATCGTCATGGGGACATCATCCATGGCAGAACGACCTGGGTTGAACCCCATATAGACAAACACCGACGCCATCATGACAAGCCATACAACTATTGTGATGCCCCGTAGAAGTTTCTGGAATAACCTCTCTGTGCAAATCAAACCCATGAGGATCATGGAAGCACCAAGGCTGAAGCAAGATGTTGCGAACTGCACTGTAGTTTCAAATTGTTCCAATGCCTACAAATATAGAATATTGTTATACTCTGTTTTTGTACTAGTTTGTATTGGTTTATTTTCCTTTGAGGTTAATCATAGTTTGAGATAATGGAGGTTTGTTTCCCTTTGAGTAGGTTAATCAAAGTATGATTGGGGGTTGGTTTTCTTTGGAGTAGGCTAATCATAGTTTGGGATTTTGGGAGTTTGTTTTCCTTTGAGGTTGGTTAATCATAATTAGGGATATTAGTGTTTGTTTTCCTTCCTTTTCTCGATGTGTATCATAAAACTTTTTGGACTTTCCATTTTTTGCGATTGTGTTTACGTACTTAAATCAAACAAATATTGTCAAAATGTTTATTAAATCACATTAAGTACCTCGTACATACAGAAAAGCCATTTAAATAAACACTATAAACAAGTTCAATTCATCAGTTTTGTTACTTACTCTATTATAGGCCAGGTGAAATGCCATTAGACAACCACTGTACGCAATCATGATGAAGAGCAGTGTGATAAGGAGGGAGTGTTTCAATCTAACACAATAGCGCTGGTATAACTCCTCAATGTCCATCCCCATTGGTGTGGCTGAAAGCACAAACATAAATAATGAGAAAAGAGTGTTACAGGCCAATGTATTGGTGTGGCTAAAAGCACAAAGATAAATAATGAGAAAAGAGTGTTACAGGCCAATGTATTGGTGTGGCTAGAAGCACAAAGACAAATAATGAGAAAAATCACAAAAATAAATAATGAGAAAAGAGTGTTACAGACCAATGTATTGGTGTGGCTAGAAGTACAAAGACAAATAATGAGGAATGTTATAATGTTAAAGTAACCCCTCTATGTCCATCCAAATTGGTGTGGCTAAAAGCACAAAGATAAATAATGAGAAAAGAGTGTTACAGGCCAATGTATTGGTGTGGCTAGAAGCACAAAGATAAATAATGAGAAAAGAGTGTTACAGGCCAATGTATTGGTGTGGCTAGAAGCACAAAGATAAATAATGAGAAAAGAGTGTTACAGGCCAATGTATTGGTGTGGCTAAAAGCACAAAGATAAATAATGAGAAAAGAGTGTTACAGGCCAATGTATTGTTGTGGCTAGAAGCACAAAGATGAATAATGAGAAAAGAGTGTTACAGACCAATGTATTGGTGTGGCTAGAAGCACAAAGACAAATAATGAGGAATGTTATAATGTTGAAGTAACTCCTCTATGTTCACCCAAATTGGAGTGGCTAAAAGCACAAAGATAAATAATGAGAAAAGAGTATTACAGGCCAATGTATTGGTGTGGCTAGAAGTACAAAGACAAATAATGAGGAGGGTTATAATGTTGAAGTAACTCCTCTATGTTCACCCAAATTGGAGTGGCTAAAAGCTCAAAGATGAATAATGAGAAAAGAGTATTACAGGCCAATGTATTGGCTAGAAGCACAAAGATTAATAATGGGAAAAGAGTGTTACAGGCCAATGTATAGGTGTGGCTAGAACCACAAAGATAAATAATGGGAAAAGAGTATTACAAGCCAATGATGCACAAAGACAAAAAATGGGAAAAGAGTATTACAGACCAGCTTAATGAACTGGAACTGATAAATGGCTAAATGGGATACATGGGATAAAGATGATAAAGATAATTCAAAATAAGTATTGGGCTTGGATCTGGTTTTAAGCTTCTGTGTTTATCAAAGACCCAGATATTTACAAGTTGATTTTACGAACAGAAGGCCGCAAAAACACTCTTGAAGAGTTAGTAGTTACCCTCACAAAACTCATTTTTGAAATCAAATGAAAAGCCAAAAATTATTCATCTCTATGATTCATGCAACAACACGCTTGCTTCTGTCTAATGCTATTCTGTTTGTCCATTTCTTGCATTCATAATTAATTTAGGCTTTAACCATTAACTTTATTGCTTGTCCATTCCTCTGTGTTTAGCAGTTGACACTGCTACCATGACAACTTGACATTCCTTCCATAAGAATATATTATAGAAGCCAATAATATATAACAGAAACACAGGTGATTCTGAATGAAGCCTACTGCTACCTTCCCGATTTTTGGCACATTTTGTAGGAGTAGATCTTAGATGTTCAGTTCACACAGGATTGTTTATTCTGATGATTACAGGATCAGACAACAGCCAGCTTTTTACAATACTACAAATGTTTTACAGAATCGTGTTATTTTCATTAAGTTGAACTTAACAAGATCTATCAATCTTTATGTATTTCTGATTCTCACATATAAGCTTAAAAATCAAATTATTACCAATTAACTGAAATCAGACCTGTTGGACATTTTTTTAGAATAAAGCCAGGATATGGAATATTGTTGGCACCCCCAATCCGCAACATCATCTTGCTGTACAGTACTGTTTTTGAAAACAGCGCTGAACAGTACTGTTTTTGAAAACAGCGCTGAACAGTACTGTTTTTGAAAACAGCGCTGTACAGTACTGTTTTTGAAAACAGCGATGTACAGTACTGTTTTTGAAAACAGCGTTGTACAGTACTGTTTTAACAGTGCTGTACAGTACTGTTTTTGAAAACAGCGATGTACAGTACTGTTTTTGAAAACAGCGATGTACAGTACTGTTTTTGAAAACAGCGATGTCCAGTACTTTTTTCAGCGATGTACAGTACTGTTTTTTCAGCGCTGCCCAGCACTGTTTCATAAACAGTGCTGTTTGATGCTGTTTGAGACTGGCAGTGTACAATGAAATTTTCACCTGTATACCTTGTTTCACCTTTATCAAGGAAGCAGTGTGGTAAATATATATTTAGATTGATTTTTTTAATTCAGCCTTAAGATTTTGAAGGTAATAAATCATAAGCTTTTACGAGCTCGAGTCAATGAAACTTAATCTAACAACGTTAGTAATGTAAAAGGTTCAAGATAAAATACAAGATTATTCTTTCTACTCTAATTTCTCTTCCCTAATTTCAGATTTACAAACCGTATTCTCTCTAATAAGCGCACATTTTCAATGAGCGCACGTGTGACTTTTATGTTAAATATGGTATCAAGAAAACTTGAAGTTTAATGCATTAGTTTCAATAAATTAAACAACAATACAATGTATATTGATTGATGATTATATTTAGTGCAGAGAAAGAAATAAGTGATACTAACTGAAAAGATTATTGGCGATATTTTTTCCAAATGTTTTATATGTGCACTTATTGGAATCTCTCAATATTTTAAGTTTCAATTTGAAAATGGCATTGTGCGTTCATTAGAGAGAATACAATAAAAGACCGCTAAGATTTATTGAACAAAAAAATTGTACCCATTTGTATTAGTCAGAAACTAGTAATGCATTGCAGATTCAGAGTAACATTTTTTTTAAATATATGCTCCAAGAAGAAAAAACATCACTGCTAAATGAGAAAAGGGTAATATAATACATAATATATATATCAATTACATTTGGGTGTGTAAACTGCAACCAGACTCCTATTGTTGTAATAACAAATTTTGACCACTAAGTGCCTGAGTCACTCAGATTACATTACATTTGAATGCCCTATCAAAGCAATTTCTTATAATAAAAGAGCCCTAGCAAGTTTTTGCCAAGGAGGGTTCTCTTTTCAAAAATTTCCAGGGGGTTCCCATTTGACAACTTTTGCCCAAAATCACTTGAAAAGTACTAAGAATGATGAAAAACTTCATTATTTTGAAACAAATTTTTGGCAAAGGGGTGGGGGTAATTCAACCCCCCCCCCCCACCTCTGGCTACAGGCCTGATCTAACATCTAACATGAATTCCATATTCCTGTCATTCTAAATGAACTAAATAAGGTAAATTGACAGCACTGACAGTATGAGTAGATATCTAATGGGTTATCTAATGGATATTTAATATTACCTGTTAAAGGCAATAATAGAACTACATAAACATGTAATCTTCCACTATAATTGCCCAACGCATAAGAAAATATCAAATAAATCAATCACGTAACAAAAATAATCTTCTTGGAACTATATAAATAATACATCACACAAAGAACACTTACTTTATTAACTGTGACTGAGGCGAGCTTCACAGTGAATTCCAAATTGACTCCTTTAATCCGGAAATGTGCAGCTACTAATTAAATGCCAGTCAATACCTAATCCTTTTCTAGATGTGTCCAAATGTAGAATAATCGCCACAATTTTTATTAAGTCTCATTTAAGAGGGTTGTATACTATCATGTGTAAAAATGCACCTTTATAATTTTTTAGGTTTGCATTCCAACAAATTGATTATAATCAGTCTAAATATAACAGACTTAAAATCTGTGATATAATTAATTGATCTAACAATATTAAATCAAAAATATGCAATTTTGAATTAAATCCTCTTTGAAACTAACATTTTGAATAAGATTCCCCGTTCTAACTTGTGCATGATACAGATCGAATAATGCGATCAAATAAGGCTTCACACTTGTTTTGTGCACGACGTAGGTGTGCCAATCATTGGTGATGAGGTGTGACGTGAGCCTATGAGTATGTATGATGTGTCATACATATCATAGTGTCATCTTATTAATTTAAGTAGATTATGTCTCATGTTTAAAGGCATCTAACAAAAATAATTACTCGTAATATGAGAAGCATAATTACTAGATAAAGTACTTAATATTAATAAGATGACACCACCAATAAGCCAATCAAAAGTTGAGAAAGGGTCCGAGACAGAACAACGAAACACGTGCCACATGTTTCTGTGACAAATGTTCACCGTTTCCTCATATTACCAAATGTCTTGCCATTTCTAACAGTAAAGTGTCGCAATTAAACATATACAACCCAGCCTTTAAGTAGGTTCACATTAGGTGAATACTGTAACTAGGATAAAGCTCACTTTTAGATTCACTTTAGGTCTTTTCCTAAATAATAAAATCCCATTGACAGATTCTCTTTAGTAGTTGTTAAAATATGCTACTTACCATGATACAACAAAGTAGTTACCATTTTCACCACCAGGTGGCTGATTCGGGGTAAATAACATGGCGGGGTATAAGAAATTCTTACATCTTCATCCTTATTCCTATTTTATTAAAATGTATGCATATGGCAATATTCATCAACCAGTAGACCACATAAATCATTTAGAATCTATAGTTCTATACATGTACAGGGAGTCTCACTTATAGATTTTTCAAATTCTTTCCAAGTCGACGTCGAAACACCTACAGTGTAGCGGGTGAAATTGAAACTAATTTTTCTGGCTACTCGAGTCGATAAAATCTCTGATAGTGTGAGTCTTTTTATGAAAACGTACCTTACAGAAATCACTTGACGATTAATAGAAAGCATTAAAAGTTGAATCCAAAGCGTAATCTGAAATAAAAGTGAAAAAACATTGCGCAGACGTTAGAGAACAAACTTCCAGTTTAATAGAAAATGGCGGTAACGAAGACGATGGAGAATTAGAGGATTTACTTTTGCCATTATCGATCGATATAAGGTATGTGCACAAATTCTAGTTGCATATATGGAAAATAGATACATTTTTAAAGGCTATAACATATTCAAAGCTTTCATTTTACGATAGGCCCAGGATCACTAGATACGACTCAGCAGTCCATGC